GAAGGTACATGTACTTGCTATATAACAACATTAGAGGATCACTTCTCATTAATGGATGTTATGTATTCGTTCAGTTGGGCGATACCAACTTGTTTGTATTTTTGTATGCCCTTGGTAATCAACAATCTGGCAACCCAGGTGAGTTCTTATTAATATTGATTGCAATTTTTATCGCACCCTTTCAAAATAATGGTTTATGTTAGATTTCTAGGCTGTCGACTGCTCAATACAAATAGGAACGATTTGGTTTGGTGTGTTACAGCTCATTTTCCCTATTCCCAAATGGGTTAAATTTATAATATATCGCCATATTTCTGAAGCTTGTAGTCGAAAACTGATTACTTTGGTAAATAATCTTTTACTGGTAAGTGGGGGATTTTTATTCCTGCTACTCTTGACAACTTACGCATAAGTGGTTGTAGATGGCTAGAAATAAACAGAAGGGTATTTATCAGGGAGTGAGGATAGAATATTAGCCTGCTCGTCGGTTTGCCAAACTAACCTACTCCGAGGCATTGCTATAAAATCTTGTAGTTTTAGCGAGATCAATCATAGAGTCCTGTTGGGCTTGACTACTGATGTATATAAAGAATTGACTATATTTGGAGACGTAGCCCATTGGTTTTCCTACATGTTACTAAGGGTTTCCAGCATGCTTCCTTCCTGTTTCCTTTGTTTTTATCTTTGTTAGAGTATTAAATTCACTTTTGATTTTATTCGAGTATCTGTCTACTATCAATGTGAGAAAATTGCGGTTGTGTGGATAAGTATTTAATAATGAGGTTTGTAAACTTGTATTTCCTTGAGTAGAACCCAATTTCTAGTTTTACAGGGTAAACACTTTATCCGCTTTTATTACCGCCATATGACAATTGCTAGTTGGCCTTTACTCACCAAAAATGTTGGGGTTATCTTTCAAATTAATCTAAATACACCTGGTATGCCTCAGTCGAACAACTTATTTATTATACACCAGCACGATGTGAACTATACTTGATCTTGTCACTAGCACCCAATTTACTAATTAATTCGAATTTATAAAGCTCTTCCGGCTGATTTCACATAATTGCATTGAGGCTACGCACCAATTCAGTTAGTCATACGACGTTTAAGAAAGCGCAGTTGATTTTTCCAACAGAATGTTGCTTAATCTACGAAAAGGAAAACTTTTGACATTTATACACTATCAACGTTATTTGGGACTGACAGACATCGATTACTCAACAAATTTAAAATGCTATATAATCAATGGAAATTGGGTTTCCTATACAATTCAGTTATTGATGCTAACTATTTTATTCGTCGCTCTTATTGGTACCCTTGTTGAAAAGGGTCTTCCTCTCGTCGATATGCTTTCAAGCTTCGGAAATGAATTCCATCACATTCTTATCTTGTCCATGCCAATCACTCAGATATTTATTAATATCTGGCTACGCGTTCAACAAGAATCGCAACGGATTCTGTTAGAGATGTTGACTTATTTAGCCTGGCGTCTAAAAGCGAACACATTGGAATTGACCAGACCTCGATGGCTCTACCTCCTCTGGTCAGGCATCAGCGTGTACTACCTCGTCAATATTTTAATAATCTTTCACACTGGTCGGAATGTAAATAACTCTGTGTTTATATTTGCCAATCTGGGCTTTTATGCGTATATTTTGCGCACCAACTATATCATCACGTGCTATATCTCCCTAGTTCATGTCGTAACGGTTGTGCTCCAAGCACAAGCAGATCAATTGATTACTAAAGAAGTGGGACCTCTTATTTCTCAAAAGGAACTAGCCAATAATTTGTGCTTTCATGAAGAGCTTTTATTGCTATGTGAGGAGGAGATTAATAATATATTTGGAGGCACTTTTATATTCATTTACCTATTAAATCTATTGGAAGCTACATGTATTTGCTATTTAGCCGCTTTGGAGGAACGCTTCTCATTAATGGAATTGATGTACGTTCTCAGTTGGGCAATACCAACGTGTTTGTATATAATTATACCCTTGGTAATCAACAATCTGGCAGTGCAGGTAAGTGCTCAAGGAAATCCCGACACTTAAGTGCAGATGTACTATCGTAATATAATGATGCCAAATCTACGGAAGTGAAAAGTTTTCATAATTATGAATATACTATAAATGATATCCAGGACTGTGCGATATCGATTTCTAGAGATGATGCTGTTAATTCTTTCAGTTCTTAATGTATTTTTCGCTACGATAGTTGCGACATATGTGGAGCTCTTGTTAGAGACAGGAAATGGTTGTTTTGGCCATGCTAGCCACACATACACTTGTCGGAATATGGCTACGGTTTCAGCACCAATCTCCTGTAGATATTAGACCATTTAGCCAGGCGCCTTAGAGTCAATCTGGCAATCTGTTGATTATTTTTGGAATATTAACAACAAGACGGAATATGTGTTATATGTTAGTCTTCATTCTTAGTTAATATGATAGCGACCTTGACGCAGGCACAAGCAGATCAATTTCACTCCATTAATGTTAGGCCCCTTATATCTCTGGAGCAGTTTAATAGCGTATGCTATGCTAGCAAGAAACTGCTCAAGTTGTTGACTGCTTTCTATGTATATTCATGGATGCTATCTGTGTGTGCCATGTATCCACGGGGAGCGGTTCGCATTTTGGGAAATCCCCTGTCCCGGTGGCTTATACCAGTTTCTTTTTATTTTGGTATGCCACTGGTTATCAATACTCTAATAAAGCATTTGAGTTTAATTAACGAGACACTGGTTCCGAGTCTGCTTTAAATTCATACAACCTGTTGGCTTTTAAATGGTAAATGAGATTATATCATGTATTCCACATATGTTGAAAATACCCTAACTATTGAATATTAACCGCAGAAGCTTTTCACAAACTTCTACAGTAAGAAAATCTATAGAAATAATAGTAGATGAATTCGAATCTATGCATTTGGAGAAATTTGTACACAATTTTAACCAACTACCAGCATGGATAGCTAAATGTGGTTGTCAACTGCCCAATTTCAATCAAATCAGAAAACATGTCAGCTTCTTTGATATGGTTCTAATTATACCATTTTACCTACGATTCAGTTTTACTGCCTTTTGATTCTACTCTTCAAATCAAACGCCGGCTCGAAACATAATTCGATTTCGCTGACAATTATATATTTAATTTAAAATAAGCCTCTACATGAGGAAGCAATCTAGTAACGAGAGCATAAGTATTAAAATATATTTTATACTTCGATCGGTCTATAACTCCATCCGCTAATTCAATAGTAGCAGACTTACAATTTCACCTGTATAGTGGCAGGCACTTAAAAAATTAATTTATTAATGAACGTATATAAAGTTTATCTACCATCTAGATTTTGGATATACATTGTATGCGTTGCATTGTCGGATATTCAGTTCTTTGAGCTTAATGACGAGTTCAGTTAACCTTCTGTCCTGTGGCAGAAAACACAGAGAAAGTGCTCTTATAAAATGCAGCCCGAAAGACTGTTCGCTTTTTTGCACTATCAGCGTTTTTTGGGCCTGACTGATATCGACTACTCAACATGCTTGCATCGCTATGTGGTGCATGCCACTTGGTGTTCCTACAGCGCACAGCTGTTGGTATTGTGCCTCACACTGGGTGCCTTTTTAGAAGTGCTTAACAGTTTCGTCGATTTTTTGGGCATGGAGTCGAGTGTGGGCCAATCATTTTACCAAATTGTTGTCATTGCTTCACCGGCAACCGAGTTATGGCTATATCTATGGCTACGCCTCCATCAACCCTTGCAACAGCATTTGCTTAATCGACTCACAGATTTGGCCTGGCGCCTTAAAGTGGATACATTGGCATTGAGCCGGCCCCGTTGGCATTATCGCATCTGGCTGGGTGTCAGCCTATTCTATTTCTCGATTTTTGTCCACTTTACGATCAATAATTGGAATAAGAGCGAGCAGATAAATCAAGTATTCAGCCTTTTTTGCCTCTTTATACATTTCGTGCGAATCGATTATGTCATCAGTTGCTACACATCCCTCGTACATGTTTTGATGATCTTGCTGCAAGCCCAGGCAGATCAGCTACGAGTTGAGAATCTTATAAGTATGGATGAACTTGCTCGCAACTTATGCATTCATGATGAATTATTATTGTTGTGCCAGGAGGAGATGTTGCAAGTGTTTGGCGGAGCTTTGATATTTCCCTTTCTATTTTTTGTACTGGATTCTGCATGCATATGCTATATATCTACGTTCAAAGATCGGTTCTCTTTGGTCGAAGTTATATTGGTGATTTGTTGGCTCACGCCCCTCTGGATCTATATGATTATGCCATTGATAATTAACAATGTGCTCGGGCAGGTGAGTCAAAGCCTTGAGTTGAAGCAAAATACAAATCAGACACCAAAATAATTTAACTATTCAGTTGACAATTAATGTAAAATACTAATAATAATAGTAATAAATAAACCTCTTAAGGATTTTCTTAAAATTAGTTAAAATGTCTCAATTCTTACTTTCAAAAAAATAAAGTATTACTAATGAAATTCAGTTGCCAATTAACTCAAAGCAGAAAATAAAATCGATTTAACCGTCTTAAAAAGCTTTTAATAAATAAGTAAGCAGTTGAAGGACTTGATCAGACCCAACTTTATTTCCGATAAGTCTAATGAAATTTTAAAAGCTAAAATTAGATTATTATCATTAAATGTAAACAGTAACTTAAGAAAATCTTGCACCTTACCCTTTAAATATGTAAGATATTCAAATTTCACTTAATTAAATCAAAATACTTAAAGCATAAATTAAATTGAAAAGATATTATAATCAGCCAAATGAAAGTGAAAACGAAAACAAGTTCGAATATAAATATTATATTTTAGTACAACAATAGTTTGTTATTTTTTGCCCGGTGCTGAAGCGTAACAAGGTTAAGTAATTGGTTCGCAACAACAGCCATAAATAACCCTTGGTCTGATTGAGTTGCAATCAGTTTCAGTCAAGTGATTATTGAGCCTTAACCATGATTAAGTATCAGCAAAGTGAACTCTATCCGTATTACCGCATCTGCCGATATCTAGGCATCTTCTGCATACACTTCAACTCGAGAAAGGAGCGTTTTCAATTGCGTCGCAGCCTCATTTGCTATGTGGTGCACGCTCTCATGCAATTATATTTGCTCATCTGTATGGTATTACTGGTGTATTTTTGGACGCTGTGCTTCAAACGCGAGATGACTGCAACTGGGAATCATTATGAGCGTTTTGTGCTATTCGCTGCTCTGGTCACGCAATTCATACAGAATGCCTGGCTCATCTGGCTGCAGTATTTACAAATGCACATCGTGCGCCAACTGGAGTTCTATCGCAAAAAATATTTAATGGACATTCGTATGGTGCTACCCAAGCGGTTGCTCTGTTTCATTGTGATTGTAAATGTGCTCTACTTTTGCAACTATTTGAAGACCTGTCTGATGGACTGGTTGGTCAATGCCTCGACCTGGTTTACATTCAGCACTCTGGGCTTCCCCTTGCGTGCCGTGATCAGTAGCTTTATACAGGGCTACTATGTCTGTCTCATACATGTGGTGCGACATCTGCTGCGCCACAATCAAGAGCAACTCAACATCCTTGTCGATCAGTTGCAGCAACCCAAGCGCAGCTGCGGTGATATTCTGCGCCTGCGCAGCTGCCTCGATCTGCACGATCGTCTGCTCGTCATGTGCACCGATGAGATGAGCTTGGTCTATGGCTTTAGTATCTGGCTGTGTCTGCTCTTCTCCTCGCTTGATGCAAGTAGCATATTATATATACGCATGGTTACTTTTACGCAAAAACCGTCGTGGGATCATTGCATTATTAGCCTCCTATGGCTCTCACCAACACTAATGACAGCGGCCACAGCCCTGATGAGCGACACTGTTCATGTGCAGGTATGTTCTGAGAAACTAATCGTGGTGCTCGTGTTAAAAGTGCAGCAGAACAGCACAGACAGATATCAAGAATGACAAATCCAATGCATTTTAAAAAGTTCATTGATCTTTTCTAAAGTGTTGTCTTGAATATTCACATGATCATAAGGCAAATTATTTTGTTATTATCCTTATCTCATTAGATTTATTTTGATTGAAAATTGCTCAAAAACATAGCAAAGTAAAAAGATGTTCATATTTCAAAATAGTTAGAGCTCAAGTGACATAATAGGAATAGTAGAATCGAATTGCCCCCCAGGACTTACTAAAGCTAAATATGGCGAGTTTTTGACACATTTTAAAGATGTATTTCTTCCCATTGCCAACAAGCGCACCAACTTAACCAATCATGAAATGAAGCTCAATTCACCTAGTATGGCGATTTTTCCTTAAGTATAATTTATTTTTCAACATATTTTCATATTCCCTGTTCATATTCAGAGTCGAAATTTATAATCTGAATTTTTGGGAACATTTTCTGGAAAAGGGTTTCACATTTTAGAAAAGAATGGACCCAAAAAAATAACCAAAGCTTGCGTTATTTGTTGGTCAGGATTGAGGAAACTAATCGCAATAATAACATTCTTTGTAAATCTAAAATTAAAACAAAAAACCACCTATATCAACAATTATCGATTGTTATAAACAATTTTCGTCCTTACTTTGCGAGTTTATGAATTTAATATTGACCTAACACTTACATAACAACAAAGCAGTCACATATTTTATATTTATCAAGTTAGATAATATGCTCATCCCTTGTGTGTATTCAAGTGAAACATCTCAGCGTAATGAAATGTACACATCAATTGATTAGATTATTGTGTCATCTCAAATATAATTGTTTTATTATGCCAACAAAAGTGATGGATGGATGTGTATAAGCCTGAACGTAAATTTACGCAGTCAGTTGCTCCTTTTCCGTCATGTTTACCGGAGTTGAGCTGCGCGTCTATTTGCTTAGTCTGAAGTGTATCGGTGTACTTTGCGCTACACACGATGACCGCAACGCGTGTCTGATTTACGTGAGCCAGAGTGACCAGACTTTGGCAATAGTCGGTCTTGTTGTGGCTCAAATTTGCGCATGGGTTCCATTCGCGATTCTAATTCTAATGCCGGAGAGTTTTAAGCTGCCCGAATATAATCAAGTTGGAAATACGTATTTGTCGCTGCAATACGGCACTGCGTGCGTAGTCATATCGCTCGTGTATTTCTGTTTTTTTGTGAAACGTCGCCGATTATTGGCGCTGCTCTCACTGATACTCTCCCATAATCGAAAGGATCTGAAGAATTGCTACGCGAGTCGTTTTCTACGACGTTACTGCATCTATGTAGGTGTGTCGGTCATCTGTGGCTTTACTTACAGCAAGGCTTATACGCACGCGGAGATTTCACTGGTGGCCTGTGTGCTGTTGAGCTTTGTTGCCACGTACAGCTTTGTGCTGATAGGGCTTATCGTAGTTCTGTATAGCTGTCTGGCGCAAGTCTTGGCTGCCCTTTTGCTCCTCTACAATCGGGATTTGCTGGCTACAACAGCGACAACGACAACAACATCGACAAAAATTGCGACAACGATTTGGCGCCGGGGCTTATGGCAACGCAATCAGATGCTGCTCGTTTGCCACGAACAGCTAAACTCGGATTTTGGCCTGGTCATGGTACTAATTACGGCATTTGTGCTTCTTTCGGCACCAAGTGCTCCCTTTTTTATGATCAGCATTATCTTTGAGATGACGAACAGCGTTCAGATAATGCACTCATTATTCACATGCCTGTTGTGGAATACACCCTGGTTATACGCCATGATAATGATACTCCAACCAGATGGGGTATGGAAAGAGGTGTGTACAGAAAAGAAGGTTGTGTACTTGATAAGAAACCGTTTCCCTGCAAGATCAGCTTAAGTATTCGAAGAACTGGCTTGAAGAAGAAACCAAACGCTATGCTTGGAATTTTTCTTCTTGATTAATTTGAGAAAAATGATCAATCAATCAAGAGAGGAGCATTTGATATATATCGTATATCATATCATATTTCATTGTTGTTGTTCAAGCAATTAATATAATTTTTGGATGCAGGGATTCAATAATTTTTGTAATTTCAAACATATTCAACTTTTTAAATTAGCAATTTTAATTATTTTCTGAAAATTATTTGTCATGCATGAAAACCGCACTGAAAAGAAGATTGTTATTAAAAATTTCTTTAAAATATAAGCTTTTCTATTTTTCTTCATTTTTTATTTTCCTTCATTTATTTGTAATACCGTCAGAATTGGTGTTCAAGGAGAAAATCACAGCTTCCGTTTAGTCAACGGTGGATTTTGTATTCTTTAATTTTAAGAAACATATTTCTTACAAGGGTCTAAAAAGTACAAATGTGGAACCCTTACTTTCAGGTAGGAATAATCCTAAAGTTCAGAAACCAGTAATTAGAGGACACGTAGCTTGCTGAATAGCCATAAAAATCACGAACGAATTTCGAGTTTTTTAAACTAAATTATATAAACCTAAGGACTATTTAAAATACTTTTACTTTTTTTAGATAAAAATAATTCTTTCCATACATATAAAAATACCAGGAACTTAGAAATCATTCCTTCAACATTCTGGAAAAATCTACAATTGTATTAAAAAAGAAATATACTTTCTGAGCTACCCTTGGACCCACAAGCATGAAAATATTGTGAATTTTAATATCTTTCTCCAGCTCCAAAATTTCGAAGCCCCTTTTTGAAAATCATATTCTCAAGCTTAACCTTAATCAGCTATATTTTATTATCTGTAAAATCAAATTGATGCACCGTGACGAAATTTTCATAACGTATTTTAACATGGAATTCCTAATCGAATCCTTAATCAGCTATATATTATTCCCTATAAAATCAAATTGATGCGACTTGTTGACGCAACTAATGAGGTCAACTAATCAATAACTGAAGCAAACATATATGCATATCGAAATTAAATATCAATTGGCATGATTAGTCGATGCCAGAATGTCTGACAGTCGCGACCTGCGCTTATACCTGCGAGTACTGTGCGTGGTGGGTGTAATTTGTGCTCGTTTCGACGAGGAAGAGTGCTTGCTACAGGCAACACCAGGCAGTGAGCAATATGCGCTGTTCTATAACTTGGCCATAATAGCGACAACATTCAGTTGCTTTTCGTATGCGTATTTGAATCCAAGAGATTTTTATTCGGGTGTCTACAATCAGACCGGTAATTTCTACGAGACAATCAACTTGCGTTTGTGCTGTGTCGTCATTTGCCTGCTACACATATGTTTCTATATACGACGTTGTCGCCACTTGGAGTTGGTGCAGAAAATGCTGCAGTTGAATCGCGCGAGTTCCAGTTCTGACTTAGCTCGTCAAATTCTGCGCAACTTTATCATCTACAAGGTGCTTCTGCTGCTCTGCCTGTCCAACTATATGCTTGGTTATCTCCAGTCGTACTCCATGTCCATAGCCCTCGTAATCTTTGTGTTTGTCTATGCGTATGGATTTCTGGTGACGGCCCTGCTGCTAGTGTTCTTTGTGTGCCTGCAACTCATTGTCGCCGAGAGATTGGCGCATTGCAACACACAGCTGGCGGAAACTAAGTCGATGTCAAAATGTAGACGTCTGATTTTCGAACGGTATCAACTACTGGGTATCACTACCGTCGAGCTTAATATATGCTTTGGTCTGTTGATGCTGCCCATTGTGCCACTGGTGATATACATGGCACCAGCTGGACCCTTGTTTCTCATCAGCACCGTTATGGAGGGCAAATTTCTTAACCTTGCTCAAGTTGCCATGATGTGGATTACCTGCATCATTTGGAATATACCTTGGGTGTTCATGATGGCGCTCATGTTGCGATCTAATGTCATTTCAGTCGAAGTGAGTAATTGCATTGAAAAGATTTGTGTCGGGTCCTAAATATGTCCATAAAAAATGGGGATAATTTTAATCAGTGTGGAGGTGATATTTGCAGACGAATACCCTCGATTTAAATATTTTCTTTTAAAAGAGCTTTTTTATCATCTATTCAAAATTAAATTATTCAAAACTAATTGGTTACATTTAACCAATCAGTCCTTTTCTTTATTTTAATCAAGGCAGGTAGATTATGTTGTTTTAAATACATAAAAACAAATAATTATTGTATTTATAGCAAAGTAATTTATACAATGCAAGTTTTTCTTTTTTTTCACAGGCAAACAAAACAGCCAAAATACTTGCTAAAATACCAAGAACTGGATCGGGCTTAGACAGGATGGTAAGTGTAAATTGGTCTCGAGTTGTATTATTAATTTTTTATTATGATTTAATATGTTTTACGACATTTCAAATAGGTCGAAAAGTTTCTGTTAAAGAACCTGCGTCAACAGCCCATTCTGACAGCCTATGGATTTTTTGCACTAGATAAAAGCACGCTATTTAAGGTAAGTATTAAAACAGGAAAATATTTATATATAATTAACCTAAACTATAATCGACAGCTCTTTACAGCCATATTTACGTATATGGTGATATTGGTGCAGTTCAAGGAAATGGAAAACTCTACAAAATCACTGCAGAAGGCATAGTGAACAACAGTTTAAATAATTTATTGTTGTAAATGTTGAATGTGAAGAAGTTTTGACTTACCGAATCATAAGTCAAGCATCCAATTGCTTTTGATTTATAATTTTTGCGCCATTTTCTATATTCGGCTTTGATGACAGCTGCATGACGTTTCCAATACTTTCCCTCAAGCACAACGGTCTGTGTGGGCGAGAGAAAAACAAATATATGAAAATATAACTAAAAATACATCCAACAGATTGTTTTCATATGTCAAAAAACTTGATCAGCGATTATAATTAGTCACTATACCTTGCACATTTTGCTAGCGACGCTATACACTCGTCGAACGCTGTACACTCGACTGATTTCAAAATGCCTGAGCAAAAGCAAAGTCAAAAGCGAGTCATTACGATAATTAAAATTTATGAAATTTTAAAACGCACTAAACGAATATGGGCCTTTTCCATTTAGCCAACTTTGCCTACTACAATAAAAACCAAATTGTAAGCTTGATAAGATAAATCATTTCATGCTCCGTACCTGAGACCCCAACCAAGAGCACCGTTAAGAATATGTACTACAGTCTGGTTCTCGATCTGGCTCTGGATTATCTGAATGATGGGTGTGGCTTTTGAGGTGCTGCCTCCATAAGTCAAGAGCAGGTTGGTTGTTAACCTGCTTGTTGCGATAAGCTAATTATCAGTAATTGTCAGAGGTGTGGGCGATGTGTACAGTTGTTTGTACATTATGTATACACAATGTAAACTTAACTAAGCTGGAAATGTGCTAATCTATTAACCAGGCAAAGATTTCGTACAGCATCTTTTTAATGTCGTGTAATGCCTGTAAGCACTAATATATCTAGTTAGAACTAACATACTTCTAAGAGAATTCGCATTTCTTATTATTATCTCTTCCTCTTGCGTTTATCTTTAACAAATTTAAACAAGTTATTGACGATGTCTGACAAATTAATACACATTATGTTATCGGCGAACTGGTGATATTGGCAGGTCGTATAAAACTGGTTTCTATTATGACGTTTGCGAAGCAACTTACTCAAATGATGTCAATTATTGAGATAGTCGTATCGCCTGATACCCTCAATTATATTAGGCTATCTGGTTGATAGTTAGAGTTATAATCTGTGTCTACATTTCTGTTTAATTAGATAGTCAATTGAATTGTTTCATGTTAGATTAAAAGTATACTTGGGATACTTCAACTCTCACTTATACTCCTTCAAAAATCGAAGCATTACTACTTTACTTCTTCTGCATGTATAAAATATAAGGATTGTCTTACATTTCGCGATTATTTAGATAGTATTTATAGTAAAGCTCAGCATCTCGACTCTACACTTGAATTTAAAATACAAAAAAAAACTTTTCATTATTTCTACAACATATAAAAAAAAATGATAAGAAGTATACAAATTTGATTTCGCACACAATATTAATCTCGTTCTATAAATAAATTGTAACAATAGGTGAATAGTAGCCAAAAATAATACTGCGAGATCTTATCACGTGCTGCCAATTTTTATGTATGTCTATGTATATTTCCGATGACGCGTTGATCACGCGTACATCGAATGATGATGGCCACGCGGAAAAAATAACTTTCACATCAAAAACAGACGACCAATGTTATTGGTGTGTATTTCGTTCCATGTGGGGGTTATTTGAGTACATTGTGATAGCATTATTCCAGGAGAGCCCAGCTAAACGTATACGTCAGTTCGGACGGAGGTTCAGATTTTGCGAATGGATTTGGGGATAGAGCGTTGATGAAAAAATTGAAAGAAATGAGAGATTTTCATAGGATCTACTATATTAATACTTATATATATTTTCTCGTATGAATAAGCTTAGGCAATCTGATTATTATTCTCCGAGAGTTATGTAATTTTTTTTAAATCTTTTTGTTATCTCTTAGTTTTTATAAGTTAGGTTATGAGTTACTATTTGATAAACAAATTATAATACAAGCCTTACAAGGATCTTCTTTAAATTTGTATCAGATATTTTTTTAAATAAATTTTCAACATTTTGCATATATGAATGTTTTTATGCAATCTACTTATGATTCTCTGAGAGTTATGCATTTTTTTTTGTTATTTCATCTATATTTCTTTTTGTATTCATATAGTTTCCATTAGTCAAGTTTTGAATTAATATTTGATTGGAAAATTATAATACAATGCTAACAGAGATTTTGTTGAAATTTTTGAAATTGTGTTTATCAAGTACTTTTATATCTATTCTACATATTTTTATTTTTTTTATTATTTTCCTCTCTTATGCACAATGATCAAAGGATGCTTAGATAGACTACTTCCATGGGGATTAGCTGGAAATTATTATGATGAAAGGGATACTTTTGAAATTTCAAACTGTAAAGTCACACCTTTTAATCAACAAAACAAAAGATCACACGAAAATTTTCAATTAAAATATCACTTGCTTCTGTATGTATACCACGTAATAATATCGGACTTTGATGTTGTTATTCATACTATTATTTTGCTATTATCTAACACTGGTTGTTACTTACTTGTGGATTACTATGTATGTCAACGTCCAGCGGCGATGCGAATTGACACACCGGCGTTCTGCGCTTTTGTATAACTGCAAAATGGAGAAATAAAAAAAACACACATAAGTTAGCTGAAATACTATGTATCATATAGGAAAAACGAGAGAGAGCAAGAGCGAAAGGCGACATAGCCGAGATTAGATTTCGGCCGGAGATTAGCGGAATTGATAGCTCCCGTCAGCGCCGGAGAGATGCCAACTGCTGAATTTGTAGTAGCTGCCTCCAAAACAACCCACACGTGTCAAAAAGTCGCGCTCCCACTTTTATCAGGAGAGTGACGTCTTTTTAGTATATTTTTCAGCAGTGACACCCAAAAGGTACTCGCACTAATCTACTAAGTATAGATACTTTGGAGTACGTCTAAACAAATGAGGATTAGGGCATGATGAAATGGATAAGCAATTCATACACATAAATTTGATTTGGTTTTTTTTTTATCTAGATTAACCTTTGACATTTTTTATACTAATTTCGAGCTTATTGTAAATTTGTTTTACGTATTTATAACAAAAACAGTGCATACTATCCGTATTAAAAGTACTTTCCCAATAAATTCAAGTATTCTACGGATAGTGCTGTGTTAGATAATGTTCCTGCTTCCAGCTCTCAATAATATATCTCGTATTCATAATCAGGGATCAAATCAAGTTTTAGATTTAGATTTTCTATACCTATACTACATTTAAAGTTATTTTATAAAACTCCGGATAAAACAGAGTTTTGAATTTATATATTATACACCTTGTTTATACACTTTTTTAAATATTCTTGTAATAAATAGGTATACGTATGTCAGAGTTGTAAAAGAACTGTATCTGCATAAAAAGTAACGCAAATTAAACATTGTTAGTTTTATAATTCATAAATATTTATGTATCTATGTACTACAATATATGAACTAATAGGAAATAAATGAAAAAATATTAACCCAATCTAGCCTACTATCACCATAAATGAAGATGAATACAACTTTATTTATTCTGATGAAATTACAGATCTCCTACGACTAAGGTATCGTCCATTTGCGTCTAAGTATGCAGCTTACCTAATGAGTAAGCATTTAGCATATGTGCGCTGCTAAAGATAGTTAAGCATTAAGTGCTAAATGCTTAATGCGAGACAAGAAGTGAGATGAACTAAGATGCACATACGACACTTTATAAATAGACCTAAAAATTTTCCATTTGCCTTTGTCGCAGTCGCATTCAACGTTGTCAGTTGTCAGTTTCCAGTTGTCGTCATATAGAGAGATAGAGATTTAATCGTACGTGGACGTGTGTAATATGTGCACTAATGATGTCGAACATGGAAAATTTCGACAAATTTCGCAAATAGAATGAATGCAACTTCAATGTAAATCTTGGTCTAAGTCAAATTTGAGGAACTTTCGAAATTCTGTTTTCATCAAATATCAAACAATTGGAATACGAAAGTTGCCTTATTTTTGTTCTAGTCAAAAGTCAAATTAGATAAAAATGGTAAATAAAGCTGCCCGCTTTTAGGTTTAGGTTTTTCTCTGGCAGCATAAATTTGTTTTAGTTGAGACACACAAACATCTCATTTTAAACGCATTTCACAAAGCGAGACGCGCCAGACATGCTCCTCAGATAAGGAGCTCAGCGATACGTCGCTGATAAGGCGCATAAGAAGAGTGCGTCGCGAAAGTCAGACAACAGTTGACAACGGGTCAGTTGAGAGAACGAAATGCGTCTGCAATTGGCAACTACAGCTATAGATACAACTGAAAAGGATAACTGGGGAGAGAGACAGACAATAAGAATACAGAAACAATAACAATAATAATAATAATACGTGAAACCAGTTGAAAAAGCTAGGCAAACAATAAATGCGACTCATCTCCGATAAAGCCTAATCAGCAGCGATTGTGCTTCGAGAGCTTTTTGTTAGCTTTTAGCTTTTTTTGCGGGCATCTGCCAATTTGTGTTGTTATTGGTTTTGCACGTGTTTCGTTTCGCGCTCAAGGAAATATTCATTAAACTTTTATTTTGTTTTCGTAATTAAATTATAATTTTTCATTTTTAGTATACTTTATTAGCACATCTGACACGTGCAATGGGTGGAATATTTTAGATTTTTAATAAATTTGAATAAATGCAAGTGGATTGAGCATATGCTACAGTGACTCACAGAAAATTTGTCACAACGCATAATAAATATGAAGTAAATTGTTAAGCGAAGAAATATTAGAAAAGTAGTGAGTAAAGATTTAAAATTAAAAGAAACGACTGGGTTGATCTTATTGAACAATAAATAAATGAAATGTACAGTCGCAGCTTTTTGAACCTAGCTTGTAATTATTAAAACAACATTAAAGTATTTTTCGAATATGCCAAGTATTATGTATATCTCCTCTTCTGGTCTATAACTGATTTCAACCTTCCAGGTGTGTTAGCACAATCGAAAACTGTTTCTTATTCCCAGTTATGTCATTATAAAATAATAGCGGACAGTTACCAAATAAACATAAGTCTCACAAGCGATTTATTGTCATTAAAAACTTATATATTGAATATTTTAAGCAACTGGAATCATTTCTTTTTAGAATTTATAGGATTTTAAATTTACCCAGTGTGGTTCCTATGAACTCAAATTATTCGACCCGAGCTGCAAAATTACAGCCAAATTCTAAGATTATTGCTTATGCCAAGATATTAAGCACTTTGAGAATTTCATGATAATCAAATTTATCCACTGTGGTTTCAATGAAACCTTTTGCAGGCCCAATCCATGTTCTACAGTTCCTCTTAGTTTCTTTATTTTTCGTGCAGGGATGGGTAAAATATGCTGTGGGTGTCTATAGATCTACTCTAAGTGAAAATCAGAATATTATCTCAAACTATAAACATTAATGTCATCGTCATGTACATTTTAAATAATTGTTACAGATTTAAATTAATTTAAAGCAAAGGCAAAATCATAATATAGCTTAAATGGCCGTAAAAAAAATAATCAAACACCCAGAAACAGACATATTAAAAAAAGGAAATGGATCGTCCACAATGAATCAATATTCTATACATAAAAAATCGGGTATCCTATATGTAATGATAACGAATGTTACCATAGATGATGCCATTGACTTTGACATTCCAAAACGACAACGACATATGACACATCCTATGTAGTTTATAGAAATATTATTTAGCCCCAGGGAAAGCTAAGAAAACTTCACTACCATTCCACTACAATTACTTTGATCGGCTCATATGCGAAAAAATTAAACACTTTACTTCAGTATTGACTGCTTGTGTTTAAATATTTCTTGAACTATGTTATAAATATTCTTTTTACGTATTCCAATACAAATGTGTGCAGTACTATTATCTTGACCGCAGCTGTGCAAATAAATACTTGACCTGCGATAATCTAAATACTATTAACTTTGATTGATGTACATTTATTAATAGAATTACTCACATTGCATATGCCAGCAACGCCAGATGACATTATTAAGTCGTATTTTGTCCTTCCAACGCAAACGTACTCCCTTAAAGTGATTCCATTTCGGCGAAGTGAGTTTTTGACTGCAACAGAAAATAAATATAATAAATATAGTTGAGTAAAGACTTGCTAATCGTATCACAATAATAGAATGCATTATTTTTGTTTATAAATAATACAAAGTGGAGAATTGAACAGATTACGAGCCAAATATAGCTTGCCCCTTAACCCGCCAGGGCGACAATCTCAAAATATAATCTGAATAATTTTCGTATTCGCAGTTGACAGAATTGACAACTGTCAATTTATTCCAAATACTCGTAAATCTGAGAGCCAATATCCAACAATGAACAGAAAAACCCCTTTTTGGGGGAGGCAAAAAAATTAATCTTATTAATCAATATATTTCTAAGTAGATCAATAGCGTTATCAATCAATACACATAATAAACAATGCTTTACTAATCAATACGTAAGTGAAACACGATATTTCTGTTGTTGTCGTTATTGTTGTTTTTATGTTGTTATCGATGAATCAGAGAAACAAATAAATCAACAGGTGCGCATTTGTTGTTCTATTGGAAAACACACCCTTAACAAAACCAAAAACAACACCAACAACAACTACAAATTGCAAAACAAACTCGAACTCGTAGCGCATTTGCATCAGAAGTCGGCTGTGCTATCGTGAAACCACTCGGTAAACCGAGCACCACTGCACCACCGCACACGTAACATTCATAACTAAAATTAATATAAAGACAGATGTATCTACGTCATAATTAGCACAGATATGCTCTTGATGAACATTCGACATAAGCCGACAAATCAGAAAGAATTCCATAAATAAATAAAATATATCAATCACAATTTATGCGAATTTGTTTGAGTTAAAGAATTTGTGCAAAAAACTCAAAATTTAAAAAAAAAAACGTTATTTAAATTGAATCGGTGAAATCGGCATTTCCTGATTGTGGAAGGCAAACGTGAGCATGGCAATATATTTATTTTATTTTTTAATCTTTTCTTTTTATTACTATTTTCCTATTTTTGATTATTTTCTTATTTTGTATTATTATTTCCTATTTTTTCATTAGTTTCTTATATTTGTATTATTTTTTATGATTTTAATTTAATTTAAAATAATAAATATGCTAATATTGAAATGTAAATAAAGGTAGAGTGCTGCAGAGATAATTTGGCACAAGGCATTGTAAGATTTAGAAAATTCAGCCAAAGTGTTATTAGTTATGCATATAGACATTACATAAGGTGACAAAGTTCTTATAAGCTGATTCGGATTCAATCTTGGTAAGTTTTTATACTGAGAGGACCAAATAGATGAGTATGTCCTAAGGCATGGTGAAAGGGACAATGGTCTTATGAAGCCTCAATGCCATTACTTGCTTATTGTTAAATGTTATTTTGTATATAAATGTATTCTAGTTAAAATTAAATCAATAGAAAAAAACAAATATCATAATTCACAACTAACTTTAAAAACACAGACAAGCCTGACTTCTTAACTTAAGTATACGAATATAACCATTATAAACAAGAATTATTATATGTAATAAATAATACATTAAATACATTTGTTACATTATTATTATTTGTTTATTATAAAAGGAATGTTATCATTCATAAAAGGCATGAATTCATAGCTCAAATATAATATAACCATTAGAATCAAGAATTATTGCATGCAATAAATAATACAATAAATTAATTAAAAAATCTCTGTAATCCAACAAACTATATGTGTGTTCTTATTAATTTTTCCAACTTTTTAAAAAGGAAATAAATTGAAAATTTAAGTTTGTGAGTTTAATAATATGAAAAACAAAAGAAATAAAAATGTTTCAATAGATATGGGCAATTATCCATTGCATAAAAAGCTAAATAAAAACACGAACGCGAATATTGAGACAGTCTCATGTTCAAAATGGCAGGGGAACAGATAATTATCAAAGATTTAAATATTAAAAATTAATGGTAAGTAAGGTTATTCGGAAATTCTATTTAGACAAACAAAGACTTCTTCTCAAGACTAAAGTCTTAAAATTCACGGATAAAATATCCCACATCCCATCTTTTTTCTGCAAGTTTCAATTTCCGAGCAACTCCAGTTATTGTATCGGGTATAGAGCAGTCAAAAACTGCAACACCTGTTTTTTCTACCTGGGCAAATTCGCGCCCACTGCGCCTTATCTAATCCAGAACACAGCCCACAGCGAGCTACGCAAGAGAAAGCTGAATGGAAGTCCTGGTAATGAAGTAATGCCCCAGAGCTGATAAGCTGATAACACTACGACAATCTTATAAATAAAACCACAATCTACTACTATCTAGATAAGGCCCGCCAGCGATAAAATACGAAAGTATGCTAAACCGCAAACCGACAACAAGCAAAGACCAATAAAACATATATAAACAAATGAGGCTAAAAATATAATTTTGTATATATGCGCAGCAATATGCGATCTTCGATGACTAAAAGCGTGAATGAACCCAAAACTATGAACTCTAAACACAATACGCAATACGATGAGCAGGGGCAAACGGGGCTGCAAAACTTGTGTACGTGTTCATTGCGAATTTGAGATGCGGCCAGCAATTTATAAGTACACATATGTATTTTAGTAAGCCATATATATATATATATATATATTTATACATATATGTATAGGGCATGTGCGATAAATATGCTCTTGCCGAAGGAATAACCATTTTATTATTAAATACGAAAATAACAAATTAAAAAGAAATAAATTAATATCCGTTCTATAATATAAGCAAAATGGCATTTAAAAAAGTTTATTTCAAGTTGTAGAGTTTTTATCTATTTAACTTGAGACGTCTTAGATAAGATCTATCTACAAATTGTGGTAAAATGTGTTTCAGTAACAATGGAAAATATTTCCAGGGATCGGAATATAGATGGAAAATTGATAGATTTCATTTGTATAAAAAGCATTAGACGATTTCCTTTCATCAAACATCACTTAAGGAAACGGGTTTCTACATTTTTTGGCTTCTTAAAAAAATATTTGCAAAATATTGTCTTCATTATGCAATTGAGGCAAAAAAAAAATAGTAATTAAACAATTAATGAATGAATTAATTTGTTTTTATGAATGCAAATTTGCAAAAGCAAATATAGACTTTATGGCCTATGTTATTTTTGTTTTTTGAAATTCGTTCCAAAGCCCCAAGTATTTCGTTATGCATTGATTTTGTACAAGACACAGTTTTTTTCGAACGGATTATTAAATCAAAGTTCAGACAACTAAAACAGAAATCATTGCTTAAGCTCTGAATTGATAACACAAATTTTATTTTGACACTTTAAAATAAAAAAAATATATAACAATTGAGATTATTTTCTCCCTGCCATCTACATATAAATAAATGTTATCTTATTATATTATAAAAAAAATAATTATATAATTTAATAAGATAACATTTTATCTTTATCTAAATATAATCCTGGTGAATACAATTTAATTTGAAGAATTGAATAAAATCCACGGTAATAATTTTGAGCAGCCTTAAGAGTCGTTGACATATATATTTTTTTTTATAGTTATTTCAGATTTCAGCATTTTATTTCATATTGCATTGATATTTCATATTTGCACTTAAATAATGTTATGGTAAAAATGCTTTTGCGAACGTTTGCAGAAATCGAAGACAAAAACGAAAACGAAGACGGCAATTAAAGCGAAGTTAACAGCGCAGGTAACCCGAGCAAGGTGTACTGGCGTCGCTGTCGACGTCGCTGCTCGCATCGACGCAACATGTGCACGGATTATATTATGAGTAAAAGTCTTTTCATGAGCTAGAAGCGTGCTTCGACATAAAGGAGCTACACTAACAAAAAATGCATATGCAATGTAAGGAAATAATAACAGAAAGGCGCAACAATAACCGAAACTGCAAATGTAATGTAAGGAAATAACTAAATGTTTTCACTGTACCTAGAAATGGAACAGCAAGAAGAAGAACCACACTCACCTATAGGCCAGATTCATGCACTTGAAGAGTTTGGTGAGCGAGGTCTCGATTTCGAGGTGTGAGGTGACCATGCTCACCATGCTGTTATCGTCGCACTCGCGATCCAGATCCATGCGCGGAAAATTAACGGCAGTCTGTGGCACATATAACTGGACATCGCGACAGGTGTTTGTCGGTTCCCCGGTCTTATCGAGACTAGGATCCTCGGGATCGAGCATTTTCACCTCGCCGTCGTCCTCGAGATCATCCTGCGCCTCCTCGGCTTCGAAGTGCGACACCATAAATTGGCCCGAATGAATCGATTCGCGCTCTGCTTTCGATGCTGCCAGCATTGCGGCGGCTGCGGCCAGCTCTGCTGCTGCTGTGCTGCCTGCGGCACTGTTAACGTACTGTAGCTGGGAAAGTGAATGAGGCAGCTGCTGCGGGTGCGAGTGGGAGAGCGAAAGCTGCTGCTGCTGTTGATTCTGCAATTGCTGTTGCTGTTGTTGTTGCTGTTGCTGTTGATGATGGGGGAACATGTTTGTGCGCTGATAGCTTTCGTATTTGTTCAACATCATTTTTTAATATTTACTGTTATTGTATTTGGTTTTATAGTGTGACCAGGTGCAAAGGTGAGGTTAGGATATTCTTCTTTTTTTTTATGTTTCAGGCACATATTATTATTATCATTATTACTTAATATAATTTCATATTGTTTTGTGAATACGTATTTTGAGCTTACGATTTCCCTAAACGTATATAAAAATCTCTGCAAAATGTAATTTAATTAAAATTGCACGATTATTTTATTAGTGATTTTATGTCTTTTTTTTATATTTTGTATTCTCTGTGTATTTATTTAGATTTTATATTCACACCTCGGATGCATATTTCGTTTTGTTTTTTCTGTATATTAAAGCTTATCAAGCATTAATTATACAATATTTCTTTGAAAACTTTAATTATCACTTTTGGGTTATTTTTGACGCATTTCAATTACCACATTTATGTTTGTTTGAATTTTCTACTATTTTCTTAATATTCTTTTAATTAGCATTGCTTTTATTAAAGCGATACCGTTTATTCTGCTTTTAATTTTAATTTTTAATTTTACTTCACTTTTCTATGCACTTGTTGCTTGTTGTTTTGGTTGCTTCTCTTCTGCTTTTCCAATAGGAAAACACGCCCCACTTTTTACACGTTTGCAGTTAAATGCGTCACAACACAAACATAAAAGAGCACACACACACACACACACACATAGACGTAAGTTATTAGGGGCTGATAATCGTCAGTTGGCAGCCGGCGGCCGTTGATAACTTTTCAATTTGTGAAACGGGACTGATCAAGTTGCTCGAGCAACTGAAGAACATAGAATAGAATGAAACCGGTGCTATTGCGATTACAGTAATTGGGCCCTGCAGCAATACAACCAAAACAGAAAACAGCTGACGCTAGCAAGTCTCTCGCTCTCTCGACCTCGCTGACACACTCTCTCTCTCTCTCTCTCTCTCTCTCTCTCTCTGCGTGGCTAACATTGACTTGTGCTCTCTCTCTCTCACACTCGCGCCTTATCAGCATTGGAATTTTCTGGCGCTAGCCACGGTGAGTGTCAGGGTGTGCAAGAAGAAGCAGCAACACACAAGCTTAATACATACACACTATACAAACACACATATATATACGTACGCTATGCATAACAAAAACAATTTCAAGCCCAAAGTACCGTCGAATTTAAGCATTCATTTCATTTTATCATTCCATCATTTCTTGCATTCGATGAGTATTTTTTTGAGCTGCGTGCACTTTTTGCCCTCTGTTTTTCGACTCATTTTTAGTTACAACGGGAAAACCCATACGTATTTATGTATACATACACACACACACAGATACGAAGGGGGCGCGACTGCAACTGCAAATTGCTCGGCGATCACTCATTCAGTTCAGTTCAATTTAGTTGCAGCAGAAAGAGACGATTTCACAGCGCAAGCGTGTTTGTTTTCACGTATGTGTTTTGTTTGTGATTTAAGCACTCATTTTAATTAATTTGCCTTTGCGACTGCTAATCAGCGAAATGGACTAAAACTGACCAAAACTGCATGAAAATCATATGTATATGCTGAATGCCTGACAAAAGCTGCCTGATGCTTCGAACTTTTACTCACTTGACGAAATAAAGTGTTAGCAAACGGCTAACATAATCGATATATTTATCGATAAGCCAATTTACAATAGCGCTCTTTTAAAATTTTCCTCCCCAAATAATTGAAAACCATCAAATTTATTTATGTTTTATTTGAAGTTATTTATTTATTTTTGTTTAAGTAAGTTTGTTTGTTTAACTATGCTCAGGAACAAGTTCCGAGGCCCATACGTCTTGAGGCCATCCAGTTCGACCCTTTGCAGATAGATAAACATTCTGGAAGTATAATAATATATAAAAAAAAATGTGAGTGGTATTTATTTAAGCTGAGTTATATTTACTTAATATGTTATAAATATAGAAATGTTTTATTAAAATATTATTATTAATAAGAAAAGGTCTTTCAGCTTTTTGGAAAGCTAATTTTAAAATAGCTTGCTTTTCATTTATATTTTATATTATAGCATAGCTTCTGTTTTGATTTCTTGATGCTGATCAAGTGTATATATACACTTCACTTGAAGTGTATCTGACAACCGAGCACTCTCGTCTCGATCATTCTTACGATAAATTATTAATATTAATAAATAATTAATATAATTATTAATACTAACATTTATTTTTCAAATTCAATACTTTTAATTTATTTCGTAAATTTACAAGTTCTATTTTAATAATAATGTTTACTTTCTGATTTTCACTGCGTCAAGTGTATCTAAAAATCGAGCATTCTTCCGATTCCGATTCCGATTCTGCTTATGGGATGGAAAATGCCTTCAATGTGAAAGTCATTTAACGACATCATCTAAATACATACATTAACACATTCGTATATGTATGTATGTACGTGTGTATGTATTTATGTTTCTGATAAACCAATTTTGAGGGTGGTTCTTTTTTTTTAAAAGATAAACAAAATAAGTGTTTACAAAAGTACTTGACTCCAAAACAACAAAAAAACAAGTATCTATAAATGTGCGTGTGTGTGTGTGTGTGTGTGTATGTAAATACATAGATGTATGTAATCTCGATCTATAATTGTTCACATATACATATACATGTATATATAAGAATGTGTGTATGTGTTGAGGTATCTTCATTTATGTTTATATTCACTTTCAACTATGTATCAATTTATGTACTTGTATGTAAGCACATACAAACACATATACACACACATGCAAATAAACTAGTTCATTTACACCTTTGGATACCCTGTAGAAATTTGCGAAATGTGCTTCGCAACCGAAAGCGAATTTGTTTATTGTAATTGTGTCGAATCTAAACATATTTTGGGAATGTTAACAAGGCCGAATAGGCAGATGTGTGTTTTTTTATATTTCAGCCATAGGTAAATTCATTTTAGCCAAACAAGTTTGTGGTTCGTTTAACTGATTCTAAAGTACATATATTCAAAATTTCATTGAATTTGCTTTTGGATTAATACTAAATTTGTTTTATTTTAATTTAATGTATTTCTTACTTTTTATTATTTTTCTTTTGGACACCCTGGTAAAAATCAGTTTATTATTTTATGAATCATTTTTATTAAGGAAACTTCTTATTCGAATAATTGAATAAGTCAAGTGAAGATTTAGCAAATCAAATTATGAAAAAGAAATCAAAACTTGTTTGTTTTAATAACTCTGAGTTTGACAGATGAACATACAACAGACATACACAAACACACACACACACACATGCATATGTTGCTCATGTAAGTACTCACCACAGAACACACTCACACACACCGAGATGGAGAGAGAGTGTACAATAAATGCTTTTACATTAGCTTAATAACATCAATGTATTTTTATTTTTATGTCTACATTTATTCCGAATGTACACAAATATATCGCTGGCACTTGACGATTTAATTGAGAAAACTTGCAATTCCAAATCCACCCCTGTGATAAACATTTATTTCTGATACACTATATATGTATTTGTGTGAGTGCGTCTCTCTGTGTGTGTGTGTGTGTAATTGGGCCATGTGCAAGTGTTTTCAAGCGGACGCGTCTGTTAAAACTCCTAGTAAGATAATGGACTAGGGGCAGACAAAGCAGAAAGCTGGCTTCAGCTTCCATTTATCATTATATAAAGAGACACGTGCAGTTGCCGCCGCAAAACATTTTACAGTCTGTAATGTTAAGTGCATAGCATAACTCCATATTCAGCAAGACGTCGAACAACAGTAAATTTCAAGCAGAGTCGGGCAACAACAAATAGTTCGTCGGAGCTTCAAGGCCATCGACCAGTTCGCTCTTTGAGAATGAACAGCAAAGGAGAGATCGCAAAAGAATAAGAACGAAAGTCTTTCGTTTTGCTTTGGCGCCGCATCTGGCCACAATGCTGCTGCTGGGAACAATTGCCTTTTGTTCCGTCCATGCGAATGCCAAAAGCAAACACTCCCCATTTCGCTCAGTGATCGAGCACTCTAATACGTTCACACTATTTTTTTTGCTGCCGCTCTCTTTGTTTCCGATGCTAATGCTAATGAAGGCTAATGAAATGAAGCGATTGAGTTAAAATATTAAAATATGTCCGATGTTGCAAATTTATATAATTAGATTATTACAATATTTTATTTTAAACATAGCTTAAAGAAAATAATTCCTGCAATTCTCATTAGAAAGATATCTAATATTTGCCTGGTATTGGCTTCCAATTGATAAATAATGTACTATGACATATTTGTGACCCAACTGTTTAAATTGCCCCCAAACTGATTCTCATATTGATCTCATTGCTATCAGTGGGTGCAAGAATTTCCTGTACACATAATAAATTTACGTGTGAAAAAATTGACATCCTGATAATCGACGCGAGTCTATATATATATATATGTGTGTGTGTGTTTATGTGTGTGTTTGTGTGTGATTACTATGAATGAGTACGCATACACTCACACCCTACACATACACATATGCAAAAAGGTTATGGGCACGTGATTGTCACAAGTCGGTGATTTATAAACCCTTCAGACCTGCTTGTATTTTAATGAGCCCAACCTTCTATTGGGCAATATAAATAGAACTAGTTTTGTTCGATGTAATATATTTAAAAGATTGGTTGAGCACATCTGCTAAACGAGTTCGCTCGACAAGAGCATTCAAATTTTGTTTGTTTTGATTTAATTACATATTCATCATATATTAAATGTATTAATATTAAATAATTAATAAATTTGTTAAAACACTAATTTTGGTTGTTGATAAATACAGTTCATCCATCGACCTTCCTTCTGAGAAATACAAAATGTATTAAAATATTTAAATACTTACAATATTCATAGAATCGTCAGTTTCCTTAAATATTTACATGCCGCACATGAAATAAAAGTCTTTTCATTAGTTTTTCATATTGGCATTAGAATAATATACAAATAAATACACATACTTACATGCGCTTAAAAACAATTAATTTAAACTAGAACTTCACTTTTTAAAGAGAGCAAAAATAAAAAATAAAACCGAAAGTTGCCGTCGGTTTGGTCAAAAAGCAGCACAAACTTCATGTACGAATATTTTTAATGAGCTTCTGGATATATATAGCATATCATATTTTTGTGTGGTCTAACTTACATCCCTCATGCAACACTTTTTTACAACATATACATAAATACTCTCAACTCAAATGCATACAAACCTCATTGATTTGTTTCGATTCATTATTATAGGCTTTTCGGTTCGGTAGCTTAAGTTCCGCCTGGAATCCGCCTTTGGGTTCTTGATCTCCATCCAATACGTCCACCAAGTAGTTAATGTACAAAATTGCCAACTTCAACGTTTTTATCTGTAAATGTGAATTAAAATATTAATAGTTAAGTCTCGAAAGACGGAACAACAATCTTCGACATACCGAGGATAAAAAACATTTGGTAGACGTGAGTAAAAAATCCAGGATAGAGGTCCTTTGAAATTCACAAATAGTACATGAATACAACAAAATAAAAGTCTCATGTTCAACCTGAACTTTTATACAGAAAAGACTTGCTGCTGTCATGCAATTTGATCAACATAAAAAACGCTTTTGTGCTTCTTGATATGTGCTAAGCAACAATTCTACAGTTCATAATATGGACTAATATGGACCAAGGTTCTTGCAATCGGAAAGCGATCACTGTCGATATAATAATATAGTTTTTTTTATATCGGCATGGTTATTTAGTCGGGCGGATAACCCGAGGTTGATTGGAGAAGCTTCCTTCGGCCTGATACAAAAATTTGAAGTTTTTTAATATAATAAAGGGGAAGTACTGAGAATTAACCACATACAATTGGCCAAAAGGAACACGTTTCTATTTTTTACTAATATTTAAAATCATGTTAAACTTTACAATCAAATTGATAGAACTAAAGTGTTTTTTGCAAAGTTCTCTGCAAAGTTAAAATGTCTTTCATAGTCCGCAGAGACCTATCCGTAGATCTGGAATCTTATAACAATTTAAGACACTTGGAAGTGTTTTCGTATAGTATTATGCATAAATACTTACCTTGGATAACTTTGTGTCAGAAGGAACATTTGGAATTCTGTCTCGCAGGCATGAAAAGGCATTATTAATGCTTTGTGTACGCCGTCGTTCTTTTTTATTAGCGGTATTTCTCTTTTTTATAGTTCGAACCGTTTGGTGTGGATTGTATCCTAAATTATTAACCGGCGAGTATATTTCACCGACAGCTTTCCTGTTGGAATCTAAAATTAGAAAACAAAAGGAACAATTGATTTTAATGTTGCCAACGATTAAATTCCATTTTAGACAAATGGCTGATCTCAGTCAAATAAAATATTTTCGATCGGGGGAAGTTATCGGAGGTCTGCAATAGACTTGTGCCAAAATTCCAAATTAAAAAAAAATAATTTTCAAACAGACAGACATATGTGTATCAATTTATGAATTTGAACTTTGTGGAGTCTATATATTCATAGAGTATATATATTCATGATCAGCATCACTAGCTCCGTCGCCGTCTCATTTTTTACACATATTTTTTTTATAAATGATATTCCGTCGGTTTTAAAGCTCTGTTCTTGTGGAAACTTTGACCTGGTCAGACTACTATATCAAATACCTGACTTAGGAACAATGGCTCGAAAGATGAGTTTTAACTTGTGGGATCGAAAGCAAAGATGTCACCCTTTCGGTAAAATAACACTACACAAATATAGAATATTTACTTGGCAGCCACTTGTAAAAAAGTAAACATAAAAGCATTTTCTTAAAACGTATATTTCAAACCAATTTCGAGATATTTTTTATACTTCAGCAGCTTAGCTTGGTTTTTTTACATTTTGTTATTTATTAGTTGAATCTTGTCCCGTTTTGTGTTGTTTTTGGGTTGTGTAATACAACAATTCGTTTTTGTTTTACTATACATTGATATATTTTAATTTTTTTTATTATCTATTTTTTATTTGCTTTTTTCTCATGCATATACGCACAATTATATTGCTTCTTTTTCAAATACATACAATCATAAGCATTGATATCCGATATTAGCGAATTATTATAGCCACTGTTGTAATAAAACGAAGGAGTTTCCCGGCACACAGGATTTGAATATTTCGCCATTTCACTCTTTAAACAAAGGTCACACAATATGATTTTGATTATTAATCAATTATTATTCTATTGCTATTCACGCGTGCTCAGAATCTTTACATTCTTGAGAATGTATTTCATTACCGCCACAAAAATAACTAAATATCATTGAAGAATATTTTCGAGTCCCGAGTCTGTATCGTCATAATTACATATTAACCACACCGATTCCGGAACACACCCCCAAAGTCAGCCAATGGTGAACGTTCCTCTGATGACTCTCATTCAACCAATCGCAAGTCGTGGTGAAAATAGCATTAATTTTTACGTTTAAATAGATTTCAGTCAGACATGCAGAACTCTGTATGTATCTATCTGATACATCCCATCCCTTCAGTACACATTAGCTCTTCAGAACGAACAGAATGTTGCCAGACTGATATTGATCGATTGGATATTACAGGCAACTACAACAAATATATTTAAAGTTAATTTGACCTTAAACATTTGAAAATGTGCTTACAACACATTTGATTGCTGTTTGTTAGGTAAAAAATACTCAATATTTATTTCTTTATTTGTCATGACTTTTCGGAGTTTTTAATATGTTTTCAGAATTATTTCATTAACATTTCTTTCTTTTCATATTTCTAGATTATTTAATCAATTGTTTCTATTTATATACATAAGCCAGACACAAATCACTTTGTTTTGTGTATATCTGGTGCATATAACATAATATAAAAATAATTAAAGTTTTAGAGTGCTCGGTACGATCATCGGAATTGAATCCAGTAAAGAATATATGGAAGAAGATATCTCAAGATTAGGCTGATGTAGGCAAAAGCAAATCCCATCTTCCTGGATGCAAAAAGTAGATGAATTTGGAAACTATTCAAAATATTAATTTTGCATTTTGAGCTCGTTTTCCGAAAATGTATTATTTTTTAAAAGATTTCTTCAAGTGTTATAAATGTGATACTTTTTGAACGTATATATTTTTTTCCAGCAAAATTGCTTAGTGTGGATGGAAAAATTATAAAAAATTATATATTCAATTTTATAAGCGGAAAAGCAATTCTTCTAATTGAATTTGGGGGAGTGTCGGTATCCAGTAATTTTCTGGGAACAACACCAATTTGTTCTTTTAGGGATTCATATACAGATCATTCTGTTATACACATTAATTCGGTCGAGCTATTATCGTAGTATCTTTGTGCCAAATGTACTTTTAACCAGAGTTTCATCTACCTTGTCTAAGGGATGGATGGAATCACTCCCCAACTTATACAGATTTATGCCCCAAACATGACATCACTTAATGGTTTTCAATATCCGCGATTTGAATAAACTGTTAGCCAGTCTGGACTGTGTTCTGCAAATTTTCTGCACGGTCCATAAGCCATAATTTAAGTTGCTCCTCAGACAACCTCTGGTTGCAAATCCCGAAAACAGACTTCCAGTCGGTTTTTTTTTTTTTTGCTTAAATCTAAACACTTTTCGTTTCCTTTAAAACCTAGCCGAGCTCAGACGCCTTTTTGGAGAGTCATCGAGAAAGGAACAATTTTTCAAGGCCTGGCTTTCGGCACATTTAGAACCAATTCGTAACCTTTAATTCATGCACGTTTTTTTTCACTTGCAGCATACCAGGCACTTATTATTGATGAAGTACAATCTAAAATTCTAGAAGTGAAGGTGTATCTTCACCAACTTATCTGTAGGTCATTACCTCTGAGACTTTCTGGTCTGTTTTAGAGCGAAGATCGTCAACGTCTTAAATATACTCATTGGCACAGTTAAAGTTCTTTTCAATACGAGCTTTCAATCCTTGCTTTCTGATAGCGTCGATGTAGATTGTGTTTACAGCTAAGCATATTTTGTATAATCACTTCTGACTTTACTGAATCATCATCTTCCTTTTGGGTCAAGGGCTTTTTTGGAAAGTCTTTGAAGCCAGGTAACTTTTCATCGGTTCCTTATTCGGCAGATTGCCTCTGCAATTCTCGCAATCAAAATACGAATACAATGAAGTACAGTTCCATAGAAGTGTGAACGTCTACAAAAGAATAAAAAATACCTACTCAACTTTGTGTGGTATATTATTTCAATGGACAAGCCAAAATTGAATTTCACCGACATTCATTCAAACTCATGTCTCGAAATATTTATAGTTTTTAAACGTTCGGTTAGAGACTCAAATAAAATATTTGTATTCAATAATTAATAGCTCAACCTTCCGAATAAAAGTCGATTTTTAATGAGCAAACTTTCAAAAATGAACACTTGTAGCTATAAAACCGCTAAAATGACAGCACTGGTCAGTTGTCCAACCGGTCATAAACCTGATTCAAAGCTCTGATGCGCTTGATAGTAGCAGATTTAAGCAGAAGCCGACGGTACAAGTTGAGTGTCTATTATATTTTCAGTTCAGTCAATTTGAAGCAGCAGAACACAGTGAGTCGTGAAGTTCTTGCCGATAGATACATACATAATTTAAGAATTCGATTTACATAAATATACGTACGTATTTTGGTATAAGTGTATAAATAAATGAGAATTTAATTAAGTACGAAGCCGAGTCACATATATATAATAATTGCCGTTTGCTGTCTTGTTAACAAACAATGCACACATTTACATTTCTATACACGAATATTAAAGTATATATGTAATAATACAATGAGTATATATATAATATATATATATATATATATACTAATAATAAACATACTAATAATAATAATATATATATATATAATATATATATATATATATATATATATATATAATTACATATCTGCATTCGTTGAAGTACAGTATAATTGTATGTATCTATATATTTATTTAATACTAACTAAACAGGTTTGTCATCTTCAGCCACAAAAAAAAACAAGATAGAACGTCTGTCTAAGGCACACCGAAGATTGGCTACCCTTTTTGATCGAAGTGCACCTGCTGAAATATACATTTATTTGTACAATCGATCGCTAGAATAATATGGAAGGTATCTGATACAGTAGTCCGATTTTTTGCACAAATGTGACGAGTGTAATTAAATATTTAATTATTGAGTTTGGTTTAGCTAACCTGTTAAGCAAAAATGTTTTTACTAAAGCAACAAATGTATAGTAATCCGATTCGTCCGCCTATATGTTTTATCATAATAGCTTTAAAAGTGGGAAGCACTAGTCCGTATATAATAAGGCTCAACTCGTCATGCTGATCAAAATATATAAACATCGTTTTTAGGGAGTGGAAAAATTGCCATTCAATGTGTTACAAAGTTATCGACAAAATTATAATACTCTTTGCGGTTTGCCGAAGATTAAAAATTACGTAAATGAATTTCGAGCGATTGTTTCCATATTTTTATTATATAGACCGGTATTGATAAGCAGTTGTTTTAAAGAAGCGTTGATAATTTTTCAATCGCTGAGTTTGCTCGCAGCATCTTATTAAATATGTTTATTTGTATATTTTGTGTACTTTAAATGTGTCAATACCAAAATTTGCTCTAATCAGCAAACTGAATTTAATCATTTGTAGGCGCTCACAGGCAGAGGTGAGGAGAGTCGGAAAGCATCGATACTTTAAATAAACACATAGAAAATCGGAAAAATAAGAGAGTGAGTGAAACCCCTTGTAAACTTTCAGTTATTTCTGTACGCAGTTTAAACGTGGTTTGTCTCCCTTTGCGAAGAACTGGGTACGCCTTTGTACGTATATAAGTAATGGAAAAATATATAAAAAATGTTGATGTCAAATGTCTTTTTCTATTATCTTTTACTTGAAATACTTTTGTATTTACTTGTATTTATTTGTATTGTATTTACTCATATACTTATATTTTATATTAAATTATTTTTTATTTTTTGGACCAACAACAAAGCGAATTAAATAGAATTATATTCATTCTAGCTGTTTACTCAAGATAATAGCGATCTTGTTGCGTTTTGACTTTGACCTCTAGAATAAAGTAAATCAAGAATTTTATAACAAAACCATTTTTTTGCAACCGTTGAGGTCTTTGAAAACAATCCACCCAAAAAATTGATATTAGGCGAAAACTATTATTTGCAATTTTATTTATTTATTTTGTCCCATCCGAACCGCCGTAAATTGATTTGCAAAGATATCTTCAAATATTCAAAGCAAATATTAAATAATTTCGCATTATTTTTGTTTTTAGAAAATTTGTCTCCTCCATCAGCAGATTAAAACAAGAGAGAACGTTGCAGTCGGGCGTAACCGACTGCGTCATACTTTGATACCAGACGCAATAAAAGCTAATAACAGGTAGCAAAGGACAGGGTGGGTCTAGCCAAGAAATACTGTCCAAGTTTGCCTTTCAAATTGCGACATATATAAGGTAGTAACGTTTCCTTGAAGTTTGGTAACTGCAGCTCTTAAATTACGGGAGATATGAGATTTTAAAAATGTTTGGGGGGGGGGGGGGGGGTGGGAGAGTAGGCGTGGTCGAAAAAATTATTATTGAAGGTTCCTAGTAATCTTCCTTCCAGGTTTGGTAACTTTAGCTCTTAAATTACGGCACATATAGGTTTTTGAAAATTTTATGGGCAGCAGCGGGCGTAAGTTACCATCCAAGTTTGATCACTCTATCTTCAAAATTGTGGGAGATATGCGGATTTATCGATTTACACTTTCCGAAATATCGGCTTTGACGATTACGGGCGCAGGTGTGGGCGTGGCCATACAAATTTGATGTAGGGTTTTAAAGACGGCTAAAAGTAATGTAAATGCCAAATTTGACGGCTCTAACTCAAAAACTGCGGAAGATATGGCCATTTAAAATTCGTAGGACCGGGGGCTTGGGGCGGCGTAGGTGAGCGTGGCATATTCCGATCCTTGAAGGATATCGCCAACAACCTACCAGCCAAATTTGTTGACTGTAGCCTTAAAATTGTGGGAGACATGTGCCTTTATCGATTTGCAAATATCGATTTTATTGATTTCCTCGCCTCCTGGTGGACGTAGCTCGCAAACTTTGTCTGTTGCAAGTTTCAAGTCCGGCTGAACCGGCTGACTGTCTTGTCTCTTTGGTGATCCACACATAAAAACAAAGCGAAAAAGCTTGAAAGCCGAATTTTTCCCGGAGTTGTGATTCATGATTGTAATTCACATAAAGCCGGTTGTAGTATAGTTGGATGATATGAACAGCATTGATATTATTTATTTTACAATTGTTTGCCTTAATGTTGTTGACATCGGGGAACTTTTGAAGGGCGTTTTCGACTCGCCATTGAACACAATTATATTCACGCAAATGTTTATTAAAAGCGCTGCTAGTTAACTTAAAAGGAATCACTTTTTTTCAGAAAACCAAACTATGAAAATTAGTTGCTTTATATTATGCCTTATGGCATCCGTCTGCGTGGCACAAGATGGCTCGTTGGACGATCTAATTTCGGAGATTTTCAATACAGACTCTAATTCATTCACTTCGACAAGCGAAACGCCTGAGCCTGTGACTATTGAACCAGTCGTTGAGACCAAACAGCAAATTAAATACGAGTCCTGTGGCATAGAAAAAGAATGTGTTCCTCGTTGGTTATGTTCTGAGGACGAGATAAATACCAGCGGAATAAATATAATAGACATTCGTATAGACACTTCGTCACCCTGCCCAAAGTATTTGGAAGTCTGCTGTGCTCTTCCCAACAAAGTATGTATAGCAACTCGAGATTCGAGATCAATTCATAAAATTATACTAATATTCGTATTCAGAGAGATAAACCAGATGTACCAACTGGACCTATTGACCAGAATCGAGGCTGCGGCTATCTAAACCCTAATGGTTTTGGTTTTAAAATAACTGGCGACGAAAATCAAGAAGCTCAATTCGCTGAATTCCCATGGATGGTTGCGATTCTGCGGCAAGATTTCCAACTCAACTTGTATGAATGTGGGGGTGCCGTTATAGCACCCGATGTGATATTGACAGCAGCTCATTGCGTTCATACCAAAGACACTACAAACCTTATTGGTAATATTAATAATATAGCTGCTATAGGTATCGCTAATATTTGCATATTTCTTTCAGTCAGGGCTGGTGAATGGGATACGCAAACGACGAAAGAAATAATTCCACATGAAGATCGTTATGTCAAGGAGATAGTATATCATGAAAAATTCAATAATGGATCTCTTTACAATGATGTTGCACTGCTCTTCTTGGACAGCCCATTGGTCTTCCAAATGAATATTCAACCCGTTTGTCTGCCAGATATTGGCGAGAAATTCGACTTTGAACGCTGTTTTGCAACTGGTTGGGGTAAAAATAAGTTTGGCAAGGATGGCGAATATCAGGTCATATTGAAAAAAATTGATCTGCCCGTCATGAATAATCCAACATGCCAAGAGAACCTTCGTAAAACACGTCTCGGAAGACATTTCATTTTGCATGATAGTTTCATGTGTGCAGGCGGAGAAAAGGACAAGGATACGTGTAAGGGCGATGGTGGTTCCCCATTGGTGTGCCCCATTAAAGGGCAGCCTGATCGCTACAAGGCCACTGGCCTAGTTGCCTGGGGCATTGGCTGTGGCGAAGAGAATATACCTGGGGTTTATGCAAATGTTGCATATCTAAGACCATGGATTGACGAAAAACTTGCAATGAGACGCATTAATTCGAAATACTTCACGGCTTAATCCATTAGCAATTAATACGCATAAAGTAAAAAATGTTCTTTAATGAATTGTGCAAATATCAACCAGAAGACAATAAATCGATTTTATAAATACAAAAAAAAACCTAAATCTTTTCATAATTTATGTCACATATGTTTTATTGTTGCTAAAATATTCGTTTTATATGAATATATTTTGTTAACTGTATGTGGAAAATCAATTGGATCTACGACTAGAAAGAATAACTCTCTAAGGCAGCAGTCGGCGTGTTGCATATTCTTGCAGACTAGAGTCCATTTACTCAAATCTAAATGTATATTAAAGTTTACAAAAGCAAAAAGTCGAAAATATATCCAACAATGCAATAAACTCATTATAATAATGCCTTCCAAAAGATATGATAATGTCAAGGCGATTTTCACCATACACATATTAGAGATAGGATAACCTGGAATACCGTTGCTTCTATGAAGCGATGCTGGAATGGTTTCGAAAGGATTAACTAATGTGAATAAGATTTTTGCATGTCCACGAATTTATCTCGAGTTCTGAACATCGCTTTTAAGCTTAAAAACATTTTTATTTATATCTATTACCAATATTTAAGTAAAAATATAAGGAGCGGCTATCTGAGAATACATACGGTGCACAAGGCCGGAGTTAATCTAATGACATTTTAATTCTGGATCGGAGTTCAAAATATTATGTTTTTTTTACATGTTAAATAAATGTTCTTTGTAGATTTTCTGATTCACGACTGGTATTAAACTGAATATTCCATACTTGTTTAGCTATATTGTGGCATGTATCGACCGATTGCTACTATGGGATTTATTTAGTGACCGCAGCTAAGGCACAGATATAATCCAACTTTAATCAAGATAGCTTTCAAATTCGGGAAGTTCTGCTTATTCACAAAAAATAAGGTCAGACGGACAAGACTATATCGAGCCGAGTCGTTGCTGGCACAGTATGTATGTATCTTATTTATGGGATCGGATACGTGTGTTTTAATGTTTACGAACATCAGAATAGTAATTTTAATTTTATAAAAATAAAATAAATACAAATTATCAAAGCTAACAAGTCTATAATAAATCATTTATATTTATATATAATAAACTTATATATATATATATAAATATATATATATATTATATTACATTATATTTATACCATTTCATTAAAATTTTGTTAGAAAAAAGGAAAAAACGGGATCTCTACCCTGTACATAGAAACATATGCATTTCCGGAACGAAGTACAAAGGAAATGGTAAGCTTAGCCAGCCGTGGCTATTCCATTTATCGGAAACTACTATTATAACTGTTTAGTTATGTACTAGCTAAAGCATACATACGAATAAATATGTTTGCCTTCATCTTAACTTTTACCAGGGAATTGAACAGACACAAGTCACGCGATCGGACGCCTTCAGTCGTATCAAATATTTCTATTTGCCAGTTTTTGTACTTGAATTCAAGAGAGTTCAATCCAGCCACTTTATGTAATTTGTTATTACTTACACTTAGTTACAAAACTTAAGAAAGTGGTAATTTATCAATTCATTAACAATGAAAATCCATTTCAAATGTTTTGACTGGGTACGATTTTAAATAGCGAGGCAACATTTTGTACTAAGAAAAATATTTCCAACATATTTATATCAAATGCCAATTCTGTGGTGTTCTAAAAATCACAAATATAAAAATCTAGAAACGATTGGCCTAAATTCAAAAAATGGAATTTATTTTTTTTAATTGCGGTTATTTAATATTTTAGTGTAAACATTTTGTTGACCAGTGTTTCTTCAAAAATGCTCCAGCTCCAAAAAAAATGTTAAAACATGTACTACATAAGCGATATCTTGTGTATTAATATGAGTGTGTTTGAAAACAAAAGTGAACTTCGCGCGATTATAAATGCTCCAGCAAATAATCCAGATGCTCATTGCTGCCAAAGACCGTTGAGCATCAACATCAAAAACCAATAAGCAAAATATAAGAAAATAAATTATTTGAGATGACAGCATGCGTAAGATTTACTCAATTTTTACAACGACGTGCTTTTGAAAATACTTAAATATTTCAGATCACTTGCGTCTTTTCAATACTTTTCATTTCATCGCTGATTCTTGCGGGTGAGACGCAAGCGAACTTCTACGGTCTTAAGGATACTAATCAGACTGTGAATCTTCGCAATAGGACGAACACTTCACTGAAGAAACCATTAATTCATCCAGACTCTCAAGAGTTTGAAATTTTAGATCCGAATTTTCTCGTCAATCGCAGTTACGAAATTCGAAAGAGTCGCTCTAAAAAAAAACGGCAAGCTGCTCACGGGACAAAAACGTCGCATCAAAAACATCACAGATCTTCGAACAAACAAAATAAATTAAAATCTAATTTACATCATGGTGACAATAGTGACGTGAAGATATACGAAACTTTTGAAGAAATACACGAGCACATCAATGAGCCGGATGAAAACGATACACAGTTCGAACTTTCTAATCGTTCTGAGCATGAACATGATCATGAACAGGAACATAAGCATGAGCACGACAAATCTACGGGTAAAATAGAGAGCGCTGAGGAAGAAAAGGAGAATAAGCACGTTAAAATCAAAGTGAAGCATCATCATCACCACCATCATCATAATCATATAAAGGAGGTTGTAAAATCTGTGCCGAAACCGTATCCCGTTGAAAAGATAGTACACATTCCGATTGAGAAAATTGTTGAAAAAATTGTGCATGTTCCAAAATTTGTGAACGTTACGGTGGAGAAAATTATACATGTGCCTGTGGAAAAGATCGTTGAGAAAATAATTCGAGTTCCGAAACCAGTTCACATACCCAAACCATATATGATTGAAAAAATTATGGAAAAAATTATACATGTACCCAAACCATATCCTGTTCTTAAAACTGTTCCATATCCGGTAGAAATTAAAGTACCGGTACCATATGAAAAAAAAATTCCAGTTCCTTATACAGTGGAGGTTGAACGAAAAGTGCCAGTTTACATTAGCTCACAAGAGCCCTATAAGTACGAGCATACCTATTCCAGCCCCTACACAGAGAAACACATGCCAAAATTCGCTTCTGAAACTGAAGAAACATCTCATTTTCCAACTTATTATTCGGAAAAATATAATTTCAATAAGCCAAATCCAATCAGACAAAGTTATATTGAACCTACCGAAAATTACAGTTTTAATAAACCAATCCCATTTAAACACACCGAAATACCTAGGACGACGGAATACCAAACAAACGTTGAGCCAGCAGAGAACTACAATGTATATAAACCAAATCCATTTAAGCAAACAGAAATACCTAGGAAATTGGAATTCCAAACTATTACTCAGCCATCTGAAAATTATCACTTTAATAAACCAATCCCATTTAAGCCAACTGTGTTACCCAGGAAAACGGAATATCAACCAACAGAAAATTACAATTTTAATAAACCGATACCATTTAAACAAACCGAATTACCGAGAAAAGTGGAATTTCAACAAGTAGAAAATTACAATCTCAATCAACCAATCCCACTTAAACAGACTGAGATACCTAGAAAAACAGAATATCAAACTAATAATGAACAAACAGATCAATTTACGAATATCGAAAAACCAAAGGTAAATTCACCACTTGAGCCCTCTGCGGCAGATAGCACATTTATTCCTGTTAAGCTTTTAGATCCAAAATCTCAATTTATTGTCGTAACTAATAACGATACGACATTTGATTTCAACCCACCAATATATGGTAATAGGTTTAATGAATTACCGATTTCATTTCCAGTCGAATTCATTCAAATGCAACCGATGCCTTTTCATGGTCCACTTACATTAGAATCATCAATTCCGAAATCGTAATTTAATAGTACTTGAAGGAATGCAATGTTATTAACATCATATTATAACATAATTATAATATTATATAAAATTATTTTATTGTATATTTTTAATTACAATTTATATGTGTAGTAGATAGATGTACTAAACTAGCCAAAACAGAGCCAAATCTGCACATTATTTGGTTCGTCAAAGAGTATTGTTGCTGCCCCCCATATAACCTATACATCGTCGATACATCTATCATCGAAAACCGAATTGAAAAATTAAATCATAAATATACCATTGTTGTTTCTTACTTGTTTATCAAATTGACCGTGTTGTCAGTTTTTGCCACATGCCCCAACATCTTAATATTCTGTATACTTTTTTTAATTCTTAAAATTCATAATAAATAAAAGTGTTTTGTTCTAAATACATATAAAACACAAATTAAAAATAATAATTAAAAATATATATTTTTTGGCTCTTATATCGTTTCTCTGTCAGTTAGTTTGTTTCTTAAGCGAACTAAAATCATTTCAAGTCTGTCAAACCTAGGTGGATTTTGAAACTTCTTCCGACCTGTCCTAACGATAAATGGTCGTACTCGGAAATATTAAACCAGGTAAGCCACAATATAAAGGTATGCACATAGATCGATACAGAATCTATATCTATAATGGATATAGTACTTGAAGTCTGCTGAAACTTGAATATTATCTCTTGCCAATCGACGACCATCGTCAATGGTGAAACGAATTAATTTTGCACCTTATAAGCAAGAAAGAATGTCTATACATTATATGAGATTCGCACCAACACTGGTGCTTTGGTTGAGATGATGATTTCAGTTAAGCTTTAGCACTGTCTGATAAGATGTCAAGCGTTGGAGAAGTCCAGAACCAATAAAAATTGCCCAACCGCTGGAAAGAAAACTAAAGATTTTAATAACGAAATCAAGTACTGCAAGAAGAGAAGCCAATGTCCCTGAATAATAGGCAATAAAGGTCTTGAGACATTGCATAAGACACCAAAAAAATAGCATTACCATTAGGGAAATATAAAACACATATACATGAAAATTCGGTTCTCTAAAGTATCCTTTAAGCGCCAGTGTTTGATTTCTTATCCTATTAAATTCTAGCTGTTCGATTTTGTGAAGGAATTAAGGAGTCAATCATTTCCGGAATAGCGCAATAGCTTAAGAGTGATAGAAAGGATCTTTCTAGGGAGCAATCAAGAAAATGTTAAGGTATTTGCTGATGAGTTCGAAAAGCGCTATCTCCACTCTCCCTCTCTCAGGAATTGTGCGGCTGCTCTTCCAGAGTCAGTTCATATTTTCCTTCTCTCTGGGAAAGTCCAGTTTGAATAAGTCAACGATTTTTGGAGGTGCATCTGCCGCACAGGTTTACTATAATCTCCAAACCCAATATTTACCTTAAAATGAGCAAACTAAAACTTCAAGGTTTTTTAACTGACCGCTGCTTTCACTTTATTATTCTCTAATCTGTCAGGAAATTCTGTTGCATTTTGAAAATTATATATTATCTAATAAATGTAACTTGTTTCGATTCGTACTGTGAAGATCTTTAGAAAAATATACGCTTGAAAGAGATTTCATACAACAAAAGTTTGAGAAGTATAAGTACAAGTAAAAGTACACTATGATATCCCATTATAATTACAATGCTAAAGGTTTTCGTTTTATTATTATTATTTTAATTTTTTTTTTTAAATTATTTTATGTCAACAAAAAATATACAAAAGTAAAAAAATTGATTAAATTAAATAAAAATAAAATTTAAAATTATATATAAATTAAAAAATAATAATAACAACTTATAAAATATCTAATGTATCAATTTACACAGATTAAAAGTTGCATTATTTTGCCGTATTGTTCCATGTTCCATTTTCGATGTTTCATTTTGTATGCATACTACAGCAGCGAACCAGTGAGAACGACCTGCATCGAATCGTTCATCATTGATTCAGAATAATGAACCAGTGATATGAACGATTACCAACACTCTCACAGAAAAAAAGTAAATAATAGAGTAAAACAAATTGAATAATATAATAAAGCAGTCCTTGAAGACGCACAAAAATTACAAACACAAATTATTCGAAATATTCAAAGTGAAGGTCAAAGTTAAAAATGTCTACAGAAGAGTTGCAAGCTGATTTGGATAAACTAAAAATAACACAAAAAGATGAACAAATCAAAGTGTGCACCAGAAATCCATTTTACAGCCCAAACATGACTTTGTGTTCCGAGACAACAGTGGCACCAATTCAAAGTACAAAACAATTAATTCACTGCAAGATGCGTCGAATACGACGAAGGTCAGAGAGCAACGTGGATGACTTCGAAAGCCACAAACAATTGGATTCTGCAATTTGTGCAGATCATTTCGACATTGTGAATCCTCTGCGTTGCCAGTCCGGAGTGCATAAGCTCCATTTGAAACGGACCAATTTCGCCACATCGAAAAGAAATCTTCTGCGTGAACCAATTTTACGGCTCACCCACGACAATCATCTGCACACGAAATGTGTTTTTGGTAGCCGTGGGATGCGTCGAATGTTCCCATTGAATTTCGATGAGAGGAGTCGCTCCACTTTTCATAAGCCCCGATCAAATAGCATTAAATCTAGTATAGGTGGAAATTGTAGCTTTCGGGATCTGATAAGCGAATGCAATATCCTGCTGGATGAATCGAAATCGAAGAAAGCTATTTTGGATAGCACCTGGCAAATGTCAAAAAACTTTCAGACATGCCAAAAAAGTGAAATCGCATCGTCAGCAGCCAGCAGCAGTTGCGAATACATTGAGGATCAGGATCACGGACCTAATTTTCGGCAGCGACCCATCATTAGCACAGGCTCGAGACTCTCATGCTCCCAGGAGGCAAGCAATAATCCACCAAATTCAAGGAATGGCGACGATGTCACCATTGTCGAGTTAGCCAGCTACTTCGACACAATGGTGCACATTCCTAAAAAGATGTCCTCGATGGCGGAAATGATGTATATTTAATTACTGGCACTGCCAAAATTACATTTAATTTACTTAGTATATATTTGTGTATACATAATTCAATTTCACTGTTTTCTTGTACATACATCTATATGTATATAAACAAAGAAATATTTATATGAGTGTCATTAGATTAAATCTAAATCTTTATGAGCTGTACATACCGATATTGTTAATGATAAGACTAACTGCGGTATCAAATTAAAATTGTGTAATAATATTGAATTCGATTGTTGTAGTTTTACATGGTCCCCAAATTTTGAAACTGTTTTCACATATCTTGCAAATTAAAGGTTCCTAAACAAAGCTCATCGTTAGTCCCAAGGGAATACAATTTCATACAATGGACTTTTCAACAAATAATGGTTCGAGTTTTCATTAGCTAATTTTATTAAAATTTCTAATTTGCATCGCCTGCTATACCTGGAAAATCGCTTTAAAAAACATTTATGTGATTTGATTAGTTAATATTGAATACTTGATAGGATATTATAGCATAGTACATAAAAAGAAATCCCCGCCTTCTGCCAAATTCTTATTAGTATTCGGTTCATTGGTAAGTTTTAGTTACGACTCGGACCACCACCACGAAGATTGTGACGATAGCGTATACCTTCGGTTAGTAGTGTTAATAATTAATAGTGTTACTAACCTCGCAAATCCTCGGACTCAGACAGGTTAAGATTCAACCAGAATAAGTCGCTGAACTTGAGGTTCAAAATGAGCTCGAAAGTGAGAGTGATGACGTAAATTTTTTAGGGGAAGATAGATCCGTTCAATAAAAAACCGAGTGAATACAACACAACACCTGGTTTATGCCGTGAAATAACAAACAAGATCCAGATATCGCAGAACAACAGGCTCAACTGAGCAAGACAGGACAAAGTGTTTGATGTTGGAGAGAAAGTTCTCGTAAAATCCAACAGGAGACTAGGTAAAAAGTTTACTACAGTGTGTCTAAGGAAAAGAGTCAAGACGATTTGAGGACAACGGCACTCATAGAGGGGGTGGTCCACAAGGATAACCTCCGATAAAGGTGTTGGTTCCCTGGCAAGCACTTATTTTTTATAAAAACCATTATTACATTAGTGCTAAAATGTTTAATTCCTCCAAATATAAAATGCACTGTGTAGCACTTAGTTGATGCGAAGAATAGGCAGTTAGTTATAGACACGAGAATCCAGACCCAAATAAATCAGCTGACCGACGCAGTAATCCGTTTGTTAAAAGTTGCAAAAAATAATCTTGTTGACACGTCTCACTTATGTGAGACCTTTTTGGCAAGAAACCACACTTTAAAAATTAAATATTGTGAGCCCCAACCTTCTTGACCATGCCGGTCTAGAATCCATATTCACTAACCAATTCACAGGCATTACAGTCACTAGGTATGTCTAATATTAAGATTTTGCAATCTATAAATATAATATATTTCATTATTGAGTATCCTCATTAAGTTAAGTCTCTATGTAAGGCACACAATTCCCGAAGGCACACAATTCCCGATGGCACACAATGGCTAAACACTGCATCTCCCAGACAACATCGTGGCAGAGTGCAAGCACGAAATATTAGCCATAACTAATTGCACGAGTTCTGCAAACAAGCTTAGAAAGGCACTTGCGCTCAAGGGCTATACTCTTGAGGCGTAGCGCATTGTGAAACGTAGCCGAGCCATCTGGACCCCGTAACTTTGGTGGACGACGGTATATCATCATAGTCAACGATCAGCCGGCAAGAATCAGTTTGGACGATGACGACGAAACTATGAAGATCGGAACAAACCTCATCCCGTTCGATCGCAATGCGCTGGTAATCGGCTTATGATTCGCAACAGATTTCAAAGCCCATTCCCTGGGCTTGCATCATAGAGAGCCTGAATTTTATACGAGGCATAAAGAATGACATTTCCAGCGACACCAGGATTCAGGCGGCGTTTCGCATCGGACTAGGCTTGTGCGCTCTGTTTGGCGGTTCGGTGTTCCTCGCGCAAGTCATCCAGAAGCGACGTGATGACCGCCAGATCAGGGACCTGGTGGGAAGCCTCAACGCGATCAGGGACGAGCGCACTTTAGAAAGGGAGTAGTTAACCATAAACTTTCCGCATCCGCCTTGGCTGGGTTTCGCTGATGCAGCACACTCGCGAGCAGCGTATGAGTACGCGGTCAACGGCACTTGATCCATATTCCCAAATACGCTGATGTGACATTTGTCAGCGGTCAGCGTATGTTGCACTTACGAGGTTTTTTGATATTAATTTTTTACTAAGCTATAATCGTACTAATGAAAAGACGAGATGCTTTTCGAATAATAAAGTATTTGGAAACTCACTTGTGATCGATTCAATCGAAGCAATATTAAATAAAAAGTATTAGTGTTATCTAAAATTACATATTTTGCCATGCTTCTATAATAATTAACTTCGGAATACTGTACTATATAGCTTCCATAGGAACAGTCGAAGGTGAGCTTTTGGGTACGTCTGAAATATTCACTAGAAGCAAGATATAAAAAGTTTTTGAAATAGGAATATACTATATACAGTGTCTCACAGTTCAACTGGAACAGCGCCTAGCAAAATATCCGGGGTTTATGGCACCCAGGTGTCCATAACGTTCATGTTCCAAATAATATGTGACCATAAATTAAGGTACTTTTTTACATAACCCGACCTAGCGAGTGGGGAAACTCCAGTTTATGGGGGTCATATAATCATTTAGGTAGTTAATATATGTACCTACCATTGGTTTTTGGAATTTTTGAAAAATATTGAATAATTTGTTTATGGCAGGCAATTAACTTTTTTGTTACGTATAACACATAATAATTTAGAAGTGAACAGGTGAATTCTGGACCGTAACATTATATAATCTTCAGCCTGCCCAAGCTTAGTCGTTTTAGTCTACTTCTGAGAAACACCCTTCGCAACCTACTTTTTAATATAATGCTATAATGCTATACAACTTTCAATGACTACTCAGTTGCCTTTCAAAATCAAAACTAAATGGTAACATTGTCAACTGACTTAAGGCAAAACAAAATATTCAGCTAATCAAAGCCAACCGATGATGCTTTTGGAGTCCTTTGTGCGTCCGCTGGGTCAACTGTTGCTGGGCATCTGTCTTCAGTTGCACACCAAGGTCGGGTTGTGGATGTAGGTTGCCCAGAATCGGAATCAGAATTGACTGTTTGGGGAATGACGATGCCGCATTGGATGAGTTCTTGCCGGATATAAACGAATCGAATTTGTTATTGTTGCAGCGTGCCAGTTCAGCCACACATCATACTAACTATACCATTAGAAGTGATCGCAGCGATGATGTCCCTCCTGACCTAAAACTTGCTACCGACCAAGATTTTTATGATTTCTCAACGGACGAAGATGATGCCCAAGCTGCGTTCTAGTTTTTATTCTCGACAACGAGAATTCAATCTACTTTATATGTACCAAAAACACTTAAGAACCACAAAACTCGCAACAAAATGTAACGAAAATGGGAAATATTCATTATCTGTTACCCTAGCAATTTGTCAATTTTTATTTTATATTTTAACTATAACCTTTCATAAGCATAATCTAGGACTCCGTAAATGGGAAATCTATTGATAATTCCTAACTTATTAAGGAACACTGGGGCTTCGTTCCTCCATAAAGTTTCTCGATTATCTCCAGGCTAAGATCTTAATGTAAGGTAGACCAATGGATATATAATGGATAGTCGCAGATTATCGAAATTAATTTATTTGGAGTCATATGAATTCTTACTTGCTTTCGGCTATACCCCAGACTGGGGTCTCGTATCCTGAATCGAGATTTAAAACTCGGCTTACACGTGACAAATTTAAATCACAGCTTCTAGCTGTTCCACGTTAGTATCATGTAGGATCCCAAAGAATCCCTTTCACAATTAGCCAATCAGAGACTAGGGCACAATGACGCGGGAAGTCGTTGCTTACTTACAAAATAAGAACCAAATTTAGCAATTGGTTTTCTTTGAAATTTTGCACATATATTAAGCTATTGATTCCTACAATTTCATAAGAATCTAACGGATTCTTTAAAGAAATTCCATATTGGTCATGCTTAGATTCTTAAGGTTAATAATGCTTGTAATTTGATAATAAAAGATTATTTTTTATTCACTGTAACTCAGGTATATCCGCTCAGTTTGCGCAAGTACATTTGTGGATGATGGCATAAGCTTATAAGCTAATTCTTTATAAATATAATTGTATATATATGTAAACAATATATGTGTTGTAAAAAAGCAATATGATTGTATGAAAGTATACATATAGTAACTTATTTTGTACTTTTAGTTTAGGAACTGGTTTCTTGTTTAAGTATACCAATTTCCTTAAGCATCTGATCAATATCATTCGGACTGGCATTTTCCTCCAGCTGTTTGTCCCATTGCATTAACTGTAAAACCAGAGCATATGTTGAAAACCTAGTTTGTTAAAACATAAATGTATATTAACCAACTCGCTCCAGTTCAGCACGCAGGGCAATAACTGCCTTTTCCCGATCCGCAACTAGCTCCTCCAGATACTGATACCTTAGCTTTTTCCGAGCGCGGCATTCCCGTGCACTTTGTCTGCTACGTTCTATAGAACACATATATTTATGGAAATAAATATATAATGAGAATTTTAAAGTTATTTCAATTATTACATTTATTTAATTAATGCTTACCGAGTTTCGCTTTTACATCCACCTTTTCTGAGGATGTCTTTCTGCCAGGTTTTCGACCCCTTCGTCCACATTCTTTGCGTTCCTTAAAATAATAATAAATTTATTATTATTATGAAATTCGCTGACAACAAATTCATTTTGCTAGTAACTTAGTTAATAAATACTTCACATGCATATTTGTAAATACAAAATACATATTCCTATCGATGTACATATCTAAATAGAAACGACGCAATAAGCGTCTCACTTAGTATTTTGTACGTTTATACAGCTACATACTGTCGATTGATTTTCTTCTGCTATAGCCATTTGAATACTATCGCAATCCATCGCAATTAGTTTGAATGTTTTAGAATGGTTTAATAATCTTTCACAAGTTTCGTTTTGTTATTGAATATGCAGAAGTGTATATATTCGCATATCGCATCAAACTTTTTGTCTTTGTTTAATGGCAATCGATAGAAAAAAATATCGATAGGACTAGTTTTAAAAATCAAGAGGAGCAGTATGAATTAAGAACATTCCACTGAATAAATACTTCTGCTGACTACGCTGCTGAGCGATAAAGAAATGATCCTGAAACCATTATTTGTCTAACATTATATTGCATATGTCATTTATTAAAGATAAAATGAAATTGTAGAAACAGATCAACAACTTTATTCAATGTATAACATATTAAAATTAACATATTTCATTAAATTTGACTACTGTCGAGTCTTTAATATTATTAGATATCAACAATTCAATAACAAATATTGTTAAATAAATTCAATCAACTTCGAACTCAGCGTTGTTATCTTGACTGTCATGGCTTGAAAATAAGTTCAGTGCTGCCACTTAATCTGTATCACAAGAAGAAAATGTTATGTTTTTGACTATTTTAAAATACAAAAAGTGGCTTATCAGATTTATAACACTCTACCAAATTAAACCATTTTTTAATGACTTTCTCGGAACACATTTTTAACAAAGACCGCGTAAATAAACAGCTGTTTCTGCCCAACCAAGTCTGGCAATACTGATATAAAAACATATGACATATATAACAACTTCAAGTCCAAATAGACGGTTCACATAAAAATTTAGAGTGCATTGAGAACTAAATTAAAATGGACGCATCGGAAGAAAAATCTCCAGAAGCAATTGCCGCAGAGCTAAGGCGTGAAAATCGACGAAAAAAAATATTACAAACTGCTAAATCCCGATTAGAAAAATTGAACGGCAGCGTTAAAACCTTCGACGAAAATCATATTGGTAAGCATGATTAATTAAATTACATACATATCAATATATCAATTAGTATCAGCTCGGATACATATAATCCCCGACTGGCGCTTAAATACATATGCGTATAGCCTTTCCGAAATACCCATATATTCATAATTAATAACTGAAAGTGCGAAGTTATGTAGGACTAACCAGAATAGGAGACTGGCTTGATGCTCCAAACTCTCAATATACATACATGTATGCCTTGGAGAACTTTTGAGTAGTGAATCTTTCAATGCTTCTTCCCATAAGGGATCGAAGTCGAAATTTAAATTTCCCGTCTATTTTAAAGTAAACAATTATATGCTGGAATAAGGAAAAGTCCACACCGAGGTTCTTAGTCTATCAGATATCGCATTTAATTAACTTATACATTAGAAATCTGTTGCATTATTGTATATTCTTTATAGTTTACATTTTTAATATAATATATAAACTAATTCACCTAATTTGAACACAATATCTCGCCGTTATTTATATTTATAGATTCTGGCACGAAGGAAGATATGACCTACTCCGATCCAGAAGTGGAGCCAAACATTCCTGCCGGCCTATTCCCTCAAGACGATGGCTTTAATCGTACTTTCTTTGCAGCAGCGAATTTGAGTACCCCCACTATCGCCGATAACCAAAATATATTTGTAAAGAGCCGAGTTCACATTTTCATAGCATCAGTTGTGGGATATATTTTATCGCATTTTGTCACCAATTCTCTCTTTGTCCCAGTCGGCTTGTGCATGATGTACGAACTATTTTCGTTGAGGGGCCAGCCATACCCAACTAATTCAATTCTTTCACTAATATTGCCAATTGCCCTTCTCTTCACAGGCACTTTTTTGGGGAGTAAAGTGAAACAGATAAACTGTCTTCTTTATATTTCGCAATCTCTCATCGTTAATCTGGCAATTAATATTTTCTGCATATGCTTGAGCAGTCTTTTATTTGAGTATATAAGTGTGAATCATTTTGTTAATATAAAATAATACAAAATTAAATTTGTTAATAAGAACGGTGAATAAAACTGACCCTACTTAAATTAAATAAACAATTTAAAAATTTTCTTTCATGGCTATATTTCTCGTTTGTGGATATATAAAATACACCGCCCAGGACATCAATTCATTATTAATTGAATTGCAGTAGGATCGACATGTAAAAAAAAAAATCGCATCTCTCCAGTGCAGCTTAAGTTGGCACCCACGGTCATCACAAAGCTCAATCTCTGCATAAGAAGTCACATCAAGTGGAATTGAATCGAAAACATAATCATCTCCCACATTCACACCTTATTCGAAGCATGCTCTTAAGAAATTGTGTCAAAGATAGCCGTTTTGCCCTGGTCAATTAGGTCAGGTGTAAATAGAAGAGCTACGAGGATTATATGTTGAAATAACCGCCTTCTCTGAAATCTGCATCAAAAATAAAAAATTTGCCTTTTAAGTAATATGCTTGATTTTTATTATGCAATTTCCATGCCCTGAAAATTGTAGAAGATTTAACTATTATTTTCCATAGAGCGCAGCTTGCAATCTGGCGACGATACAAATACCTTTTTTCCTAATAATTTGTTCCTTCTAATAATAACTGGTGTGAATAACATTCGTTTTTCATTAATTATTATAATTTAATTATTGCTGAATTTTCACTTACATACTCCGAAAATACTAGTGGTCTAGTGAATTGACTAGCTACCATTCACCAGTCCAAGGCAATAGCTATTACATTGGGAATAGTTGCTCCCGGCAGTTCTGCACATAATTACATATGTATTAACTTGACTTGACTCACTTCTTTTTCCCGATTTAGTTTTACAACATGATTTTGTAAGCCTGTGAGAATTATCCAATGTAATGAATGACTATGTGTTTTAAATTGTTAGTTATTAGGTTTCTGAACACATACATATGTATCTGTTTCTATAATATCTGTCCAATTATTGTAAAATTTAAATAAATAATGCCAAAACATATACAATAGTAATAGGTAAACCCTTGTAAATTTAGAAACCAACTACAGCAAATACGTAAATACAAATTACGATTCTGACATTTTATTAGATTTATGTATTCTAGGTTTTCAATAAACTTAGTCCGTACTGTGTTTTTTTAATATATATGTATCTTAATTATTTGTAATAGTTGGCTAATTTAGTTCTTAAATTTGAATGTTTATCGTTTTAAAATCAAAATTTTCGTTTGATGCAAATTTTTGTAAGTTAAATAAATAGTACATGATTCGTTTGCTTGTTTTTTTTTGTTGTTGTTGTGTGGTGATTGTTTGTTTTTTCCCCAAAAGCCGATGTCCTAGCAAATATAAATACATATGTTTTAAAAGATCAAATTCCCTTATTGATTAGAAACCAAATGTTAATATTTGTGTTTAATATATGTAAGTATGTACATATTAGCAATGATTGCTTATGGTAAACTGGATCGAATCAGTATCAGCGCAGACATTTTAATATATTCTTGTTTGTTTGCATTAGCAGCTTCAAAATTGAGGTTGGTTGATTTAATAAATCCGAGGATAAATCGCCGGGGACCGGGACCGATAGCGTCCGCCTTGTCCACCGCTGTTTCGACCATAGTTGGAGCCGCTACCACCGCCGTAGCGACTGCTCTCCCGCGCTCCACTGTAGACGTCGCGTCGATTGAATCCGTTGCTGCCACCATCCCTGGAAGTGCCGCCATAGCCAGCGCTGGAGCGACCTGAACTGTAGCCGCGATCCAAATGGCGACTGCTGGAACTGGTCGAGCCGCGCTGTTGTCTGTAGCCACCGCCGCTGCTGCTGCTGCTGCTGTTTGTTATACTGTGTCTGCCCACATCGCCGCGACGTCCTCTGTCGCCGGGTCCACCTCGCCGGCCCTGACGCGGACGCCCCTTGGAGATTTCAACGCGCAATTGCGAGCCCAACAATTCGGAGCCGTTTAAAATGTCACACGCCTTTTCGGCATCGTCACGATGCTCGAACTCGACAAAGGCAAAACCGGGTGGATTGAATGCAATCCAAACTGAATTCAGTTTGCCATACTTTGTAAACTCGCCTTCCAGATCGTCTTTTTTAACCTTATCAGTCAAGTTACCCACATACACTCTAGTCCCCCGCTGATCGGTCATGTCTTCTTACAAACAAATATATCTGCCTTACTACAGATATTAATTAATCAATATTTTTGCACCACACTACAGCTCGATTTTTTGTATGTACATCAAAAGTTCTCAGCCAGGGTGACCAGATTTTATTTTGCGGATTTTGTTGCTTCTAAACTAGTTCAAAGTGAGCTCAAAAAGTTGATTCAAATTTTTTTCCATTCCAAATGTCTGATAAGTTAGTCTCGATTTGGAATAATGGAATCAACACTTGAAACTGACTGTTCTCTTCTCAATAATAGGAGGCATTCCAGTATTTTTAAAGATTGACTCACAAGTCTGTAAAAATGGAAGAACAAATCTTATGGCTTGTAGAAATAATAATTTAATCGCAGAAATACTTATTATTATTGCGACATTCATAGGTCTCCAGTATTTACAAGAATGGTTGCTGCTAATTTCGCTCACACTTACGATCCACTGTCGCATCAAATTTTGTATGCAACTACTCTATAATCGTGGAAAAAAAATTGTCGAAACCAACGATTCTTCCTTTGATAGTTGCTTTGTGAAATTGAATTTAGTTTGCGCTTATTTCTGTATTAAATGTATAGAAACAATACAAATGATGTCATAATAGAAAATATTTTAAATCATCGGCCAGCGACTGACCTATGAGCAAAGTTGTGCCAGCTGACCACATGGCGTATTGATAATGCTTTACAGTTATTATAATCGAGTTCCCAACAATTCCAATTAATTAAAGTACAAAATTACTACCAAAATGGGATTTGATATGAATTTTTATTAAGATAACATTTTAAGCTTCTTCCAATCAATTAAATCCACTAGCTACCAGCAACCGGAATTGAAAATGATTCGTGTGCATTTACTCTTCGACATTCATTGATCCAAATTTTAAATGTATTATAAGTCATAAATTAAATTATCAAAGGATGTAGCAATAATAATATTAATAATTTACTTTAGTTTAAAATTGGATTGAATGAATTAATGCTACATAATTCATTCTGATTCAGGCATTTTTATCTTGGATTCAAAGATTAGCATTTTTCCAGCGTCACCAGGGGATGTTCCTAAATTGTCTTGTTCCACACAGTTATTTTTATGATATTTTAGGTTCATCTCTATAAATTTGACATGCAAAAAAATGTAGCAGGCGACATTATCACTGGGTAAGCGCAAACCAACTAATATGAAGCATGATTTAGTTCACACATTTCGTAAGAAGTTAAAACAAGCCCGGTGTGTGCTTTAGGAGATGATTTGTTATTTATTATTTTAATCGAGAAATAACCAAATGGTGAAATACATTTCCTCAAGTGCTTCGGACAAATTATAATTCAGTGTCCGTGATTCCGTGTAAATTGTTACTAAATGCAAAGATTGAAATCCAAGGCGGAATCCGTATCAACTGCATTTCATATTCACTTATCTGCCACTGCCTCTGATCTCTGATCATCTCATCAAATTGATATCTATTTTACTTATGCCTCTGATCTCTGATCACCACATCAATTTCATCAAATTCACATCTATTTCTTGCCCGTTTCGACAATTAGATCTTGCAAAACAGTAAAAGGTTCTAAAACATATACAACAACATCTACTTCCTACTAAAAATGCTTCACTTATTGTTTATTTATTACGCAACAATTACGGTAGTCAACTAACAGCTGTGACTCATTCTGATGTAGCCTGATTGAAGAGCATTTCAAGTCACTTAGAAAATTCCCGCGTTCCCATCTGCGATGAACAAATAGGAGCGGAGTTTGTATATTTATTTAGCAAAGACAATATCAACAATACTTAATTCCTCTTTAAATTCAATTTTTAATATTTTTGTATAGGTAAGAATAATTGTATGGTAACTAACAGGTGTGACAACTGGTATATATATTGCCTGCTTCAAGTGCTTTTCAAATATTCCAAAAAATACCATTCGTTCTTAAATGTGCCGCTGTGTATGGGATGTGCCTATAATTCAGATAATTATTAGTTTGTAGCTATTAATCGATATGTGTTGAGTTTATATGCTTGGATAAGTTGTTTTCATGAACGGTGCGTTGGAATTGTGGTGATGGCGTGCACATAGTCCGAGATCGTGTACTCCGTCAAACATAATTGTTGAAAATTATCGATATTTTTTTTATGAGAAGCAAGTGTCACCCTGTGTATATCATGTTAGACATTACTATTGGCAGATAACTAGAATATATATAAAGTGCACGGGCTATTGTTTAGGTTTTTTTATTTTATTTTATGAGCGTAAGCTAATAATGTTAAATAACGTTATTTGTGATTAACTAGTGATATATGTATGTATGTATGAGCGATACTGAAATAACTTTGAAGACATTTCAAAATCCAATAATAATCGTAATGGAAACAGCCTAAAACACAAAACTGAATAAAATCTGTGTTAAAGCTTGCGATGGCGATATAGTGGCGTTGGAGTGTGTTACATGTATGTACATACATCAATTCACTTTCATACCTATGTATGTATATACATTACATATGTATGTATTTGTATGTATATAATATAAGTGTTCATATGCGCGTATGGAAGAGTTGGACAAAAGGCAAATTTTCGCCAACATATTAAGCATTTAGTGTATGCGTGAACATATTTGCCAATGCACAAACCCGTCTCAACGCTCGAAAATTCGGTTTTCGCCTTATCTACTTGAGTTTTGCTTAGCATTTTGATTATTATTGAGAGGCCTGCCGATATACTCGCACACATACATACATACATATACATAATTTATGTATGTATGTGTGCAGGTATTTATGCTACATGTACAACTCGATCTTACTTATGAGCATACATTCATACATACCTACATACATATTTATGCACGTATGTTTGTGTGTAAAGTGTAATTCGTTTATTTTACCATTCAAATAATAAATACCAAATGTTTCATTAATATTTTCGTACACCTAAAAATCGACATAAGTAATAGTTTCTAAAATTATTAACGTATTTGTTGTAATTTGAAATAAGTTTGTTATAATTTCTGTAGATTGGTTTTATATTTAGTAAAAGTTGTTAATTAAAGTACGAACTTAATTTTCCACTTGGTCAAAAACGTCAAATGCCGTCTATATAAATCAAAACGTTCTAACTTGCTGACCAACTGACGGATGGCCAAAATTGGCAACGTTAAAATTTGGAATGAAGCTTTCGATTTCGACGGTTTTGGAACATTTAACGGTCAAATGGATGCAAACTGTTAAATGAAAATTTATGATTTTTCACTTTATCTTTTTCAAGATTTTGAAAAAACAATTTTAAGTTTAATCATTTTTCTAAAATGAAAAAGAGCTATAGAATAAATTTAATGGAAATTTCAAGTAAAACATTATCATACTAAACATAATTTTGAATAGCATTTTCTCTTAGCTAATTTTTTAGATTTTCAAGATTAGCATTTGCATTTACTTATTGTATGTAACAAGCAGTTGGAAACATATCTGATTTTATAAAGTACACCTGTATATTCTAGATAAGCATCAACAGGTCGGCCTAGTCAGTCTCACTGACCGTCCGTCTGTTTCTAATTGAACCCATTCAATTCAGTTCTCAATGTTTTTCAACTTCCAGTTTAGCCCCAATTCAAATTATTAATTTAAGCAGAAAGATATAATAATTTAGAATTGGTAGCGAAAAGATAATACTATTTAATTTATAAGTTTCGAATATATATTGAAGTCAGTTTTTAATTAATATTAATGTTTAAAACATACCTTACTTTTTAAATTCTCATTGTATATCACTGTAAACCTTTACACTTCTTACAATCTTTTTCTTTTTGCAGTTGTTGAAGGATTGGACCAAAAATGGTTTATTCAAGAACGCTTGTTTTAAAAATAATGATGTGAAGGGACATATAAATTATGAAACAGAAATCAAAACAAGTAGTTATAATAACATAACAAATATAATTTATAAAAGACAACCTACAACATATTTGGAGACTAATATGGCAAACACAATATCCATTATGTCCAATGCCATACGAAATGTAGTGAGCAAGAAACGCATACGTTACAAGGAAAAAGGATTTAATTTGGATCTATCCTGTAAGCATTAGTTTTATCAATACTATACTATACTGTACTTGATGTATATTTACATATGGGAGACAAAATTTTAATATAATCCCAGATAAATTTATTATGTTTTATTTTTGCAGTTTGTAAATATATTTTAATATTGATCGTTCTCACGAGACTAGCTTGCTCCGAGATTACAGGGCATGATACAATTTAAGACGGGAGATTCCTCAGACATCCTATCTTGTTAACATAATCTTGTCCGGCAAAACGTTCGAATACCTAGCAATCAGAGTGTCAGGTCTACCACATTTCAAATGGTTGCAACATAGATGGGATCTTTGCTCACGATCGTTTTGTTCCATAATCTCTGTGTGGTGTGCATTGACATGGAAATTTATGACCAACCAGCCGTTCCACTCATGCAGCAATACATCTCGCTTCAAATGCTGTTTGCGATCTCGTCGTCGGTTGCTCCACGAAGTGTGGTTCGATCTCCAAAAAGTGTTCCTGATTCCAGTGAATCCTTGACTTGCATTTTCTCACCCAGAACGATTGCCAGTCGCTAGTGGAAACTGTTTGCTTGCTTGCATTGTGACAAATGGATTCTTATGCTTTACTTTGTTCGCACTTGGTAAAATCTTACTTATTCTTCTTTTGATCTCTACCATCTTAACTGTTCTCTCTCGCTGTGGGTGCTTCACTTTTTAACTTTGCACCACAGTCTGTAAGTAGGATTGAGATCTGACTCCCGAGCTCCCATTAATTTTGTGCACGTTTTGGCAGCATTTCTTGTGTGCTTTTTGATCCTTATGCTTTTAAAAGATCCATGAGATCCTGACCTATCCTTGTCCAAATCATATCATTAGCTCCTATGCGAATAATGATTTTGTCCTCAATCTTTGTTTAACTTTATTGGTGCCATACATATACACCATAAAGACTATTATTTAATTCTTTAAATCTTGACCTATCCACTTAAAGTGCTCTTGTGGCAATTTGATTTTAATGGCCACAAGATATTTTAGAGTTCTGTGAAATTAAAGAAAAAAAAAATAACTACACCAAAAGCCTCAAATTCGAATATCGAAAATTATTTGGGAAAGAATTCAGTTGGGAAGTGATTCTTAAACTACTATTTTGAGCTCAAACTTATCTTTCGTTTATGTTCATAAAAATGACTTATTTTATTTGTTTTTTAATTACAGACATTTGCCCAAATATTATTGCGATGGGATACCCTGCGCCGGACAAGCTAGAAGGCATATACAGAAATCGCTTAGATGACGTATATAAATTTCTGGAGGAAAATCACAGAGGTCGTTACAAAATCTATAATCTATGCCTAGAGCGCAGTTACGACACTAATAAATTTCATGGGGTTAGATATAAAAATCATTTATTGACGTTATCAAAGAAATTCATTAACATATGTATTTATAGAGAGTTGCTATTTACCCGTTTGAAGATCATAACCCTCCCACCATTCAGTTGATGCAACGTTTTTGTCATGATGTTGGGACTTGGCTCAATGCAGATCCATTAAATGTTGTAGCCGTGCATTGCAAAGCTGGAAAAGGAAGAACCGGTAAGCAGCACACTACACATCATTTTTGTATTTTACATACAATGTATATTTTGATGTAGCTTCTGTTGTTTAATATTGTATATTGTTTCTTTCATGAAAATAGTCGAATGAACTTCATAGTCACTGACAAGTTTAGTTTAATTTTTCAACAAATTAAAAAAAAAAAAAATCGTGTTTGTCTGTCTGCATAAGTAAATTCATCTTACATTGCATCTTCATTTGTCTTGTAATGTGTGACATTGAAGCAGTCATCCGATCCCAGTATGTTATTATTACTTAGGCATATCCGCTTCGATTTAGTCATGTCAAATAAAGCTATTTTAATGAAACTCCCAGTGCTGCAGATTATTGGAATCGGCCGGATTGAACAACTATGTCATGTAGAGATGACAGATCTTGCACAAAAAATGTGTTTAACAAGATTTATATTTACTACTTATTACTTACTCCTAACGTGTGTTTCAATGCTTTACGAATATCAATATTGGTTAACTTATTTATATTTATAAATATGTATATAAATAAACTTTTGCTTGCGGCTGACAACTGTTCTTGATTGCCAATATTTTGTTTACATCGAATATAACACCTCCTATTTTTTACAGGTACCATGATATGTGCATATTTAGTTCATAGTAGATTGATGAGAACAGCAGACGAAGCCTTGGCTTATTATGATGAGAAACGTACGATAGATAAAAAAGGAGTTACAATTCCATCTCAACGTAGATATGTTCAGTATTATTCAAATTTAATCCCAGATGTACAGTATAAAGTTATCAGTCTTTACGTAAGTATGACATACATTCATTATTTATATAAATGCATATTAAACATGTTTTTGTTTTTCATTTTAATAAGGTCTGTGAAATTCGTTTTACTGAGACAAACATCTTGCATAATCTTGGTACAGTGCAATGTTCGATTTCTGACATGCAGGACTCTGCAACAGAGAAAGTGAAGCCGCATGTATGTATTATTAAATTTATGTTATTTTAATAGGAATATACATTTTTGTCAGAAAATGTGAAATGCATTCATCGACACAAATTTGTCTTTTCCCCATAGAGAGAAAAAAAATTAAGGGACACACAATAGAGTTTTATTTTTATTATCAATAAATAATAGCATAAATTTAAATTTATTTCTTGCATTATCTAGCGACTGAAAACGTGGACGATTGATTTCCAAAAATCTTGTATATTGGATATAAGTACTTCGCCATTAGCAGTAGCTGGTGATATTAAAGTCGAACTCACCCAAAAATCATCAAGGAAGATGATTTGCCAATTCTGGCTTAATACATCCTTTGTGCAAAAAAATTCGGGTATGTATTCTTTCTGTTTTTAACATTTTTCTGTATATAACTCCTAATTTGTATTTAATCAGCTTGCGATACCGATGGACCTACAGTAAAATATATGTATACTTTAAATAAATCCGAAATTGATGGTGCACATAAAGACAAAGATCACAAATCGTTTTCGGAGGACTTTAAGGTTAGTATTTAAACATCAATAATACACATAAATGTTATATATTATTTTGAGAGAGGGCTACAGTGAAACAATGTTGCTATTTTTTTTGGACTTCCTTTTTTTACTCTCTGTTGTAGATCTCTGTTGTATTTGAAGAAGAAAAACGTTCCGAATGTGTAAGCGCTGAACCCACTGTAAAAAATAATTGGAGCAGTAAACGAAGCTCGGATAATTTTCCTGGTGATAATGATAAGAATCTAAACTGTGAGGGTTCTGATTCAAACTCTCCGTCCTCAAGTCGTTTTTTCGAAAGTCCATTTCATAACAGTGATGAAAGAGGTGGAACTAAATCTCACCAAATAGAGCATAACAGAAATATTGTAAGTCAACAGAAAGATCGATAAAATATTACGAGATACATATTTATTTCTTCGATTTCTTTTTAGACTAAAAATCAATTTAAAAAATCCACTATCTCAAAATTACCTGCGTTGGCATCGAAACGCAAACAGTCTTCATCAAAATCCCCATTAGGCGTTAATAATACCTCGTCAAGCAAGGACATCAAAAAGCTGCTTATTTTCAATCAACCGTCCGTAACACAAATCGATTCAAGCAAGTGGCATAACGATTCAAATACAGTGCATGAAAATAGCCCCGAGGGTCGGCGTATATTTGATTGTTGTACTATTCCTAAAACTACTGTCGAATCAGAAAGAATCTTCGGACAGAAGTCATACAATTCTTGTAAACGATCATCTCCAGATTTGTTCCATGGTGGTGAAGAAGGCGACGAAGATTGGGAATCCGGTGAGTCTATTGTTCACCTACTAGCACCAAAAGTATAATAATTACTTTCTAGTATACCTTAAACAATTTTAAAATATTTGTAAGCACACAACCCAAAAGAGAAAAAACAAAAAAAAAACGAATAAGTTAATTGTCGTAAAACGAAAATAATTATAATTTAACTTTTTAGGTTCCACAAAAATAAAAATGGAGATACATAAATTATATGTTGATCAGAAACAAAATATTCTTTCAATGATACCGACTTCATAACAGGGAGAAGAAATTTGATTGCAATGTTTATGATTTGATTTGCAGAACAAGAAAGGTCTGCTAACATGAGATACGTTAACACTTTATGGTTACAATGGTCTTAAAATATTTTCCTGTTTTTTTTTGGACTGTATGCTGCATTTAAACCATTTTGTCTACTTATGTCACAATAAAGTTTAGGTATAAATCATACTGGTTATTCACTTTGAAAGCAATCTTCTTACTCAAAATTTAAAACATTATTTGTTATTTGATTGTTGGAAATAATCAGCAACAAAACTGCAGCAACGAGTCTCAGTTTGATTGAAGCTTGGCGACTGAACTTAAGCACGTTCACTTAACCAAATCAAAAATAAAATAATAAAGTCGAAACATGTGCTTTGGTATTTTTAAAATTCTATGAATATCGGTCCTCCAAAAGGTAAAGAGTGGGATCTATAATTTCCCATGAGTTCATTTTATCATCTAAATCTTTTTCAAATCATGGCAATATTTTCACTATAAGGCTCGTCATCAATTAGCTGATCTTTGGAAGCCGTCCACACAGATAACAGTTCTTGAAAAATATTTTTTGATTGCTTGTAAAAGGCTTATGTAAGTTATATCTTTATTGTCCTAAATGAAATCAATTTGTTATCAGAATATTTAGAACTTTAAACTTGGAACTTTGAATATTTTGAATTTTTTTGTACCACGTTCATCGCAGCCCCAAAAAATCACTGAAGCTATGTTTAAGTACAAGTGTGTTAAGTCTTTTTAGAGCACATATGCTTCTATGCAAACTTTGAAGTCTCAGAGCTATCTTCATGAAACATTTGCCTGAAATCTGAATATATTCGAATGCATAAGTAATGTCTGTGGTTTTTAAGAAATCAAGATTAAACTCACTACGTTTTATAGCCCCAATAAGAATAATCTATCGAAATGTAATCCTTGAATACAAAATTGATTTGGTTCGGAATATATATTTTATAAGCTTATCAGTTGCGCGTTTTATAATGTTCCTCACAATTCAGAAAAAAATTGTGAGTTTCTGACTAATAAATCATTTATCTTCATTCATTGCAACAATTAGTCGGTTTTTCTTTAAATTGAAATTTAAAGTTAAATTTTAAAGCTCTCCCAAGTCTGCTAAGAAAATGTTTTTGCCATCTAAATGCATTCGGTAAGAGAGACTGCCAACATTTGACAATTGCTTAGTTACATAAAGTTTCTTTACCTTTTGTATAACTTTACTATGCGATAATTATAATTTGCTTTTAATATAGAGAAGACAAGCATTTAAAAGGTTTCCAAGCATATCTGTGCTAAGGTTAACTTAACAGGCATATCGATTACTGCATCGACCAATCTGATATTTCATAATAAAAAAAATTGCATTTGAAGAATTTTCACTGGTAGATCTTGAGATCGGGCGAAGGATATTTATTTAAAAAATAAACGTTAACTAATTTATAGTATTAAGTTCACCAAAATTATTGTAAATCATTTCATTAAACAAATATTTGTATGCTTCTTCTTCATACGATAATGTATATTACCATTTCAGTTCACATGCCATTAAGCATGGGGATTGAATTAAACAAATTCTGTGAATTGTGAAAATCAACCATTGTTCTTTTGGGAATTGATAAGATATTCGAAAAGTTTTGTGAATGTGAAAATCGGAGAATGTGTGTAAAAATCATATTTTAAACGAGATAGATTAGACGATTATGTAAAGTTTGTTGTATCGAATAATTTTTAAATGTTAAAATATGCGAAGACATCTAAATTAAAATGAACTACGTATATGTATAAAATAGTATACATATTAAACGGCGGTTATCTACACTTATTATAAGCAGCATTCAATTTGTAATATTTATATGTATGTAAACTGTAAATTTGTAATACATATGCATGTAGAAAAGTTCAACAGGAAAGCATTTTGATTTCTGTATTCTCGATATACATTACAGTTTCAACTAACATCGATTTAATACACAGCAAAGAGTACAAAGCATGACCATTTTGTAGAAAAATCTGTTGACAATAAATATGTTTAATAATCACAAAAGCAACACACACATTGGGTTCAAAATTACAAGAACAGATTTTAGCTTGAATGACCCTTTCAATGTGTGTGCATTATTATACACATATGAAAATAATAAGCTGAATGATGGGTAATCAATGCACGCTTAGACTGCAGGACATAAGTTTTTCTTTTATTGGAACAGAAACTCGCCTTTGTAGATAAGCTTTATTATCAGAACTCATTGCTTATGTAAAAGGAAAAGAGGACTAACCGAGCTATTTGTTAAGTAAGTTAGTTCAATTGTTACATTTTTACATTTATTATTAACTAGTAACAACTCAGTAAGACTCTTTTTTTTATGAGTAGTAGTGACAGTGTTAGATTTTTTAAAGACTATGGAAAGTCTCAAAGCTCATAGAATTTTATTTTTATTTGCGGAAGAAAAGTGAAACGAGAACTTCCAAGATTTTTCAACGGGTACGGAAATTGAAATGATTTGCGAAGCGCATAATAATGCGGACGATGCCTTTGCTTTATGTCTACGACAACTACATATTTAATTTCATTTGGTTTTCCCAAAGTCTGGCCTATGCGTAATGTAACTTTTACTTACCTCATTTCAAAGAAAAAGTCAACAGCGGCTTAGATTCCAACTCAAATAGTTTAATATTCTATTCAATAATCTTACCGATGAGTACTGCTGTTCACCGCTAAAGTTGTATTTAAGAGCTAGATACGAATGTGTGACAAACACATTAAGTACTACAAATTTGTGCAATTCATATCTCTTTGTAATAAGAAATTCAGAAATGAGTGAAAGCCGTAGTCGTAACCGAACTTTTACTACCGACAATTTTTAAGCTTCAGCATTTAATTTTATTCCAATACGAAGCCGTGCGTGTACCAGGGCCTCGATTATACTGTAAACCATCGTCTCCCATCTCATCTACATAACAAATTATTGCATCCCGTCCACTTTTAATAAATGAATTAAGGTAATGCAGACCACCCAACAATATAACAGAGCTTAGTTTGGGTAGCAGCCAAGTATGTGGAATTAGTACCGATATTGTAAGTTTTAATATAATCGCAAGTGCGATATTTAATTAGAGTATGTTGTTTTCTATTAACACACATGTATTTTCAGCGTCTTAATTTTCAAAACTTTGGAGGTAGCTACGCGATATTTATGGAAAAAGCTGGTGTCCTGATGACAAAGATTCTGTGAATTGTTGCCATTGCATCTATGGAAAACATGGTGAGTCTTGTGTGTCATCTGTGCTAACAGATCTATATTCCCTCGCCTCCTTGAACTTTGTCAAAGAACAGCCAAATTATCTGTCTGATGCAAAATGTATAAAATTGACAAGGCCAATTATGCCAACTATTATATACATTCAAGGTTTTTCTAGTATTAACTTTTCTATATTTTTAAAAATCATTCAGAAGGCTACAAAATATTGAGGCTTTGCTAGCTTTCTAAATTTAATTATTAATTTACAAATTTCAAGTTAATAAACAACAATATCGAAATTTTTGACTGGTTGTTTCTATGGGGGCTATCTGAACAGTTAGGAGGTGCAGAACTCCACCTTCGACTTATTTACAAAATGGGAAGTAATAAAAGGTTGCTGTTAGCATAAGATTTTTCAAAATATATTTAAAGACAATAATCTTTTACGAGCTCTTCTTTCAATGGGAGACATATAGAAATATCAAATCATGATATACATTGATAAAACTTATTGGTTAGTTGTTCTCATGTGTAAATTCAAGGAATTGGTTGGAAAATGACGATCTATTATTAATTTAAGGATGCATTTACATCCATCGTAGATTAGCATAATACATATATATACATAATGCCATTTATTTATATTAACATATTTTCGTTTCTAATTTCAGATATATATCACGGGTGATATCAAGATTAACCATGACAAGAAGTGATAACACACCACTCCACACTTTTTGGGTGCCATTCTGTTATTTATTTATTTAAATAAATGTGAAATACGATTCGATTTTAAAGTTTTCATCGTTGAACATAAGTATTGCGAAAAAGAAAATCACTAGGTTGCATACCAATCGCTTTCGATCTGTAGCTCAAAAAAAAGTAATCTGCCCTTGCATATTTTTATACTTTGTTCCAAAAGTAACAAATATATGCAAAATGCTTTGGTATTGCGAAAAGTATATAAAATGGCCTGTGCACAATTATTGTGTGTAAATTGTCTGAGCTTTTGTTGTATGAACGTAAATTCGATTTCGCAGAAAACCCTGAAAACTTTTAATGTATAAAAAAATGTATGCGGCACTAAAAAATTGTATGAACAACAATATTTAATAAAAGAACCAAACTTTCCGAACCCATTTTATAATATACTCAATGCATTGGGATTTTCAATTTCAGGAATTTTTTAAACTGTAATTTTGTATTAACATTTAAGAATGATTCAGTCAGACGTAACAGACTGCGTGACACTCTGATCTAATCCCAAAGTTGGAAAAGGTCTTTCTCAATTGTGTGTTTAGTGACTAAATAAGTGCATTAGTGACTAAAGGTTAAGGATTAAAAGCAGTGCATTTTTTGGGTATATCATTATTGTGATTTTATTTGGCGAAGTGCAAGTGAATGTGGGAGTTTTGTGAATTGGTTTTTCACAACTTTTTATTAAAAGAAGTCAAATCTTCACCCGCATTCCGGTTTTTTGGCACATTTGGGAATTAAGGAGACTCTCTCTCTCTCTCAGTTTAGAGTAGAGTATTGTGGAGATGGTTACATTTTTTTATCTTCATACACAAACAACGAATTTGTCTCAATTTTAAAACCACAATTTTTCAAATAATTGTCTAAGTAATTGATACTTTTATTATTTTATTTCAGGCGAATCAACATATCTTTAATAGAAGTGTATTTTGGACCTATAATACTTGGAGATCTACAGAAATTTAAATTTAAGCTACTAACATTTTTCATTAATGTATCTGAGTTTGTACATATATAGATTTTAAGTAGGTTTATAATTATAAAGTAAATTTTTCTTTGTATGATTACTTTATGACGTTAAGTAAGAATAATAAAATACATAGTAATTTGTTATAAAAAGAAGCAAATAAATATTCGGTTTAACGGACAGTCTGCAGTTGTTTTGCCCCTCAGCTTATTTCCAGCATGATTCGCAGCGGAAAAAAAATACGTATATCCCAGAAGAGTGATCAGCTAAATTTGACCCTTCGATATTAACATACCCTTGCAAAACACAATTCTCTTCTGAAAGGGCTAATGAAATTAATATATGTATTTGGTCTACAATAACTCTTAAGAACGGCTAGCCCGTCCGGCCTACAACATGGCTAGCTTAAGCCAATACACCGCCCAATTTCCATATCTGGACAAAAAAATTGAATAATCTTAATTCAGTGACCTAGATTAATTTAATCATTTCTTTTCGGTATGTTTAAAAAGTACAATATATTAAAAGTATTAAAATATTATTTTATGAAAGGTGTATAATTATTATATATTAATGTGCTTGTCCAAGCCCCTGCGTTCTATACAGCGTAAAAGAATCATAAACATTCTCCAGCTCTGACAATCGATACTCCTCCAGGCAAACAATGCCTTGCAATGATGGTGACAGCTTCAGTACACAAGGTAGACAATGGACAACATGCCTTTTCTCCTGTTCTCTTATGAACAACACGTTGAAAACTTCGACCTAAAAATATAAATAGAGAATTGTCAAAGAGTTTATAATATAATAATTTTAAAGAGTACTAACTCAAATTTGAATTTAGTTTATTGCTTTAGTGTTTACTTACTTCACATTGCCCACAATAATGGGATGAATCGTTTTTGCCACGACCATTAAATCGTATTTCGACTCCTTTGGACTTTACATATTCTTGAATATGCAACACATTTTTTAATGATTGACACAAGCACATTCTAAAAATTAAAAATACATATAAATTTTTATTTTAAGTCGAATGATAGTTTGTCAGTTTGCTTTCAAGTCTTCAAAATTACATTATTGGTAAAATTAATATTTTATAACATATTTTTCGTTATTTAGAACATTGCTCAATTGTTATTTGTCCAGATTATCTATATTATACTGTAATTCTAGTTGCAGTTTGCAATATGAACTTACTTTATTAGCTCAAAAAGCTTTACATCTGAAACCTTTATATTTCTTGCCAAGTTCCAGCTTAAGTGTACCATGGGAACAATACTTTTAAAACTCTGAAGCTTGTTCCACTCATATCTTTCTATGGCAAGAGAATACTGACGTGCAGTTAGTGGTCCAACATTCCATGCAATGTTATTGCACCACCCGACAGACTGGACCCAATGAACACATCTGAAATGATATTGTCAAGAATTATATAAAGAATAATATTTGGCAATTCATTTTAAGCAATTTGGCTTTGGAGACCAATCGCTACTTACCCAGCATTTACCCAAACTAAGTCACCAGGTTTTTGTATGAATCTATATACTGGTATGTTTTCCTTATATAAGTCTTCTAAAACCGGCCACCACGATCCGTGTAAGTAGCTGATACTGTTCTTTTCGCAAAGATTATGGATTCCACCCCAGTAGGCATCTGGGACAGCGAACCATTCGCAATCTCCGGGTCCAATATTTATGTTAATTGAGCAAAAGTTATTATTTTCTTGATGGCCAGGTGTTCTACTCCCTGGCACCTTCATGTATAATTGCACCGTATTCATTCCCAAAATGACATGGCCTACATGTGACAACATATTGGCAGCTGAAATTACTCTAGCAAAGGCAGGTAACTTTTGTAATTCACTCAGTTGTGGCTTCCATTTTCGCTCATCAGATAAATCAACATTGGTTCCAAATCTAAATGAAGAAACCCAAATAAATGTATTCTAATCACAGTGATAAACTAATTTGAATATCAAAAATGTTTCTTACCTTAGCATTTTACTACCGTTTTTCTGTTTTTTACGCTTTAAATTAATATTCGAATTAGATACTGAATCCTTGGAATCCGAGTCCGACATCACTTGAGAACCGGCGGAGCCCTTATCGCCCTCATCCTAATTATGATTGATGATTAAACATGTTTAATCAATATAAAATTAATAGTGTATTTATCTATTTACCTTGAGGCTATCTTGAAAACTTGATGCCTGATATTGAGCATACTTTGCAATCGTTGTGTGTGATCGATGTGATATACAAGCCCATACTCTCTTTGCTTGGGATACGTCCCAGTTTTCATCAGGAGACTGATTCACTTGAGTTCTGACCTCAACACTGTGATCTGGATTTGCCTCAACCAAGGTTTTAGTTGAAAAAAGTCCCAAATCTAACTTAAGAGCGCCAGCCAAGCCGCGTACAACAGCAATTGGATGCTTTAGGCAAAACTCTTGCAGCTGCGGGCAGAATGCATTCTTTTTATTTTCCAAGTGAACCGATGGAGTGGGTGGCAGGAGCTGCTCTCTGGTTAGTCTTTGTGGCGGACAATCCGGCGGCGCAGGCGGAGGTGCATTTCTTGTTAGCACTGTAAAGTTTATTGGTGGCTCATCAACCGATAAAAGCTTGACAGCCGAACACAATTGTTTGGAGTCCATTTGTATATTAAATGTAGGTGATGAATCGAGTTCATTATCAGATTCAATTTTGGTCTTTTGTTCTTTATAAATATTTTGAGTATCATCATTGCTTTGTGTCTCGTATTTAACGATTATCTTACCATCATCACTATTAACTAAACCCGGACAATCATCGACTAATTCTGATGAAATATTTTGAATACGCACTTGTATCGACTGATCAGAAACACCTAAGCATATAGAAAGTGTTAAATATTCAGTTGTTTAAATCAAAGGTAGATTTTGCTATATTATAACATACCCATTGAAACCTGATCATTGGTAGACAAAATGCGCTCCAAATCGATGGATTCATTGTTCTCTCTCATGTCGTTACTTGATAATACTTCAGAAAAATATGAATGAAAATTGGTTCTTTCTGAGATAACATCATTCGGAGATGTGCTATTTGTAAGGCTTTGGCGATTTTGAGTGGTTATCGGATGAACAACTTGATCTGGCTGATCAATTATGATTTTTTGATTTTGTTGTGAAAGTTGCAGCGACGAATTCATTTCCGCTTGACCCAAGTTAGCAATTTGATGCTCCGCTCGATTCCTAACTGAGTATTCACTATCGTCCTTTGCCCGTTTTGCTGGATTGCTTTGAGTTCCGTGGTTGTGAGGGTAGGGTGGCGGCGGTCCCTAAATTAGTAACAATAATTTAATCCAAGTCAAAAGGGAATCCGCAATTTATATATTTGCACATAAATGGATACATATCGAAACTAATTAGTACTATTTGCATTTTAAAAATATACCTGTAATGATGAAGTTTTCCCAAACTGTCTTTGCTGCATTTGAACGGTTTGCTGTTGTTGACGCGAATTAATTTCTAATGATATGGGAAGATTCCAGGCCTCTTCAATAGAACAAAGTGTGCGGCGCTTGGACGTTATACTTGGCAGTGGTGCTTGGCTAAGTTGTGATTCCAGAAATTTTACTCGTTGCGCCAGACCCTTAGTCAACCCGTTTGTAGTGCTCTTTAAAAATATTGATTTATTTCCTTCATTGGCAGTGTTTATTTTCTGGATGAAAAAGTAATTTAACAATTATTAAGATCATTTTTTAAGAAAAGACTAACTATTAATACAATACCTGGTTTAAATTCCGTTTTACTGCATTCAAATAGCACGCATATGCATCCCGCAACTGTCCGCAACTTTCGTATAAAATACCCAGATTCGTCCAGGCCGACCTGTGCTCTTTATCTAACTGAACTGCGCATATGTATGCTTGGAGTGCATCCGTAGGCTGATTTTGCTGTTGATATAAGACACTGTTGTGCGCGCATGAATTAATTGTTTGCTTTCAATATGAATTATGATTGGCAAATAATGTTACCCAATTGAACACCAGGTATCCGCATTTCCTTCACTCTTTTCGACAGAATTGCGATAAGCTAAAAACGCATCGTGAACCTTATTGACACCGGCGTAACATCTTCCCAGTAAATATAATGATTGTCCAGACTTTGGATCGGCTTCAATTGATTTTTGTAAAAAACGTAATGCATTCGATTCACGTTCTTTTTTTTCGCCTAGGCATTCTACACAATGATACATCCATCCTGAAATTAGTGAATAAAATCAAGTTTAGGTTTGTTTGTAGTTTTGCAAGGGATTAGTTGCTTAAGCTAAAAAAAATCGGAGACTAAATAAATGGTTCTTACCTAATTGTCTATATATATCCGCTTTTAGATCCAACGATATATTCTTATCATTTAATATAAATTCATAAGATTCTTTTGCAGCCTTGTGCTTGTTCTGCACTTCATACAGATGAGCTATTTGAAATTTCACTACAAATAAGTTAATAGTTATGCATTACAAAATATAATTGATAAGAATGAGCGAATCTCTAAAATCTCAGTCATACATATTAACATCAACATGAATATTCGATGAAGGACGTTCCAAAGAGCTGCATCGAATATGATTGATCAATCAAATCGGTACAAATCAGTTGGGCGATCGGCAACTATTTGATTGATCGAGATGCGTTGCAGCTCTCTGCTGAGTATATGGAATTTTCGAGTCCAAGTTCAATAAACAAGATAAATAATCCAAGTACCTTGAAGATCCGAAAGCGTTGAAGGCGATGTATCAACCAACGCCAATTGCAAATGTTTAAGTGCACTACGAAAATCACCATTAGCTTTTAGCATCAGTCCTAAGCGTAGATGGACTTCATTCGCACAGGGAAAATATGGGTTTAGGTATAAAAGTTCTTGAAATAATTTTATTGACCTGAAAAAAAAAAAAAAAATATGAGTTATAGTTTTATTTGCTTGCATTATGATAAATATAAACATTTTTTTAGGTTTCCAGCACAAAAAGTAGATAAGGGTCGTTCGTTTACAAGTTACTTATCTTGAAAAGGGATTTTATCGTTTTGCAAGTTAAAAAAAAGAAGTGATTGTGATGGCAAACACAAAACAGGTTTAAAAACGCTATACAGATCAGAGTATAAGAACGTAACGTTTAAAAATATGGTAGGATATGTGATGCATCCTCAGACCAGACTTATTTATTTATTAGTTGATTTTTTATGATGTTCCTTGATTCCTTGATTGCATGAGTCTTTAGATAATTTGCCCAGACAGCTAGAAGTGCAGTACACCTTTTTCACTTGCCAAAAATGTAGATAGTCTGATAAATTGCAATATGTCTGCAGGGGCTACTTCCTAACGGTAATTCTTAATTCCTGTTACCAAGTAACAAAGCTTCATAACAGAGCCTAGTTTAATCAAAGAGGGTCAAGTACATAAAACTGATAGGTCAGTTACAACTATCTGTTTGTATAAGCACTAATATGTTTAATGAAATTAAGGACGACAGCTGATAAATAACAATATAACGATGCACATGTACACACATACATGTTATGTGGATAGAAGTGTGTGTTCTCTGCTATATAGCACTTGCTTTCAGTTATACATTTAAACTTGGATTTGACACAAATAAAACATATAATCACGCATAAACACACATACAAAAAAAAACAGTTATGTGTACAAATACATACACACACGCACACATACGCAAATAGTATAAACAACAATATAGTTCAAGATTATCAATTTTTGTATCTTACTTCGATCTGGTGGGTTATATGTAAAATTTGTATATATAATTTGTACTAGTTTTTGGCAGTTGTCACATTTATATTTTGGCAGTGTTTCCAAATGTATTAATTTAAAAAACAGACTCTAAATACACAATCATAAATCCATTTTAATTCACAGACTAGGGATATCAAACTAGATATGTACCAACAAATTTATCGACATTTTTTTTCAGCCCGTCGATTAACCGTTGACAGTCTTTTAGAAACAAATTGGAAATTACGAAACACTCAGGCGTATTCCAAATTCCGCACGTTTTTAACATGTAAGCCAAAGTGTATTGCAAAACAAATATGTATTTAAAGTCCATTTGCAATACTGACTGATTATTTATAGGAATAAAAGAAATATAATTTATCTGTTAAACTAATTTAACCCTTCGGATTTATTTTTCCATGTAAGAGATATGTTGTAAACATTAATACAAAAAATAATAGTTAACTTAAGCTAAAAAATTAAATTGCAAAGATTACTTTTAACATTATCTGAAATAGATATTTACATTTTTAAGGTATACTTGCAATGTGTAAGGCAGTTAATTATGTAAATTTAACAGTTACTTTTAAATAGTCAACTTTTTACAACAAGTTTGACTGTTTTTTGTTTGTTTTTTCTTTTAATAAATAAAATATGTTTTTAGCTGACACGAGGGAGATTCACAGCGTCCATTCAGTCAGCTGTTAGTTTCTAACTCCCTGAAGTCGAAATATATTGGAGTAGAAACATAATTGGTAAAAACATATTTTCGAAACTTTAACGCTTTGCTAAATCCGAAATCAATTTCAAAACCTAATGAATTGCATTGTGAAAATGTAATATTTTACCTTTTTGAGAATTCATGTCTTTATGTCGATAGCGTTTACTTTTCAATCTTTTAACCAGCTCGCAGTAATTTCATAAATATATCAATGATTGAATATATTGATGATATACTAATTGTTCATCATGTAAAGAAAGAGTTTTACCAAAGGGAAAAAGATAACAAACGTATCCTTATCTTGCACTTACTTTGAACGGAATATGTTCTTCAATGCAAAAGACGAAAGTCTAGAAAAAATATAAACGCTAGTTTCTAATGGGATCGAGTCAAAATATAACTGACATTTCAATTTTTTTATTTTTTATTTTAAAAAAGTTGTTTGAATCAATTAATCTAGCTACTATTTTTTAACTATTACTAAGGGGATAATTACAAAAAAGGGGAAACTAATAAATGCAAATTTTCTTCAAATAAAATTAAAAAATATTTTTTATTTTAAACTCCAGTACTTAAACCAATGACTAAAATAGCTGTCGACGCCAAAGGAATATACGTATGTTCACACCTCTGTCCTTTTGGAAAATCTTAGCTTTCTCCTACCAGCTATGCCAAAATGATTAACATTCATTTATTAATCCGCGAAAGTAGAGTTTTGGAACTAAGTCGCAATCGCCTATTAGGACTAAGCTAATTTAAATATCGAATTTTGTAATGACTTGGTAAATATGAGAGCGACACAAATGAAAGAAAATATAAATATATACAAGTTATGATTTAGTCGAGAGTGCCTCACAAGGAGTTATCCTTTCCACAGATCCAAAGTATCCTAAATCAAAGTAACCATATGGATGGTAATGTATACGTCAATCAATAAATTGCTAATGGCAGTGCAGATCAATGTATATTCTAGTTGTACACTGAGTTCCTACTCTTCAGATGTAACAAGAGCTAAGAGTTTAACGACTTACCATTTGAAGCAACGGAATTCAAAATAAACGATGCCCATGCCATAGAGAAATGTGTGATTATTCCAGTATTTTTCACAAAATCGCATATATTTTTGATATGCAGATAGTGCTGCAACGAAAAAGCAATTATTAGTCAGATGTCAATAACTTTGCAATGTAAGGAGCTTGTTTATATATTGCTTGTTTCTTAAAAACGACTATATTCAAAGTATCTTCATCTATATAACTTCTTAACTAAAAGAATACTTTACACAGCAAAACAAGCAGGTGGAAATGGCTTTTTAGAAATTATTCAAAGGTGTTAACGAGAATATTGTAATGTATTTTTCTACTAAGATATAAGCACTAAACATACAACACATTATTATCTGCTTAGTGATATAAGACTTTATAAGTGAGTAACTTAAAGACTTCCTTACGCAAATCAAAACAAATTGTTACCTTCAGAGTACTGAGCCATAAGCAGATGCAGGTGGCCGAGTTTACAATATGTATTAACGTCTACCTCGCCGATTTCCTGCTTTCGCTTGTCGGATGAAATTTCAGCAGGCAATTCAAACTTGAAGTCCTTTGAGTCCAATTCCTTTTTAATAGCATTTTCCTTAATGTGGGGTTCATCTTTGATCGCAAATTCACTTTTCAAATGCATATGTTTTCCTTCGCGTTGCTTAATATTTATCGAATGAGAACTGGCGACTTCATCTTGCAAAGCTGTAATTGTTTGCTGAATAAGCTCCTTAATTTCACAATTTTTTGCGCTCGACAAATCAAGGAATCCATAATAGCGGCTAAGATATGCGAATTAAATATGTATTGTTTACTATGTCAATCAAATATATATATTACCTATCTAGCTCCAAAACGGTCTGAAGATCTTCTGGAGAATATTGAACCATCGTAATTTGTATAAATTTATTAAGTTTTAGTAATGCAGTGTAACTAATGTTAGATTAGTTGCATGTTTATAAAAACTAAATAAATTAAATGTGATAATATTTGTCAAGATAGCGGCGTTAGAAACGATTGGAACAAAATAAAAAAGGAACACTCACCACAAATATCTGATTTAAACAAAATTTTAAGCACGAATATATTGAAAAATAAATTATGTTTATGTATTTTATGATTTAAAAGAGGCTATAAAAATAAGACAAAAAGCATACGTATATGTGTATAGTTTCCTACTATTAATAATTGGAAATCGCCTGTATATCGTCAAACCCGCTTAGAAATGCAAAAATTTGCAACCGTTTTTAAGTATTTGCTTAATTTACAGCTACAACTGGAAATATAAATTTTTATTCAGATTGTTATGAATAAATCAGGTTATTTTTTAGCTAAATAAATATAAATATATGTATGTACATTCAATTAATTTATCTAATTTAGTATGTTATTTATTTTCATTACACTAAAATACATCAATATTCGAAAATAACAATATATTAAAGTTATGTGTTCGGAAAACGATAAGCTAAACAAAGAAGTTCAATACTGGTACTATGAAATAGATACTTATCGATTTTTTAATTTTTATAAGACGAGATTTAAAAAAATACTAGAAGAAACAGCTATTAATTCAGCCTGAATTCCTATTGAGATATGTATATGGATGTTCGCGCTTCAGAGAAATACGATGCGAGCGAGGATGGGCTAAATTTTATGGACGGATACACGCATAGTATTGCTACAAGCGTCTATATTTCAAACAAAGAAAGTTACAACAGTGGTAGAAAAATGGTAACCTTCGAAGCTGGACTCAAAAATACTCACGTCCCTGGCTGGAATGATGCTTTCCACCAGATTTTACCTGTCAGAGTGTAACGGTCTCATTAGAGTTCTTCAACTAGTAAAAGAGCACACGAGATTTATGTCACAAACAAAGTCTGCTTCATGTCTTGGCACAAAAGGAATATTTTTGGCAAAAGTAATCTTCAAAATTGAACGAGGTAGTTCAATGAAACCGATTATAGGCTCACAAGGGTTAATACACACAATAAAACGAGCGAGTGACCCTAGGTCATGTTGTTTTTCTTAATCGTGGGCTTAGCTCACTTGAAAATAAATTTTACTGATAACGGTTCAGTTGCTGCTCAATTTAACGAAACGTGCTTCTTAAAAAAATTTTCTTTTAAATTTATTACGAACAAATTGGTAAAAAAAAACAGTTAAATACTTTACGTCTTATGGTTCAATACATATTTCAAAAAATGTAAGTAACGGGCGATCTTGAATTTCACCTGTGCGACCTGTGTGTGTTTATATTGTATTGCATAGGTGTACATAAATATTGATATATACTACATAGGCATTTCTGCATATTCAAATTAATGATATAAATATATAGTATCTTGAGTACGTATGTACATAAATTAATTCATATGTACATTCGTTTACATACGTATGTGTCAATTCAGTGCATAATTACATTCATAAATATACAGTTCTGCATTTATAAAGCTCTACAATTAATTCGTGCACACAAAACATTAACCGTCTCTCCGATAGCTTATTTGTATTTTTTCTTTTAAATTTTGAATTGAATTCAAAATAAAAATACTCCTACAATTACTCTCCCTATCTTTAAGCTGCGGACTTTGGGGAACTCCACGCTCTATTTAATACAGGTGTTTCAAGCTATCAGTATTTTATTAATTTTTTGGCTGAGCTGGTAAAGGCAGTTGCTTTTAAGTATGTGTGGGAGAGCTACTAAAAAATTTAAATATACAATAAAATCTTTCGGACTTAAATAAACTAATTGGAAATCTATAGGACCATCAGGCCGTTAATAAAATCTACATATGCCTCGCAGTTAAAACCGCAAACACTTTATCTAACACCCTCTTAGTCGATAGAACAATACTTTACAATTCAATTTTGGGTTTAGTTTTAAAAAAAAAGTTGCATATACTAAATTTAAAAATCATAAGTAGTTATTATTAGATTTGTGTTTGGCAGATGATAATATAATTATATGATTTTTCTAGTCTTCTTTTTAATAGGCCCTTATGGCGCTGACGCTCCTCTAGCTGCATCAGAGCAGTGAGCTGTGCTTACATGGCTAGCATCGCATCCGCTGAGCTCACGCAGCTCTTTGGCTATATTTAGGACGGGAATCTCCTCTGAAACCAGTGCATTGAGTAAGTTTACGCTGTTATGCTATTGAGAACCATAAATAGCAGGAGCCGGGAGCTATAGAAATTCTGGTAACCGGGGGAATTTTGGTAGCTTTGAGAGATTTAATACCAATTTTGTTCTTTGCTGCACTAGGACACTGACTTGGTTCAATGCTAAGAGAAATAATTCTGCGTTAATAGCTCCGGCTAAAAGCGGTCGGATGTATACAGTATATAATTATTTACACCGAAAAATGTATAGCTTGAATACTTTATACCGGACTTCTTAATCCATAAAGCTAATAATGTTTTCAAGACTTAAAAAGGAAAGAAACCAAATTGTTCCAAATAAAATTCAGACACTGACTTTTGTCTTTTAAATATGTTTAAAGTCGATCTGACATGTCATAAATTAATTTATATATGTGTACTTATCAAGAGCAGGCCAAACTCGACTATAAGCTGCCTTTGCAGTTCGCTCTCTTAAGGTATAAACATTCGGCGAACGAGTTGGATTGATAGCCGGGACCTAACTGTTGGTGGAGCATGTTGCCTTTCAACATATGAGGATCGACGTTATTAAATCATTGGATAGGAACAAACATAATCATCTGGAAGGAAAATAAACGCTTTGTATGTACACGCGTAAAATTTGAACTTTGAGTTATTGCAAACATATTTACAAACCTCTATGTCTGGGGTAATTTGACTTTGTGGCAGGAATTTACCCAAAATATACACCTCACACTCCAAGCGATATATCAAATCAATCTGACGGTAGTTTGATTCTAGATCCATTTTGAGGGTCAGCAGGGATCACACCTACAGCGACCATATTTCAGTTATTACTGAGTTCTTCTCAATTCAATTCCCCTAACCATAGATATAGCATGTTTTTGATAAAAAATTCAAATGATCTTTACGCCCCAGAAACACTGTTAAGGGTTACCAAAGCAAGAGGGAAAATAAGAAAACTGCTTTGGCACAAGAGCACTGAGAGGATTCAGTAATAATATTCATTACTGAATTCTGCAGTGAAGCAAATATAGACACACACTCAACAGATACTCATCTACAGGCTGGCATTAAAGGAAGAGGCCATGATCCTCACAACCGGTGTTGCCTGCCTCGAAGTATATTTCAATAAAAGTTACAAAATCCCAATCCTAGTTTTAAGGTTATATTTATTATATTATTCAGTTAAATTTTGATTGTCTATCAGTTTTTAAAATAATTACGACTAATTACAGAGCTCACCACCACACATAAGCTGATTTCGAAGGACCTCTGGGTGCTGATAAAAAACAATGCTTGTGGATTTTATTGCTGGTCTTTTTGGAGGTAATATATGTGCATATATATTTATTAATTTCAGAGCGTATCAAAATGTTGTGTAGAAATATTTAACAAGGGAATACATATTCTTGGTCACAGTTGATATGCCAAACAAGTCCGTCTGTCTGTTTGCAAGCACACCATGCTCATTGAGAGACAACTTGACATTAATCCTCATTTTTGATGGGGGTTTACCTGTAACCGTAATAGTAAAATTCATTTTAAATTTGAATCGTTTTTTTTCATATAATGAAATCTTGCGAACAAAGTCTAAGTTGCGAAAATACCACCTAGTAAATAATATATTTGCGGGAATTAAATCTTTGTCGTCATGAAATAGGTTTTTTTCTGATTTACATATGACCGCCAGATATTTTACTATTGCAGGTATCGCGGGTGTACTCGTCGGACACCCTTTCGACACAGTAAAAGTACACATGCAAACTGATAACCCAAAGAATCCAAAATATAAAGGAACGTTTCACTGTTTGAAGACGATATTTCTCGTTGACAATGTACGCGGATTATATCGTGGCATTAGCAGCCCAATTATGGGAATCGGTTTAGTAAATGCAATCGTGTTTGGAGTCTATGGAAATGTTCAGAAAATTTCGGATAACCCCAATTCATTGATGTCACACTTTTGGGCTGGTGCCACTGCTGGTTTAGCACAGAGTCTCATATGTGCTCCAATGGAGTTGGCGAAAACACGACTCCAACTATCCCGACATATCAAAAATCAGCGTAAATTCAAAGGAACTATTGACTGTCTGATAAACGTACAGCGAACGGAAGGCATCAAGGGCACTTTTAGAGGACTAACGGCCACAATACTGAGAGATATTCCAGGTAATAAAAAAAAACTATATATTTTCTCACACACAGAAACAAATAAATATTAACAATAATTTCGTAAGGTTTCGCTAGTTACTTCGTATCTTACGAATTTTTAATGCAACAACAGGTCAATCCCAGTGTGCCTTATATGCTTATGGCAGGAGGTTGTGCAGGAATGAGCTCATGGTTAGCCTGCTATCCAATCGATGTTGTCAAAACACATATGCAAACAGATGCTCTTGGACGCAATGCTAAATATAATGGGTTCGTCGACTGTGCAATAAAAAATTATCATAAGGAGGGCTATCCGTTCTTTTTGCGTGGCCTGAGTTCGACTTTAATACGAGCGTTCCCAATGAATGCTGCTTGCTTTTTTGTTGTTTCGTTGGTTTTAGAATTCTGTAAAAAAAATGGAATCGATATGATTACGCATTCAAAGGAATCGCTTAATGTGGTGGATTTGGAAAACTGGACACGATCCTACATACGAAATGAGCAAGAATCAGATGGCGAGCTAGTAAGAAAAATAATTTCAGAGAATGGAATCGATGTATGCGAATCCTCATATGAAATATATAATGGAAGTTATAGAGATATACCATGGTGACAAGAAGGCTGAAAATAAAATCCACAGCAGGCAATCGAATTATAAAAATACATAATATAAATCTTATTTTTAAAATTTTTTTATAATTGTAATAGTAAATCGAAAGTTTTAACAAAACGTTGACGGTATTGAAAGGGTGCAAGCCGGTTTTAAACTGAATTGAACTAATTTGTTTTATTGCTCTTTTCGTAGATAATCATGATTACATTGTTCGTTTTTTGGAATACAATAAAAATTCTAGAGAAATTTTCAAGTTTTTAATAACAAATGGAAAGTGTAATAAACAAGAATCATCCTAGTAAATAATAATAAAGAACAGGTATGAGCCTGTAAAAGCTATCAATGAAAATATTTCCGGTTCTCCCAATATAATTATTACACAGTAACCCTTACAAAGTAAAATATTTATTTTACAATAATATTGGACCTCAACGCGCCACGACGTAATTATAAATATAACAATTCTTTTAATTTGTCTAAATTTGTCAGTGGTTCATTTGTTATTCATTTTCGCTTTAAGGCGTTCTGTGAATTTCTGAAAAAGTTGCCAATGGAGTCATTTGAATTTGTGGATACTACGCCGTAAAAGTTGGGGAAAAACTGGATAGCAAGATATACAGTAGACAGATATAGGGATATTGCAATTGTAAGGAACAGATCAAATATGGCTGGTTTGACTCGATAAACATTAAGCTTCGCATCGATGCCATTGTAAAACATAAAGTCCGGCTCGCGAGCATCAGGTTTATCATAAATAATTTTAACATTTTTCAGATATTTTTCAAATCCGTCCTTGATATCATTGTTCTGCAAAATCGATTTTACGCCAAGGTATGGCAATATATTGGCTTCACTTATTACCTGTGTAAATAAATCGTATTTAAAATCTGAATAATAAATGGAGTACATATTAATTAAACTTACAGCATCGCCGCTAAAAACCTCAGATAATGTATCTATTTTATACATATAGCATGCCAGAGTCTCTGCAATTATCTTCACAGCAGTAATCGTTTGCTGTACTATATGGGCTTCGTTGTCCCTAAACATTGTTGTACGGAACGGACTTCCAGGGGCTTTCACCGAAGATAATGTAAAAGCGGGATATCGCTTCATGCTGAAACGCTCATGCTCCCACGAAAGTTTCAAATCGGCTAAGTTGATTTTCTTATGAACCCCTTCAACCGTTATGTTTTCGGCGTGATGACCTGCGACTGACTTGAGTAGCTTAAAAAATTGACTTATTGAAGTTTTTTCCTTTGGTGGTTTGGAAACATGCAGGTATAGCACATTGGGTTGATTGTTTGTCAAACTCTGTGTGATCGTGTCCAGGCATAAAACAAACTCAACATTCTGAAAATTAATAAATTTAATTAAATTTACACAAACAACCTTTTCAAAATGGATAAAAATAGTAGCAAGTAGCAAAAGACGGAATGGCAGGTTTCCGAGAAGAGTCGATTCAGCATTGCTGCACATCATATTTATTAGATTATAATTTACCTGTAGAGACATATTGTCATCCATTTCTAGCCATTTTTTAGATCCCTGGAAGTTAAGTAACATACCAGAGTCTGAAAGCAAGAATCCTATACGGTATTTTGGCGCTGTACTAATCATGGAGTGCAGTTTACTGAATACTTCTATAAGTGACATCAAAACTGCGGCATCAGCATTTAATGGATAATCCTAAAAAAAAAATGAATTTAATTCATTGCTTATGTATTTATTTATTTATGAGGAGTTATTTTAATAATTGGGAGGCGTAATGGCGATTTGGATTTTGTATTGCGGCGAGTTTTACTTACATTAATTATTCCAAAAGTCTTCAAGCTTGCTGTTATAAGAATAAGCGGTAAACTACCCTCAACAGTGTTCTCCATATGCTTCAGAGGAAGCTGATTTGGCAAAAATTCACCTTGAATAACTGGTACTTTACTATTCTTGTTCGCCGCACTATTTTGTCCATCTACAGTGACATGGTAGCCATTCGCAGAGACAGATAATAAAAGTTGGCTAGCTGCAGTTTTGTTTTTAGTATCATTATCGATGGCTGTGTATGTGATATCATTGATAATATGTTCCAACTCCTTGTTGAAATGAGCAAAATAAACCGGCACGGGTATGGATTGTTGCAGCATTTGCTGCTCCAACATTAAGACATGATCCTTAACGTCATCGGCTAAAGCTTGTACATCCTTCGGCAGCATGACTATAAGGCCACCTGCTTTCTGTCGGATTTCATTTAAATCGCTTACAGAAATATCCAGTAACCTAAAAGAAGCAAATTCGTATGTATTAAATATTTTACATATGACATAAGTTGAGTTAACTCAATTATAAGATTGCAAGTATTTTTGTACTGTCTTGCAAAAGAAAATATGATTATATTAGGGGTTGCACAATGTATGTATGAAAGTAGATTTTACTAGTAGTAGGCCTTCCAGATATAGACTTGAAACTGTAAATTTATAATTGTATATATCCACGTAAGCAGGTTGACAAAATCAAGAAAAATATACATAAATTGCCCAACATATTCCACATCTTAGTCAACTAATTTGGAAATTTGATGACTAAAACTAATTTAACAAATCGAACAGAAAACAGAACTATAATATTTTCGAATAACTCCGGATCTCGGCTTTTGTATGGTTTGGTGATATTCTTAGCGGTTGCCGGCACAATTCCATCTACCAACTCTTCTTACCTTGCTAGAACACAATGCCGACCAGTGTTCCAAGTATATAAGGATTTTGCTTCTAGAGATATAGCGGAAGATCGAGAACCTATAAGATGTTAAATAAAAGCATGCATAGTTAATACGTATGTACACATATTATCGGCAAATAGCGATTATCATTAATTTATGTACCAAAATGTTCGCCATTGACGTCAAATTTAATCATAGACATAACTTGAAACTCGCTAGCTAGACATGGCGAGCAGAATATTAAAATCGGCAAAGTTATAAGGAGATAATAAGGCAGTCCACCGCGAAAGATGTCCGCAAAATTGTCAGCATCATTTAACATATCAGATTTCTTTTATTAATTAATATTTAAATTACTGTCTTCCTAATGGGATGGCTAATTTGGACTTGATAACTCAATTTATGCCGCATGTATTTCTGCAATGAGTGTTATCGAATAATAAACATGGCTAATTTTGGAATGCTGGAATGGAACATCATTGTTGAAATCGTTATACATTCAATCCCACAATATTATTATGGACTGAGAAACACACTAGATATTTAATTGGAAATTAAAATTGCAATTATAAGAGCTTACCAAGAGAATATTAAAGAGGATAGTAAAGGAGTGCATGCTTTTCCAGCGTGTTTCATGTTTCATATATTATGATATTATGGGTTGTATTAAATAAGAAATTCATTAGAACAAAACACGCTGAAGCCATTGCACAGTTATCTGATTTATCGTGTGCGTCCCAACTATTTTTATCAGTCAATTAAAATAATTTACGATTTATCTCCACTTCCACCGCAATGGTCAACTCGTCTAGTTTCTTTTAAAAATTTGATCTTACATTAAAATTTACAGTAACGGCTGTAATAAAACTCACCTTTGTGAATTTCGCTAAAAAAATAATAAGCCAAATCTATTTTTTCACTTGAGATTTATTGTACTGTCGTTTTAGATATTAATATTTCATCGTTTCAATATCGACGCTTATCTAAGTTGAAATTCAAATTTTTAACTGGAAGCGTCATGCACAAGCCACTGTGGGAAAAACGTTTGAAAAGTGTGGCAACCTTAAAATATCCGCGGCATTTTGGTGAGATTAACTCTGATTAAAATGGAAGACTTTGAAAAAATTGAGAAAATTGGTGAAGGCACTTATGGAGTAGTATATAAGGGGCGCAATCGCCTAACTGGCCAAATTGTCGCTATGAAAAAAATTCGATTGGAGTCTGATGACGAAGGAGTTCCTTCCACCGCTATAAGGTATATACTTGTTTAAATATGAGGATTTTCAACTAACGCACATGCATGAAAACAATTATTTATAGGGAAATCTCGTTACTAAAAGAATTAAAACATGCAAATATAGTTTGCCTAGAAGATGTTTTAATGGAAGAAAATCGGATCTACTTGGTATTCGAATTTTTATCAATGGACCTAAAAAAATATATGGACTCCTTGCCACCTGAAAAGTATCTTGATAGTCAACTGGTGCGAAGCTACTTGTATCAAATAACAGATGCCATTTTATTTTGCCATCGTCGTCGGGTGCTGCATCGCGACTTAAAACCCCAGAATCTTCTTATTGACAAAAATGGAATAATTAAAGTTGCCGACTTTGGACTGGGCCGATCTTTCGGAATACCCGTACGCATATATACCCATGAAATTGTGACATTGTGGTATAGGGCTCCAGAAGTATTGTTGGGCTCCCAGAGATACTCATGTCCAGTTGATATTTGGTCAATTGGATGCATTTTTGCCGAGCTTGCTACTCGGAAGCCACTATTTCAAGGTGATTCCGAAATAGATCAATTATTCCGAATGTTCAGGTAAGAGTATACAATTTGTAATATCTAAAAAAAAGTAATGTTGTTGAGGACTCTTACTTGTTGAACACTTGTGTACCGTAATTCAATTAAATGAAAAACAAAGGAAGTTGACAAAAATATATATGTAATTTTATTTTTAGAATTCTCAAAACACCCACTGAAGATATTTGGCCAGGCGTAACTTCGCTGCCCGATTATAAAAATACATTCCCATGTTGGTCAACAAATCAATTAACTAATCAGCTTAAAAATCTGGATGCTAACGGCGTGGACCTCATTCAAAAGATGCTTATTTATGATCCAGTTAATCGAATTTCAGCCAAGAAAATTTTGGAGCACCCTTATTTTAATGGCTTTAAAATTGACTTGGCTACTTCAGCCTAAGATATTTGCCTTTCCACATGAACAATTAAAATTAGTCATAAAAATAAATGTACCATATAATACATTCATAGTGCATTTCTTGATATGCGTGAATTTAATAGTTAGCGTCTCCGCTCCCGCTCTTCATTAGCAATAAACTGTATACAAAAATAATAATGTTATCTAATCGCTTTGTAATTCGCAACGGGTTTTGGTTTAAAGCGACAAGCGGCACGGTTTGCAAACCTGGGTCCAAAAGTCAACTGATAACAGAACCTGAAGACTTGTAACAGCAACCGGCTGATTTTATAACATCACATTTTTGAATTAAATAAATCACCATCATATTAAATCAGGGGGAAAACCCCTTTTCGCTAACTCATCTGATTCAATAGTGTGTCAAAGCGCACACATTCATGGGTTTATTAACTTAGTTCGCAGTTATACATATTTATCGTCCGCTACGTTTGTGCACACAGTTAGTGTTCATAATAGTGTTCGATTATCGCAAATTTTTGACGGGAAATGTGTTTTGCTCGCTCGGTAACATATATGTAAATTTGTAACCGAAGAGCTCTTCATGTCTTCATGTAATTATCATGTTAGTAGCTCCAACAAAATATATATTTTGTATGCATATCATTTTTATTTTATAATAATAATAAAAATTACTGAAGCAAGTTGTGTGCAAGTCTACAATTAATTAATCTAACTCAATTCGATTTTCCAAAAACAAATTACCAGTGTGCATTTTAGATTCTTTCATTTTTAAGTGGGAATTTAGTAAATCATCCATGGTTATTGAAAGTAATGCCTTATTTATATCTGTAGTTGAGGACGCATTGTTTGTATTACTTGCTCGCATAAACTGCCTCATTCTATAGACGGAAGCGTTTCGGCACATTTCCCGAAGATCTGACCCAGAGAATCCGTTCGTTAGTTTAGCCAAACGGTTATAGTCGACGTCACGATCGATTTCCTCTGTTGCTAATATTAATTTAAGGATATCAATTCGTTGACTCTCGGATGGGAGGCTTATGTGAAACTGTGCTGGCATTCTACGAACAATGGCCTTATCAAGATCTTGCGGCCGATTAGTAGCGCCCATTACAATCACCGCAGAGTGAGGATCCGTACTTAGGCCATCCCATAGCATCATGAATTGCGTTTTCATCATAGCTGTGGCCTCATGATCATTTGAGTTACGTGCGCGAAGAAACGAATCGATTTCATCCACGAAAATTATGCATGGCTGAATTTTAGCAGCCAGCGAAAAGACGGCAGATGCAAGCTTCTGCGATTCACCATACCACTTGTCAGTAAGAATGGCCACATCCAAGTTAATAAATCTCATGCCAGCCTCCTTCGCAGTGGCTTTCGCAATTAATGTTTTGCCGCATCCTGGTGGTCCATGCAGCAGTACACCTTTTGGGGCTTGCCAAAGTTTTGATTCCTTGAAAAGATCTCGATGCCGTACAGGCAACACAACCGATTCACGCAGGTCCTGAATCACCGAATCTAAGCCAGCTATATCGCTCCATTTAACCGCTATGTCGGCTGGAACTATAAGGTGTGATGCAATCATCAGCTCATAGTCGGTAAACGTCTGCAGACTTACGTCGAAGTTTTCTTCTTTACTTAACCTACAGGAAATAAACGACACATGTTATGACTGCATTTCGTTTCAGATTAAACATACCTTTTTAACTGTTCTTCAGCAAGCAATTTGGCTTTTTTTTTGTTTTTACTGGTTGGATCCAATTGATTCATCATCCATTTTACTGAATAATATGTTATCACAGAGGCTATTGAAACTCGCAGCAACATTTGAATCATATGTCCTCGAGTCAATTCAGAGCCTCCAAAATTAAAGTGATCCATCGTGTCCTTATTCAAATACCACTAGCGTTTAAGAAAATATTATCTGTGCTGCTTAGAAATTCATAAGCATATAACTTAAAGGGCTGTAAATAATTAATCGATACAAACTAATCGATAACATTGTAGAGAAGATCCATACCAACATTGAGTGTATTCCAACAAATGGTTGTGTGAAATAATAGACGGTTTAATATTTTCGATATTTTTTTTGTATTGTAATTTTTACTGTTTGCTTCAGCTTTCGAAGGAAAATTCAATGTATATTGGGTATTGTACACATTTTTATACCATTATAAATGGGACTTCCAAGGAATTATTTAAGCGAAGCTATAAGAAATCCACTCCTTAAGGGTATTCTTGGCTTAAAAAACAATGATTTTTGTATGTAAATAATTCAAGATATTGCGTCGGCATTGAACATTATCGATACTATTAATGCAACATGTTATTTTGAATCAAAGAAGCAAGTTGAGTGTATTGTCAGATATTTTGAAGTCCAGAAAGTCCTGCCGGATTAGAATCGAAATAAATTGACAGCTTAATTCTGCCTTAAGCCGACTAAACTTTCTGCGGGAAACATATCAAATTATTCTTGTCTTCATAGAATTTCATTGTTCGACAATTAGATAACAATTCTTAGCTGCAACGAATTTTTGCACACAAGCATATTTAGTTGAAAAATGCATTTCAGTTCATTGTATAGATAGAAAAGAATGCCCCTGTCTCTTGTTAGGTCTGATACATTTGTTAGTAGTAATCAAAATATGAATACTATCGAAAGTCACGAAAAACAACACTGAGGATGACGCACGAAGAGAACAAAGATGGCGTTCCCGATGGTAACACGAACAAAGCCAGCAGAATACTAAAAATAGAAGTGTTATGAATTTTATAAAAAACATTGTTTAAAGAGTTGAAATACTTTTAAAAAAAGCTTTAACAAACAATTTGCCATGTGTAAACTAAAAAAGGATTTGGCAAACTAAGCGTTGTTCGTTGCAGTGCAAGTTTTGTGCAAATCAAAACATACATACATAGATACATATATGAAGTTTGTGTGTTCGTGGTCAAAAGAAATACAAATCCGATCCACACCTTTTTTTTATAATTTCGACGGTTCGGTTTTGGTGCAATTGTCAAAAAAGTGAACAATTATAGTTGCCCACCGTCAATAGTAAAACGGCATTAAACTAAACGAATTTTGTTCAAGTGAGTATGCCTTTTATTGAGCCTGTGAATGAAATTGTCGGATTGCTTACGACTTTATTGTAACACACATATGTATGTATATACACACATACACACACACTACACACACATAAATATATATACATATATATATCTATACTTATATATATATATATATATATATATAAATATATATATGTGTTCGTGTAAATATATCAAAATAAAAGAAAAAATGTAAATAGATATAATGATTCTAAGCTCAGTACCGTTTTTTTTTTATTTTATGGAATCAATCATTTTTTTATTAAAATAAAAAATTGTGAATATACCTTGGTAATCAAAATTGATTTGCCTTGAATTATCTTAATTATTGTGGCTATTATTAAATTCGACCCATGGAGTAGTGCAATACCAAGAAATAATAGCTCGAGTATTACACCTAGGCGTCTGCTGATGATAGTGGCTCTCATATCAACCGGCTGTCGTCTAGGCTGGTAGGCTGGAGTTGTTACTCAACAGTTGTCAAGTTCCACTCTCGGCGGGGTAAACAATACACTTTTATTAATGTGCGAGTCCAAAATTTGCGCAGGTAACTTTTATTTTAGCTACTTATACATTTGGTCCTTAAAGAAACATTTTTCTACCGTAATTTATGCGAGATTTGTATGTGTTTCTCTGTAAAAAAGGGAAAACATTAGTTGAAGCAAGCAAATTTAACACAATTTAACAACAACAGTAATGAATGTTATTGTTTAATTATTTCTACCATTTAATAAATAAAAGCAAAGAAAAATGCTGGGAATTAAAATTACATATTGTTCTTTTTTTTTTGTTATTGCTGGATCATATATTTTGGCCTCTGAAATTAAGAGTTTTCATATGAATCCAAAAATGTTTTTGTTAATTTTGCCTTTTACCTGATTTTAATTATTTAATTTAAGTGAATTTTGAGACGATCGAAAAATATTCGAGTGGAATTCAACAGTTTTCTATCATCTTCATCATCATTTAGTCAGCAGAAGCAGTCTTATATATTGAAAAGGATGTGAAGGATAGGAGATCCTAACTCATATGTGCATTGCCAAAATATATTTTCTGTTTAGCCTTAGCTCATTTGGCGAATAATTGTGACTTAAATTCCATAAGAAAATGCAAATCGGAAATCAATGCCATCGGATCAAGAAGATCAAGTCGGAAAAGGTTGGTGGTCGGCCGAATGTGTTTACAAACTAAAACCATATTTCGCCAATAAAATAGAATGTAATACCAAAGTAATACTCGTTTTTTGTAGTCCTGCAATTGTAAAATATTTTAAACTATTGACAAGTGCAATGCTTTTCTTATAGACAGGTGAATATATATTTCCTAACCCCAATATATTCCTGATTAGCATTAATTGGATCCCGCTTAAAGTAGTCTACTGTCGAGTTCGGCAGCATGTCGAAGTCTGACGCATTGGAACACTAGGCATGAGAGAACTATTAATCAAATGATGTGTTTCTGTGAGGGGAAAACTGTTTTAAATTGAATTATTTTATATATTTTTTGTTAATATATATTCTGAGTGATGGAATACCCGGTGTATATAATAAAATGTGACTTATTGTAACCTTAGATTGTAACTGAACTTAAGTTAGCTTAAAGTAATATATATTTAGTTTCATAATACTAAAACTTTGATATAAATGGATTGTTTCCTTGCAGGCTTCTTTCTGTCCAGTCACCGTCCACAAAAGAACGTCAGAGAGATCATGGCGACCAGTGATGATGAGCCCATGCACTTGTATGAAGTGTTTCAGAACTGTTTCAACAAAATAGCCAATAAGCAGCCGCCGGGATCAGTGGGAACTGAACGGGGTGGCGGCTATCACTCACCGTATGGAGGCCTTGCTGTGGAGAACGGGATGTATCCGAGTGACTTTAATTCCATTCACGATGCAAACGGAAGCAACAACAATCGATTTGCGAACACATCTACAACAGTCGATCAATACTTCGATTCGGGGGCAACAAGCAGCGCGGGATGGTATCAATCGCAGATGCACAGCAGTTCCAATTACATGGGCCAGACAACTTATCAGAGCAATACGCCAATATCTTCGCATCCCATGGACCATCAGCAGGTGCATAATGCTGAGGGTTTAACAAGCAGCACAAGTATTGCAATGCAAATGGGCGGTGAGAGCGGACAAATTGGTATGCACAGCCCGGCATCGACATCACTGCCGCCAATGAGTTCATTTCGTGGCGGATCCGGCAGCATACCGAACATTGGAGCACCGACCGTGCTCTCGCCGGCCGTGTACAATTCACCGCAACACAACCAAACCGCAGTGCAGGTGCAAGCACAACAGCATAGTACTCTGGCCTCGGCTGGGCAAATTGGCCACCATTCCCTGAATCACACCCCGCTACCTCACGCACATTCACATTCCCATCACAATCAACAACTGAGTCCTGCAATGCAGAGCGCTGACGGCTTTGGTGGACTAAGTACGGGCGGCCCCAATGCGAAAGTGCCTGGAGCTGGCAATTCCTCGGCAACGTCATTGCGTCAGCAAATCTATATGTCGGCTGCAGCAGCGGACCAGAGTATTAGCAGCTTTAGCTCAAACCCATCAACGCCGGTCAATTCACCGCCGCCATTGACGCAATCGGGTGTTGGCGAGGGCAATGTCTCCGGCAATGGATCCGGTTGGAGTCATAGTGTCCTCAATGGCAGTGCCGGCTCAAATTATGCCAACGATATGGTGCCCGTAACCAGTTTACATACCATGGCTTCTGTATTTCAAGGCGCACGCATGGAAGAGCGCTTAGACGATGCCCTCAATGTGCTACGGAATCATTGCGAGCCCGAAATGTTGGCAAATGTAAATACATCGCTAAATTCGTTGGACAATACTGAAACGTTATCTTCCTTCGTGGCCAATTCACCCTCGTCCCATCTAATCGGCGGTAGTTCCGGCGGAAATGGTGCACTTGTACCTAACACACCGAGTACCCTGACGCATGAGGTTCTTTCGCTGAGCACACCTGTTGTGGGCACAACCGGAATTCCATCAGTAGGTGGTGCAGGTGGTGCCGGATTAACAAACATTAAAATGGAGCGAAATGCATCGACATCGATACCAACAACATCAACAAAAACAACCAAGAAGCGAAAGGAGCCAACTGGCATCAGTAATATTGCTCATGCGGGCGTCTCGACCACATCGAATATTTCGAATCTGGAAATATCGGATGCGAAACCAACAAGTTCAGTGGAGCCATCATCGAATGCGGCACAGCTGCAACAGCTGTCGCAGGGCGCCAAGGGTTCAAAACGGCCACGTCGATACTGCTCCTCGGGGGATGAGGACGACGATGCCGAGCCGGCTGTCAAAGCTATTCGCGAAAAGGAACGGCGTCAGGCAAATAATGCACGGGAACGCATTCGTATACGTGATATTAACGAGGCTTTGAAGGAACTGGGTCGGATGTGTATGACACACCTGAAATCGGATAAACCGCAAACCAAGCTTGGCATCCTCAATATGGCTGTGGAAGTCATTATGACGCTGGAGCAACAGGTTCGCGAACGAAATCTGAATCCGAAAGCCGCCTGCTTAAAGCGTCGCGAGGAGGAGAAGGCGGAAGACGGTCCCAAACTGAATATCCAACACCACATGATACAGCAGCCGTCTGTGAGCACCGTCGGCAATAGTTATCATCATAGCCAGCCTTCACAATTAGTGCCACCACCATCTCAGACCATAAACAGCATGGCCTTACCTGCTAATCAGACTAGTAACGTTCTACCACCACACTTGCAACAGCAACAACAGCAGCAGCAGCAGATTGGACAACACCCACAATAGCATGCAGTTGGCAACGACCTGAAAGCATCATCATCAGCAGCAGTAGCAGCATCATCATCATCTTCCATTGCAACCCAATTGATTCAAGACTCGGCAAAGTACTCATCAACCTTCGAGTTAGAGCAACATTTATTAAGCAATTTTTTCAGACGTTATCACGCAACCCAAACCATTTCCGAGGCAATACCCCTTTTGCAGCATCCGCAATTTTAGTTGATTTTTAGTACTTATTTTGTCGACGGAATCAGCATATGCCAATATACAATTTTGATCTTGTTTATCAATTGTATATACTTTGTGTTTTAATCATGATTGACGGCGTTATTTGGAATTTTGATCCAGATGATAATTATCTTGGGTTTACATCATTTTGTGCGATTGTCACTGTAGCCACCTTTTTAAACATTCATTCATACATAATTATATAATTAGATCTACGTAGGTTTATTTACAAAAATAAAACAACACAACAACAACCAACAAACAAACAAAAAAAAAAAAACAACAAAAAATGAAAAAACAAAAAAAGAAATCCCAATTTCATATATACAGACTTTCTTATATTCCCCATATTCTTAGGACAATACAAAGGTATATGCACATTAATTTTTCTTAAACGTGTTAAATGCTCGCATGTAATTTAAAAAAAAAAAAAAAAACCAACAAAAATAAAAACGAAATATATAATAATAATTTATATATTTAAAGCAACCGAGTACTTACAATAAGTATTAGAAGGAAGTAATCGTTAAATAAAATTAAAGCTAACTGTTAACTCAACTCTTAGCTTTTAAGAAACTTTTTAAACGGTTATCAATTATATAATACGCTAGAGTAGGTTAAACATTAAATGAAATGCTATTTTATGTGCAGCGTTCTAAACTTAACTGACATAGGAAAACAATCGACAGCTAAATGCTTCAATGTCAACTGGCTGCCAAATTTGATCAATGCTGCTTAGATAGTTAAAGGCAAATCCATTTGTCAATGGCGATATTCAAAGAGCATTCTTGGCATGCAATGTATATTATATTTCGTACATTATAATTACTTCAATTCTTTATAAATTTCGTTTTAATCGCTATGTTATTAAGTAACGATATCGAAACATATCTAGCTTGTTAATGGTGAAAAGCATTTTTATTTGAAAATTGTATTTAGTTTATCTTTATTCATACATAATTGCTCAAACATTTCAATTATAAATTGTATAAATATGTGTATGTATGTGTTTCTTAGTACATAATGGTTGCCACGCCGTTAATAATGAATAAATGAGGCAAAACATAACTTACATACTCTCGTTTACATGTTTGCCCAACAAGCTTTGTTAGATGCAATATGAAAATGTTTAGTGTTTTTGTTAGTTGACCCTGTTCAAGAGTTCATTTATTTAATGATACAGCATCAGAAGGAATCATATTGGAGTGAAATTTGCATAAATAGAGCTATGGTTGGCTTGCTTTGGCCAGAGAGATATATTTTCGCTTTTTAATACTTTCTCAACATGTTCATTGGAATTAAGCATCTACGAATTACACAATTTGACATATTAGTTTCGGCTGAAAGGTTTTTTCTTTTTGTTAATGGGCAGTCCTTAAAAAGTTTCTTGATTGTAAAATGAGTTCAGTGTTAGGGACTTCCTTTAATTCTGCCATTCGGGAACCGATTGAGAAATTTCACAGCGATTTAATGTCAAGAGCGAGTTATGCTGAAATTATTGAATGAATGAATTATTGTCAATCCAATGGAAAACGGAACATTCTCTGGGCCAAAGATCGGATAAAAATTGTATAAGGAGTATGCAGATGACTATAACCCCATAAAGTATATTCTCGCGAGCAGAATCGTTAGCTAAGCCGTCCATCCCCCAGCCTACATAAGGAAAATCTGTTAAGCGACGAGTTTTTGTATAAACAACTTTTATGTTAAGCAAGTTATCCGGTCCGAACCGATGTGCGGTTTACGTTCCTAACATTTAAAACAGAAAACCATCTTCATTGACCTACTATATATACCTTTCACAGGAACAATCGGTCAGTTATTTTTTTAACGTATGGGGAGATTTGGCTTTTGTCAAGTTGAGTCCAGTCTGTAATGGAATGCAAACTTTGGCGAATCTAAGACATTCGTTCTTTCTTGTTTTTATTTGCATCTTACTTAATAATTTAGGTCTCTTACTCTTACTTAATAATATCCGTCTCTCTTTCCGTCTGTCAGTGATGTACACAAAGTAGATAAATTTAAAACAGCTTTAATGAATCTATATGGATTTCGTTTTCACCTTTTTCTCACTAAAATTTTTTTAAATAAGTGTAAAAAAGTTTGAGGGAATGTATTTGAAAGGCAGGAGGGAAAACCCATCGCTATTAGAAATGTTTTCTAAGCAGAAGAGTGGCCAAAGATCTGATAACACCTTCTATTATAGAGAAGGCTATCACTGAGAGCAGTAAGTGGTCTTTTGTACCAAGTGCTCACGATTTGGATCGACCAGGTCGATCTTTCTTATCTATTTTTTATATCCGCAAAAGTAATTAGCTTCTTACACAGATGCTTTCTTACACTCCAGAGAACTGTTGGCTTCTCGCATAACAAGTGCAAAGTATTCGAGTCAGCCACTTCACACAGGCAATAAATGTCCTTCGGCGTGATTTTTTGTGCCTTTTGCACTCAGTAATATACATACAGTGTCTCGCAGTTCAACTGGAACAGCTCCTAGCAAAAAAGTTAATTGCCTGCCATAAACAAATTATTCAATATTTTTCAAAAATTCCAAAGACCGATGGTAGGTACATATATTAACTACCTAAATGACTATATGACCCCCATAAACTGGGGTTTTCCCACCGGCTAGGCCGGTGTATGTAGATCCAAGGCCAAATGCATAGCTTAATACAAAAATGCTTTCAGGCTATGATTTTCTTCTCAAGGCCAGACCAAAGGGATTCAGAATTACTTAACATCATTTATGCGCCCAGTTGTAGAACCCAATTTAGAAGTTATTTCCGTATATATAAGCTTATGAGTAGAAGTCTACATTGTTTTGAACTAGAACGCATTTATCGATAAGTAGGCCTCGACGGTAGTCTTCGACCTAATGCTTCACAGCTAACTCACACATCGGAAACGGTACTTGTTGGGAAGCTAAAGTTTGATCTTAAGCTTCCCCTTTGAATTTAGGTGAACCTTGAGCCGGTCAAGCCGGTCTTTTCTTGATATATACGAGATTTGTGGAGAAATGTTTTAATGAACTTTATTGAGATTCTCTTCTTACTCTATGCAAATCTCCTTTTACCTATAATTTAGTTTTTAAAAAATTATTTACCGGGTCCATGCGCAAGAGCATTTACTGACTGATCGCGATCGTCTCCAAAGAGTCCATGCCATGCGCAGCAGCCCGTGAGAAAAAGAAACCACTTTACTCAACCAAAAACATTTTTTTTATAAATATCTATATATAATATTACTATATTTTTATATTAATCTATTATCGCAATAAAATTGCCGTAATTATCGGCATTATTGCCAACTATCGATTGTCAAAAGTAGCTTCAACGATGACTCAAAAGAAATTTGCTCTGATGCATTTGTAATAGCTATATAATATAAGAGAGTGTGATAAATTAATGGCAACTGGAATGGCAGTACCATACTCTAAATAACCCGTATCTGTAGGAAATTATTTTTATGAATGAAAACTAAAAAAATTATATTTTGTGGGGTTTCATAATTTTGCATTAAATGTATAATTGCAGTTGTTGCAAAATTCGTTGGTTCTGTCTACTTTTTAAATGCAGTTTTCGCAGCTTTTGTAAATATTTTTTCATTAAATAATTTTTTTTTTTTTTTGGTGTACATTAAGCTAGTTTGTTACATGTTATACAAATTCCAAACAGAAAATTGCTGAACAGCCAAGTCTAGCGGGACTATAGCTAAAACGGCAACACTACTTAACAACACTAATCTGTTATCGACAACAAAAAATCGACGAACAGACATAAACAAGAATGATCAATATTTGGATTTTAATTGTAATAAAGCAATTTCTTATGTTGACGTTTATTTGATTTATTTAACTTAATATTTATGTATGCCGACGGTTATAGCTAACAGGCGACTAGCTTGTCCAGATTTTAATTGTTCGTTCAAAAACTGAAGATCAAAAGTAAAGTTTTGCCGTTTGCGTGACAAGCGAATTAACTTTTGAGAGAATTGCAAACATATCGTGGCACCGTGGCACCCTTGATTATGATTCGCAAAGCCGGTTTCAACGTATTCACCTGCATATTATATGTTGTTGGTTCACTTAAATAAAATACTTTACGAAATGCCCTCGTTGATTCTTGAAATATTGAAAAGCTTTCCTGTCTGTATGAATTCTGCAAAGAAAAAGTTCATTTAGTGTTGAACTTCAACTCGGTGCTTTAGCAATAGAGCTTTAATTTAACGTGTTGAGATCATCGTTGCCTATAAATCGAAAAAGTTAGCAAAACTACAGTGCGGCTAGGTATATTTCTATACAAATGTATAAATGTGAATATATACTTGCATTACATTCCATGTAAAAAATACACATATAATGTACATATCAAAAGTGTTACAAATTCCGCTTATATTCAGTCTAATCTATATATGTACAAGCGTGTATATGTACATTAATTCACATACATATGTGCATACGAATTTAGACATGTAGTAATTTGTGTTTGTTTAATAAATACGTATATCAAAGTATTTTTATTTGTGTGCAAACACACACACAGCTACATCTTTACCTTCATATATGTTTGTATATATAGTTATATTCTTATACAATACTCATGCATGGATTTATGTACACATCTACATTTGTACACTTGTACCTCGTACATACTAATTTCTTGTCATGCACACACCTAATTTCTTATAAGAGCACGATCGATCACAGTGGCTATATGGACATATTTTGAAGGTAGATAGATACTTGCGTACAATAATCGGCCTGTATATATATAGTTATTAGACAACATCTACATACAGATAGGTCATGCCTTTCATATACAAATTACCCAGCGATTCGTTTTCGCTCGGGCCCTGAACTCACCGTTAATCTCAGCGACGCAGAGAGATACAGAGAGAGAGAGAGAGAGAGAGAGAGCATAATCCAGATTTTAAATTAAGAGAGATCGTGGATTTTGTTTGCAGTCTGTTTAGCTCCTCAAGTTTTTGTTGTTGTTGTTTAGATTAATATTAGAATAATTGAGCAGCTATGTTTACAATCAACAAATTGAAATATTAATTTAATTTTCGGCGAGGACTACAATAACATGACCAACAAGTTCGCCCCGCTGACGTGTAAGAAATACTCACAATACATTTCTTATGTACTATTATTTAGCGACTTTTTGTATTGCAAGGTGTTAAAATAAAATATCACATCCATGGCAAGTTAGGGAGCAGCGCTGTAATTGAATAGTGAGGTTACTATTAGATATAAGTTTGCTATAATCGAGCCGACTTAGAACGCAAGCAGATCGATTACTGATAAAGCCAAAAATATAGTCGCTTCAAGAATTCTATCTGAATATCTGATATCTGTAAATGTCTAGACGATAGCTGCATTGTATTTAAATACTTCGAATCGTATCTTGTTGTTAACTTATGCTTTTTACATCAATTTCGATAAATTAGCTTAGATAAATATGCTCTATAGATTCAGCAAATACTTAAAGTATTTTTGCACGTTTTGTGACGTCATATTTTTATTCATATTTAGTGATCATATTTTTGTGACATAACTTCAGTTTTTTATCTACTTTAATAATTTGCATGAGCTGCTTTTATGAGCATAATATTTAACGGTGCCACAATTACAATTCTGTTCTTTCTTTAAAGTAATGCAACACAAAATGATTTTCTCCTCTCTCTCCCGATATACAATATCTTTTTCTTGCTGCTGTTGTTCTTGTGCTTGTTAAATGATTAAGAACTATAATTAACTCTTTGATAAGCGGTCCGCATCTTCACTTATTGCTCGTCTCTCGTTTCTCGCCTCTCGTCTGCCTCCCGTGCAATTGTTGTTGCTGGTTCGCTGTTTATGCTGTCAACTGTAGCTTTTTGCCCTTAAGCACTTTGGTAATATATAAATAGAAGAAATCGCAGTGGAGAATCGTTTGGACAACGCCCGCAAAGATCGCAATCAGATCTTAATGTCGATCGATTCGACCATATAGCAATAGACCGAATTCCAAGAGCAAGAGCAAATAGATAATGGCTATTATATTATTAATTTGTTATTATTACTTTATATCATAGGATGATGAATTCGAACAAAAATCTTCCGACAAGCTGTGATAGGTCTTCAAGTCAAATCTCAATATATAACTATCCTGATCACTTAAATCCATTTCACGAAGAGGACAATCATAAACGTTTGCGCTTTTGGAAATTATCAAAACGCGATGATGACAGCAGACGAAGAAGTTTCTCTATAGGAAATCTGCGAGACGTTTGGTAAGTTGGCGGTAATATATATTTTAATTGACCAGTTATCTTTAACATTTACACACCATTCTCTTTTGTAGGAATTTTAGGTCATTTACCTTAAAAAAAAAGTCATCTACTTTGGGAATTCAAAAAACATCTGAAAGTCCTCCTGTTTTGCGAAGAAATTATGACTTAAATAGATCGTATCAACAACCAGGACAACAGGCAGCTGGAAATAGAGGTTTAATCCGATCTTTACAGAATGTTAATACCTCTCTAGAGGTAAGTTATGATATTTTGTTCTACATTGTCCAATTTCATAGTATCAACTTGTTGTTTACAAAAATGTCTAAATGCAGTTCCTACAATCCGCATCCATATTCGAGGGCATCCGTAAATGCTTACAAAAACTGTCTGTCTGATTATTATTTATGATTCCTCCTCGACCCTTTGATCTTTATGATGTATCCAATTGAAGTAAATAACCTATCTTGGGATTTATAATTCTTACACAGGCTTTTGATCATTCCTTGATCTATCAATGAACCACTGCACTTTTCCTGTGGTTGAGACTGTAAGACAGCATCTTAAATGTCGCCCAAAGTTATCTTGTCTTAAGATCTGTCACACTTGTTGCGACACACTTGTCCTTGGATCCAATAAGGTCACTTGTCTAGGATTATTGATATCCATTTAATGTCAGTAGAGAGTGATACAGGGAATTCACAGCTACAATCCTACCTGAGGTCCAACAGTTATGTTACAGGATGCATATTCATTTACATCTTGTGAGCTTGAGTTTTCTTTCCAGAGCAATGGATGTAAACCGCTACCCTGGTGTATTACTTGAGTCTTTTTTCTTCTATCGTCTTTATTAGAAGTATTTATTATTAATGGTCCTACCGCATTAGAATTCTTTAGGTAGGCAGTACAGTAGTTCTTGCACTCTAAAGCTTTAGATATTTAGCTTAGTTGTCTTTGGCTCTAGTAAAGAGAGGCCAGTCCATTTTTTTATCAAGCATAATATCTACTAACTCAGTTGGACTTAAGAACTGTGCTGTTACTTTACTTCTTTGAAAATAAATAAAGCTAGTGTGTTATTTTCCAGACTCTCAAAATCGCTTGGGCTATTTTTCTTGGCCAGAGAGCCCACGATATTCCATAGTTAGGCTGAAACCCCTATTCACTTTCTTAGGTCTGACGTTAATCGAAAGAGAATATCCCGTACCCCAATAAAAGCAGAACGTTATGAAGATTATGGATTATACTAATTGAACAAATTATATCGATTTATTTTGGTATTTCTTTACTAGGGGGACTCGAGCAGAATAAACAGTAGTCCGATATACCGCGGTAGCGGTAGATTTTATAGATGTTTGACACCACAACTTCAAAACAACCATACGATCAGGTAATAAATGAAATGATTTGGCTTATGTGTACTATTGTAAAACATTAAATTATTTATAAGTTATTATTGTGAACTTAATTATGCATATTAAGAATATTATTAATCCGAACTGTTCTCGTTTCTTTGAAGATCTTCGAATTCTAGTCTCGCAAGCACTAATCCATTTGAAACAGATATTGATTCGGATGATACTTATGGAGGAAATGTAACAGATACCAATGTTAGAAAATCACACAGAAAAAAGAGGAAAGCTCCCTTACCTCCAGTTAGAAATGTGGTAAATTCTAATCAATCTTTTATCCTTATGTGTCTTATTTGAAAATGAATTTTATTATATTTTGTTTCTAGGTCGGCAAACCTGCTGCGGATTCTGTTCAAGAAAAATCAACGGAAACCTGTCAGTCACCGACAGAAGTTGACATAAAATCACTTACAGTAGAAATTGAAAGATTTGTCAATCAATCAAATGAGATTTCTACTAATAAAACGAGTGCATTGGAGTCTTCTCAGGAACCGGTTGCTCGAAACACCGGCACCGTAGAAATAAGCCAACGCACCGGCGAAGATGCCAAGAACATCACTTCGAAACAAAAACACGTTAATATCGATACGGAAAAGGGCAATCCCAAAGAAGAAGTTACTATAAATATTGAGTATTTGCCAACGTGCAAACAGGTCGACCAAAATGAAAATGAAAACTGTAATAGTCAAAGTACTCATAATACTTTTGGGAAGAATAGCAATATAATTTATAGTCAAAAACATGTTAATATTGATACAAAAAGGGAGATTTCTAAAGAGGTAATCATACCATCTACACCAAATGTAAAGCATTTGCCAAATGACGAGCAGCCAGTTGTTACAGAACATAGTAATCAAAGTACTTCTAATACTTTTGGAAAAGATCCACCCAATATCACTCCTAGACAAAAACATGTGAATATTGATACGAAAAAGAACATTTCTAAACAGGAAATTATACCCGTTGCACCAAATGTAGAGCATCTGCCAACGCCCGAGCAGACAGATAAAAAACAACCAGTTAATGTGCACAGTAATCAAATTAAAATCATAGAACATAACAATCCAAGTACTTCCAATATTTTAGGAAAAGATTTCAATAAAATCACTCCTAGACAAAGTCATGTTAATATTAATACGAAAAATGAGATTCCTAAAGAGGACGTTATACCAGTTATACCAAATATAAAACAGTTGCCAAATTGCGAGCAGCTGGTTGTTACAGAACATAGTAATCAAAGTACATTTAAAACTTTTGGAAAAGATTCACCCAACATTACTCCCAGACAAAAACATGTTAATATTGATACGAAAAATGACATTTGTAAAGAGGAAATTATAACAGTTGTAACAAATGTAGAGCATTTGCCAACGTCCGATCAGACAGATAAAATACAAGTTGTTAATTTGCACAATAATCTAATTAAAGTCACAGATAATCAAAGTACTTCAAAAACTTTAGAAAATGATTCAAAAAATATAACTTTCAAACAAAAACATGTTAACATTGATACAAAAAAGGTAATTTCTAAAGAGGAAATTATACCTATTATAGCAAATGTAGAGCATTTGCCGACGAGCGAACAGCCAGATAAAAAACTGAAGGTTGGCAATGTGCACCGTAATCTTATTACGGTCACAGAAGATGGTAATCAAAGTACTTCAAATATTTTCGGAAAAGATCCCTCAAATATCATTTCTAAACAAAAACTTCTTAATGTTGAAACGAAAAAGCAGATTTCAAAGGAGGATATTGTACCAAATGTAGATTATTTGCCAACGTGCGAGCAGTTAGAAAGAAAACAGCAAGTTGTTAATATGAACACAGAACATTGTGATCAAAGTACTTATAATACTTTAGCGAAAGAATCGTTTTATAAAAATAATAACAACATCGTTCAAGGTTCAGAGTACTTGAATGAGCCGTTAACAATTCTTGAAAATTCAGAGATACATACTGAAAATTCAGAAGGAAAATTTAAATCGGCTAAGCCAAAATCGGTTAAAGAAATAATTGATTCTATAAATCGTAGTCAGAAGCTCCTGAAAGAAAGCGCAGCTAAAGGGACCCATGTATATTCTACGTCTTTGTATCTTCCAAACGATATAACACCGATAGTTGATCAGAACGAAAACAGTCATGAAGTCTGTACAAATATTTCTAATGGTAATTCAAGTTTGGATAATCCGTTACCTTTGCAACCGAGTTACTTTCAAAAAAGCAGAATAAATAAAGAGGTATTTCAATGTAGGGAGTCCTCGCCAACAACATCGAACTTGGATTGGAATCCTTTGCCAAAACCAAAGAGAATTAATAGTGATTCAACAAATTAAGATAGAGTACTTTAACTGAAAAAAAAACATGTAATTTCCTATGATGTTAATTTCCGATTCATTTTTATTTAATTTTATGAATAACGCGCAACAACGTTTCTTTCTATATAATAGAGTTTTGTAACTTGACTATTGTTGTACACTATGTAATTATATTTGAAAAAAATTAATATACAAATGGCCGCAGTGGCCCTGCTCTCATTACTGATTGACTTTTTAATTTATTCTTTTGTTTTAAGAACTAGGCGGTCTTGGCCTGTTTGTCGGTTTGTCTGTTTGCCCAATAAGTCTGCCTATGAATCTGCTAAATATAAGTGCTGTAAAGAAATGTGGTGGGCCGAACACCCACAAATCATTCATTGGTTCTACTTGTGTGTCAAATCTTAAGTAAAAGTGAAATAACATATCTGAAGCAGGATTCCCTTTAATCAATCAAGCTTTATTTCTTTACTTGTTCTTTCTGCCCAGAACTGATTTACATCTTAGGGGATACTTCAAGAAATACATAAAGGAACTGTCGAATATTTCGAGTACTCTTTAGATTTTACCCCAAATGGACATGCTTATTCCTTACTGCTCACTTCAAAAAGAGGACAATCCAGGTGATGGTAGCAGTTATAACGGTGCACTCCAACATACAGTGAAAGAAAGCAGGGTTCCCCTAAAAGCATTCAAGATTTACTGTACGACTACTCCGCATTTATTGTTAAGCCAGTCTTTCGAGATCGAGCGATGTGTGCGTCCGTATGGGTCTTGCTGTTTTCGCTGTTGGCAGCCCACGTCGACAAACCCTTTTCCAGTGCAGAACGGCTCGTCCTTCGGATGCCAAACAGTAGGACCCAGATCTTTGTGGACAACTTTCTGTAGCACAAGGTTAAGACAAGTTGTTGTGGAGGACGAGATTGATCTTCCCTAGAGAGCTCACCATCTTAAGGCAGTTGGAAAATAAATTGATTAAAATCTGCTTATCTGGGGTGTACAGCAACGGCTTAGCTCATGTGGATACTGGAACTCACCCATAATGAAGGACACCTGGGCAATCTCTCAATTAGAAATGTTGTCGAGCGGATATGCGGATCGGTTGATTCGCTGTTGGTTAGCATTTTAATTTCCTTTCGCTCATTTCTTTCGAAGCACAGCGGCGACTGGTGATCCTCTGGTTCGGGCTGTTGGGGAACTAGTTCTTTAATGTAAATGCCGCAAAGTATGCAGCGCTTCTCTTTACATTTGCATATTTGCACGCTAAAACAACTTACAATTTGCATATCTCGGCCAAAAAGTCGGATCTTGTAGTAATAGAACGCTTAGGTCATGTCAAATGCTGTCGACGTGTCTGGTTCCCATGATTACAAATAAGTCCATCTTTTCAAAATCAGACTTCATTTGCCCGAAAAAGACACCTATTGTTTTCATATTATAATCTTATTCATCTGGACCAGGACTTTTTATATACCAAATCGCTAAAATTTTAGAGATCATGGGAATGTTAATGATTTCTGTATTATTTTAAAATATAATTTGTGAAAAATTGGAAAAATTGTGGTTTTAAGTATTTAATAATTTTTCAGTGAAATTAAGTCTTTATTAAATGTCATCAAATTTAAAAATAAACTTATGTATAAACCATCTAAAATGCAATATAAGTACATATGTTGGAGTAAACTTAGCTGTCCATGAAAATTATAAAAATTTATATTATTGACTGAAAGTATGTATATTGTATAAATGGTCTTACATGATATATCCCCAGAATAGGATATTAGGGCTCCCTGTCAAATACAATGGGAGTGACGAGTCTATAAACGAACAAATACTTAAAGCATATTTAATAATTATTCTCATGTGGTTTGTTTACTAGTAGTTTCCTCAGCTTAATACAAAAACAGTTAAATATAATTTTACAATTTTGCGATATTGTGTTTAGTAGTAGTAAGTGTGGTGTGTAAATGGATTCCAGCACTTTATTAACAGTTCGCCATTCCATCAGCATGCCAATTAGAATTGGGCTGCAATGAGAGTTATATGGTTCACTTGGCTGTCTGCTGTCTGATGTGCTTTGTTACTGTTTGTGTTGTATTAATAAATTCAGTTATCGTCAAAATGAAAATTATGTTTAATGTTGATACAGTGCGTTCTTTGAGATTCCTTCAAATCAGTTCTGTTAGCAAACAAAAGATGTTTTTGCTGTTGAAATTATTGCACCTTTATTATTTGTATTTAAAGACTCCTGTTTCCTTCTTCCTATTCAATTCAATTATCCTTAGGACCGTGTACTATTAACGCCCTATTGAGTACATATGTACATGCGTATTTTGCACATCCAAAGAATACCTAAAGTAACCAAGATTTAGACTGACATCTCATCAATTGAGGAATACATAATTATTATTACACATAGAATGCCTTAAGAAATTATTATTATTTTTTTTACCATGTATGTATATGTATGTATGTACATTGCTATTTCATAATTAACTAAATTATAAATCTGAACACGCGTCTCTCAATACAAATTAAATGCTAAACTAAGAACGTATTTAAAATGGATGCTATAGCTAATGTTATGGTACAAAATTTGATGTTTTTGAATATACCACGAGGTTTGTGTCGTTTTTTTTTCTTTCTTTCTTTAATTTAATTTGTATTTATGCGTATATCAATGTTAATTTGAAGAAAAGTTTAATTTCTTCCACGATTTAGCAAATGATTTATGAGTATATTAAATATTTTGTTAATCATATCGACTTAATTTACAATACAAATCGGAAAACGAATATCAAGTACAGTTAAAATAATATACTTTGACATTATTCCTTGACGAAAAAAAATAACATTGATTAAAAGACTATTACAAACTAATACTATTTACCTTAACTTCCCCCATCACATGCAGCAGAGATGCAAAATGATAACTTATTTAATCCCACATTAGAAATATTATCTACGATTTTTATATAATAAATAGGTTTTCATAGATTGTGGAAGCTGAAGCTGTTGTATACGTTCTTCCAAATTTACTCGACCAATTTTTTGTCGAATCGACCTTCGGCAAAGATCCATTAATGGCAAAGGTTCAGCTGTAAGGAAAATTTAATTATTTGTATATTATAAAAAAAATGAAAGCTTTTTGAGTGTGCAGGGAGAACGCGAGTACGGAAGAAGTATAATTTGTTTTTTGCGAGTTCAATTTGGAATGTTTGAATATAAAATATATGGCTTCGGGAGTATTAAATTAAATTAAAATTTTATGATATTACTGATGATCATTGTAAATCAAAATGTATACTTACGATCTAATCCGCCGATATAACGCATTGTTATCTCGCAGTGTCCCCAAACGGCAGAGACGACAGGATATAGCTTTTTCCCTTTGAGGCCTTTGAATGCAATGCCAAGATATTGCTGGTCAACAATGAAGCTCAAGGTTCCCTCGTCCATATCGAGTGCCACCAAAAACTTGTCGGGAACCAAAAATGCTTCGTCATTCTTCAAGATTGCCGGATATGTGACACCGGCCGAATTCTTCGAGTCGTGATACAATTTGTTTCTGCCCAAGTCCCAGCCCCAACTCTGCTCAGTAGATCCTACTAGACTTTGGTATCCCACAGAGTGCAACGGTGCATCGCCAGATGCCACACCGACAACGGCATGAGTGCCCCTCTGCCTTGTTGGCCAATATATTTCCCATATGTGCAGTCCTTTTGTGAGACCAATTTTACCGCGAATGCAATCAGTGCTTTGTGCGACGGGATGTCTGTGAAATGTCAATTTATCATCTTCTTTAACAAATATGTTTAGCGATCTGTCCTCCGAGTTCCACGAGTGTTTCAATTGAACTTCCCGATTTGCTGGCGGCATATCAAGCAGAATATCAATCCGAGCAGGCTTAATGAAATCGGCTTGCAGTTCTCTTGGTATAATTGGCTTGAATGTTGCTTGAGAATCATTACGGTTAACTGTTTTAACACCGCCACTGATTTTTTGACCCATGTTCATGCCACGGCAGCTTCGAGATCTCCTCTGGTCAATAGCAACTTTATAAGATAATCGAAGGCGTTCAAAATCTCTGGCTTCCAAACGAGATAACACAACCCGCGGGGACAGTGTAGATGATGTTGAAAAACTTTGAGGACGTCGCCTATCACTTGACCTAACTGAAGGTGTCCGACCACCCTTATACCTGAAATTAATCAAAATAATCACAATGTATCATCATTTACACAATACTAATTTTAAACATAATTTATATATTTGTATTGTATTGTAAACCTTGCCTTGAAAAATGTTGTGTATATACACACACACATACGAGTGTGTATGTATATTTAAATATATATTATCTATGTATGCACGAAAGTACACTCATACATACATAATAAATAATAAACATTAATATAAATTCGCTACGCACACACACATCCACAGATGTACATATGTATGATCGTGTATACACACATACGCAACACAAATATGTGTGTGTGTGTATGTATATTGGGTACATATATCAAAAGGTTGAAGGATTTCACTCACCACATTAAAATATAAAACAAACTGAATTTGTAAGTACATACATTTGTATACATACACACATGAATGCATTTGCAATAATTTGTTTCATTTGAATTTTCAATAAAATGGCAGACATATATATGTATGTATGTATTAATGTACATATGCGCACATCATTTTCAAACATGTATGTATGTGTGTGTAAATGTACATGGAGTACACTGCTCGTCTAGTTATAATTTAATAACCAGTTTCATATATGTGTACATGTATATATAATTGAATATATATGTGTATAAACATGTGTTACCTTTTTTTCCCAAGTTCCATTTACAATAATTTCAACTGAGTGTTCCAAATATGTAAATACAAAATGGCGTCAGTACGGTCACCAATTTACGGTAGTTGTGTCACATACGATGCAGTTTTGTAAATGTATGAGTGTGTGTGCTTAAATATGGCATTGATTATATACTTATGCGTGTATTCCGATTTGAGTAGTTTTACATGTGCACACTATTATTATTATTTTGTTTCTTCACTTCACCTTCTGCACTAAACCCCGCTTACAAAACTACTACACGAGTTGTCAAGGTTGCAGCTACACACACATACATATGTATGTACTAACAATTGTATATGGCAAACACAGGGTGATCTAAGTTGAAAAACTGGCTTCAACAATCCAAAAACATTGTTCGATAAAAAGGCATAGTTGTACGACGAAATTACTCCGCATGACGGTTCGAATGTACATATGAATGTCCAATTATGATTTGTGGATAATAAATATGAGTTTTTAAGTGTTGTTTTCAGGGCTCAGATGTTAAACTTCGAAAAATATCAAGTTGAACTTTATACATGATACATGAACAATTTCGGATTTTGTTTTTCTTTGTAATATATATAATATATTCATCTTATAGGTATACGGTCTATAGCCAAGTGAGTTGATAAACCCTGTTTTTAGATAAGTAAATAAATAGATTCATAAGTTCAGATAATAGGCATATCTTTGATAGTGTTCCATAAGCAATTTATGAATGCCAAAAGTTGTGGCTAATTAAAAAAATTGAAAAAAAAAAAAAACAATGAAAAATTTACCGCCACAGTGGAAACTGAAAACGCTGATTTACTCAAAAGATTTGATTTTCGAAAATAAAAAGGACGATATGAATATTTGCAATTATCTAAATGGTGGTTATTTTATTTGTCCAATTTAAATTTACTGATTCCGCGTCTTGCAAAAGCATTGGTTGTAATATTTGTTAAATTCACGGCCCACCCCTTCACCAGAATGGGCAAAAGCATTCATTTTTTTTTATTTTTGTTGTCTAAAGGTAAACGGAACTTGGCGGACTTGTTCACTGAAGCAATTTATTTCTTTAAATCGATATTTTCTTCAGAACGAACGTGGACGTTCTCTTTTTTAATATGACTGAGTTCTAGAAAGACGGATTTTTAACTAATTCATTGGGGATTAACAATAGGATTCAGGTAAACGGGTGGTGGAAAATTTGTCAATTTTTATCAAGGAATTAGCATGAGGTACATGGATATAAATAAGCAGAGAAGCCAGAGCGAAAGTTAGTTCTATAACTAATAGTCTACTCAAGAAAGGATCCGGTGAGATAAAACCCTTGAACAGCTTTCTAAAGTAATTTAGTATATTTAGAAACTCAGATTTACCGACATCTAAAAAAAAACCATCAGATCAAATATTCGGACCAGAAGACTGATTGGTTCTAGAAATGCTGGGAAGGATATTTTGTGAATAGGATATAACCCAACAAGCTCACGCAAATAACCTTGGCATGATTATGGAGGATGACTGGACGAAATGCAAAATAAATTGATATCTGCAGGACGTATGTAGTCCTTAGTCCAGTACACTATTCAGTTGCACATCCTCTGCTTGACCAATTCTCAAAATCGTAGTCGGAATCGCAAAGTGAAATATTTATGACATGTGGTTTTTATCTAATCCTTGTCAAAAATTTTGTATTTCTGAATGTTATAATATTATAAATTATTGAAGGGAATGAGTATAAAGAAAAATTATTTAGCTCTTTTAGTATCTGAGAGGTCGAGTTCATGAAATAGTATAACAAACGGGTTAATTCTGATAGACATGGATGGATTCGTGAAATGAAGGCAACTACACTATGCGGATATGGGCGACACAATAGTTTAAGAACTTTGGCTGTTTGAGCGTTGGTCTAAGTTAAGAAGCATGCGAAGGCAGTTAAATGTGTCATTAGAATTTTGACAGAGGGTAAACAATTTCAACTCTGATTTTCCCCAATTGTGGTGCTTATGCCAATTTTCAGCTTAGATCTTGGAATAAAGACTCGCTTGTCTGTGCGTCTGTATGAATGTGAGATATCTCAGAGACTGTAAGGGCCGGAGAACTGAAATTTGAAATGTTTATTTGTATTTACAAAAAAAAGTTGATTTACTTGGTCAATAGCTCACCTTATTCAACAAAAATCGATAAACTCTTGAATACCATATTTATGCATTCCAAATTTTATGACAATCAAATTATACACACAGAACTACTTTTTAAATTGTAGGAATTAGAAATTGAGTTATAGTCTCTCTTGACACTGACATGACAACATATAACCATTCTAGATTTTTAGCATTTTTTAGCTAATAATTATCTGTTACATTAGTCCCCTTTCCTCTTTTTTGTCGTATTCTTAAGATTGTTTCTGGCAGTCGAAATTAATAAAACATCTGTTTTATTTGAACACATCTTGTTTTATGTGGGGTGGGGGGCGGCGGAGTGTTCTGCATTGTGTAGGCAACCTTTAAATGGATGCCGATAAAGTACAAACGACGATCTGCGGCAATTTCCGTACAACATTTTTGCTGGTTGTTCCAAAGGGCCGTCAGTTCTGTTAGTTGAAACTAGTATGTCAGACTTGGAGCTATCTTGTAGTTGCAAATTGGACATAACTATATTCCACACACACATTTACACACATATCTACACAAATATTTAGCTGCCATATGAATATTAAATTATTTTATAAAAAAAATGTTTGGCGATTCGCTATTTTGCTTGTCATACAAAAACTAGTTTTTTACAAACAATGACGCAGACAGCAAAAAAACATATGCATATAAATCAAAAGTATTAAGAAATTGTTTGTATTAATGCCCAATGAAACATTATCAGTGTGTGCAATGTATGTACTTACATACATACTTATGAATGCAATCAAATCCACATACATACATACATAAATGCATACAGATGTATTCATGCACAATTTCCTGTACGTACACATATTTAAGTTTTTAAGCGCTTGTGTGTGTGTATGTGTCCATACATATTTTGCACATATGCAAATAGATGTAAAACTTTCATTCTATGTTACACTTGCATGCATGCACGCTTAATTTTGAATTGTGAATAGACGTACATTCATATGTGTGCACATATGTACATACATTATATATTTGATTGAATTTGTATTACGACAAATTGTACTGTATATGATGTACATATGTATATACAAATCTATTGTAGTGAAAATGCTGTGACCCTTGTGCAAGGCTTTCTAGCAATACGTTGATGACCACCATATGTTATATTTATAGGTGTGCATTGCAAACACAAAAATAATATACACTTACATTACTTCCGTCAATTTTACTCTCCTTAAAAAAAAAACAAAACAACGGTAGCTCACAATGAAAGAATATAAACCTATGATTCCACGTAGAAACGAATGGAATTAGTACAAAAAAAATGAATCAATCTGCAACGATTATTCTTTCGATATTTTTATTCAGTCAGCTTAAGGTCTCTTACACTATAGGTTTTACTAAATAGTTTGACGTAGAAGTTTCATGCAACATATGCATTGACACATTTCAATAATACAAATTATACATATATATTATATTGTTAATAAATGTGTACACTAAATATATTTTTACAATTTTGTATTTATTTATATCAATGTGCTTTTGGTGGCTTTTGCCGAAAAGTTTGAAAAAATAAATACAAGTTGTCAATAGTCAGATTAATTTGGATGGAGAAATGTAAATTAAATGAGCGAGCCTATGATTTGTCGCTTTTTAAAAGACAGATCCGAAAGTAGCAAGTCGAAGTAAAGATTTCCATCATATAGAATTTAATTACATTTTCACTAAACTAACGAATGACTTTTTGTTTAGAGACCAAAAATAAAATAAGTACGCGAAATAGCCAGTCCTTGACAGTTTATTCTTTGCCTGCTCATACTGATTGCATGAGAGTCCGCTGTACGTGATACGTGTGAATGCGAAGGAGATAGTCGGTCAATTGTTCCAGAAAAGCAAAATATCTTTCTTATCGACCGACCTCCACAATGTATAGTTTACGACTACCAAAATTTGTATCATAAAAATGAGAAACGCACCCTGAGATCCTAATCAAATGACCCATCAAATTATACATATAGTTTCAACTTGGGTTCTGCTTTATCTCATTCCAGACAGGCATAATCCTTAAATTTTGGGTTCGTTTCTATTTTAGGCTACAGCTTGGCCTCCTAATTGAAGTGGAATGTCGATTACAAGGTCTAAATTCAAGAGAAGTCATCCCGTCATTTGTTTTCGAAAGTTATCGATCGAGAATCATGAACCTTATTTATTAGTAACTGCTTCAATTCATCACTCATGCCTTTGTCCTAATACTTCCCTTCTATCAAGTGTTTCGGTTAACTTCTGAGATGTATGGAAGGTCTATGAGGATAAAGTTTCAATAATTGTCTCGACTTAACTCCAGATCGGCAAAGATACCCATCTTTGTCTGCGTTTAAGCGTCTTTAAAACAGAATTTGCTATCTAGTATTCAATTAAGAATACACAAATCATACCATTATAGCCTGAGGATTGCTTTTCGCAGGAAAAGATAAATTGAGGAATGCCTCTTCATATTCCATATCGACTAAACTCAGACAATGTACAGGCAAATTCTACTCATCAGCAGTACTAAACACCACTTAGGCACCAATCGCAAGGATGGCCTAGACTTAGACTGGAGAGAATGCTTCTTGACAATCTATATGCCAGATGCAAAGTAATGGACCGTAATTACTCACAGTAATATATTACTGTATGCTACAAGCCAATCCACACTCTTAGCTCCGGTGGAACCAGTTGAGTAGGCGCTGGAAGTAATTGCGGTCCATATCAAAGGTAAGAGTGACAAACATCCGCGACCAACATCCTCAAATAATAGTCGCCTTAAATGCCTATCGGAGGTGAACTTTGATTCCCATCAGGTCGCCGTTGGAAGAAACTGGCAGTAGTTGCAGTAGTTCGAGGCTTCGTCGGATTAGATTGGATTTATGGTTTTATCAGCTCGTATTTTGATGCAGATCAAAAATATATGCAAAGGCGTACGAAGGATATCGGTGATATCCTTTTGTGTACTTATTTACTTATTGTGTTATTGAATTGTGGTTTCTTTGCAATCCTGTTATGTTCCGACCCTTAGGAGATAACTCAGAAATCTCTCTAGAAAAAACTCTTTGACGGTGCTATCGATAGCACAAAGCTTATGTGTTTTGTGGGTTTTGTTTTCAAACTACCAAACAATTATTTGACGCTTCGCTTATGGGACTGCTACATCACAAAAATAATTTATTCTTTATTTTTGGTATTAAATAACAATATTTTAATTGAGATTTTATAAAACGGAAATCTTTTAGCTTTATAAAATATATAATATTATAAAATGCAAAAAGTATATAACAATATTGATATTGTTTCAAGCATTGCTTTCGTTTTTTATTTGATTATCCCTATATTCCGACAGTGTGCATAAACGTAATTTTTCTTAATCACTTGTATATGTTGAGAATGGAAAGTTAGAATATATATTCGTACGGAATAGAGATAATCTCTCTAATATTAAATGTTAGCCGTAGGGACCCCATATACTACTTACTCCATCCATTTTAACCAAAGAGGTCTAATAGCATTCCTGAGCACATATGACTGTAAATAAATAAAACAATGAAATGAATAAAAGGGATAAATCCCACAATCTAAGGAGCACACAGTAGTAGTAGCAGATTGTGATTTGAAATATCGATCACTTACAATGATAACATCAACTTTAAGTAAAAATACATTATGTAACCCTTGCAGCTTTACAAATTTAACAGATTGTACTAATAAAATAAATTAAGCTTTATTTAATATATAAATGACTAAAAAACATTGTAAATAGTACAAGTAAGTTACGTATAACATGTTTGTTCTCATTTCAACAGGCACATATAATATAATTGAAGCAAACTTAACAAATACTTAAAACTTCAGCTCTTATCAAAACAAAATGTCATCTCCAAAAACATCGCCAAATAATCCATCACCACCCTCTTCACCACCTAAATCGCCTAATCCAAGTCCACTGTCTTCGCCTGGGGGCACAAAAGCTCCATTGAAAACATCTTCAAGTCGGTCTTCAACACCCATTGTGGATGCAATGCCATATATTAATCGCATCAATACAAGTCGTATAAAATTCGGGGCTCCCGTTGCTTGTTGCCTTGGAGTTTGTAAATCCGAGCCGAGCTTGTTGTATACATCAAATGGCTCTTCACCACGAGAATTTCCATATTCGAACGTAGAGGCGACAGCAATTGCCGGCAGAGCAATTGAAAAAATTAATGTTTGCAATGATATTCGCATTTTTACACAATTAATAATACCGGTTTTTATTTAATAAGGAACCAACAACGAGCTCTGCTGTTGACAAAATGCGTTACTAAATTACTTATGCATGTTCAACTCAACTTTCTCTTATGGGAATTTTTTGAGATGTTTGCTTTCCAATTCTCTGGAAAATTTCTCTTATAGTATCAATATGCATTACAGGGTTTGTACACTCAGAACACGAACTATTGTATAATAAATACATACGCATGCACACACACACACATTTATATTTTATATTCATTTGTATAATATAATTTTTAATTGCATGCTTTACCCGTCTCAGAGCCAATTACACCACGGAGTTTATGTCTTTTTTATGTTTATTTCCGAGCCAATTATGGGACGGCAAAGCGAAAAAAAGTTATCTGTCTGATTTGCTATGTGATTATCTCTTTTCTTGTGTTTCCAAGAAAGACACGTTAGCGCAGGTAGCTTCTTGTTTGTGCGATTCGTTTAATTTAGATTTGAGAGAGCGTAATGCAAAAACACAGTATTTTTGTACGAAAAAATCAAAATTCGAATCAAAATTTCTGATTTCTGTCCGTTGCCACCAAAGTGTAAAGAATATAAAACCATATTGTACTGTTACATGTTTGTTTTATATTATCTTGGCTGATTTGCACAAAAAGAATTAGGCATACTAAAAAAATAAACAATGAAGAATGCTATATTCAAAAGCTACCAACTAGAAGATACCCAAGACACAGGTGTAAATACATAAGTTAAATATATAATTATAAAAATATAATTTGCTACTGGCTCGACCTGGAGTTGATTAGTGTAATTATTGAACTATAATCTTTATGTTTTGGAAATAAAGAATTTAATATAGTGTTACAACTTAATTATTTTTCTGACAACATATATATTTCTACTAAATTGGAGTTTCGACAGATACTGGAACTTTTAATCGATTTTAGGGAAATGGGAAGAGTTATCGATCCATTTAAATATATCGATTACCTGCGCACATATAGTACTGGGCTTGCTCAATCGACTCAGCTGTTTCTCTGCTTGTTATTCACATAAAATTCGTCAGTCAACTTGGTATAAGTAGGTGGTATTAATTTACCTATATACTCTCATTTTTACCATATGCAATGTTTCCCGAGGACTTTTCGAATGGCAATTTTCTAAAACTTACGATTAAATTAAAATATTAAGGCATAAATTAGTTATAGTTATACTTACTTGCTAAACGGCCCTCGTATGTTTCAAGGCATTCCATACATACCTTCCACATTTGTACTCATGCAACAATAGGTACATTTGTACTGAAAGCGTAATGTACAGCGTACATATGTATCATTATATAAGTCATTTTGTAAGGACATACATTTACGCTTGTACAAATGTATGTACACAGACATATGCACATGTGCAGATACATACATTTATTTTTCTCATATTAAACTAGAGTGTTACAAAGAGGGGGCAACTTAACCTAATTTGAACTTGACAATTATCTATCACGTTTTGGGAAATCACTCTAGGGAATAACGTAATAGCACATATAGAACGACTTCATTACGCCATTGTTTATCCATTTTTAATGCGTTCAGTCAACAAGTCAAAAATTGTTTCATTCGAGTTTACAGGTTAAAACTGTTCATCATATAGAAAATTTACTATCACAGTGGAGATAATTAAATTGGTTTGGTTTCAATAAATAAATAAAATGTAATAGTTTAATGGTTAAAAATCATCTAAAAGTAAGGCAAACATATTTAAATAGCTTCAGAATAGAATTTGAACGCACTTCTTTCTTTTATATATTAGTGTGGGAAATAATATCAATCCTATTTTATATATGATTAAATTGCAAATATCTCAATGTAAAATTATTAATATTCTCTTATTATTAATTTGAAAGACTGGAAAACTACATGAAACCATGCTGCCATTGTCAGAGAATTTCATGCAATTAGCTTTTACCTAACTAGAGTGTTATTTCATCAATCACCCCATGCGAAACTTCTTGCCCAGGCCAGCGAAATACCGCTTGCCCTGCCCTGGCCCTGTGTAAATGCGAATTAGCGACATCATATTTGTGTAACTACTTTTGGTTGGATAAGTCATGCAGCGAAAATTACTTATGGGTCAGAACTAAGTGCTATTGGGAGGGGGCACACACACACAGACACACACACACACACATTCGTTCAAATACATTCAAACGTTCGATTATATTGATAGGTATACAAACGTAAACACTTAAAGACGTAAACATTAAACATATATATATTTATATCTATATATAAATATAATGTGTATATTTAGGTAAGTGTATGTGTATATAGACACATTCGTGAAAACAAATTTATTTATCTTTATGTGTGTATGGATCGCTATCCATTTTATGCAGCAGTCGTAAGGAAACATGCCTCAGTTAGACTCTGGAACGCCATTTATCAATACGTATTTTCATATTGCGCGGTATCAATCGGAAGATAAGCCACCTTCTTATGATTAAAAACGACATACATGTAACTATAGTTTTGTAAAAAAAAATATTAGTACGGCAAATACAAATTGTGATTATTTCAGATGAGTGCATCGTTTGTTTTTATGTGTTTAATTTTCAGTTATGTTATTACAAATATCAGTTCAGTTGAAATATGCTGCAGTCCACAGGCGACATTATACCGGATCCGTGAGTCAAATAGCTCAATTGGCTTCGAATGTACCCCCCTTCAAAATGGGCCAAGTAAAGTAGACCGACCGGAGAATATGGACGTAGTACGTCCACAAGGATATAACTTGGAAAGAAATAATACAAATACAGAGCTACAACAATGTGCGCGAACTATCCATTCAAATATATCACTATATACTGAAATATCTGTGCTTGATGTGCCACAAAAATCATGCCTTGTTATTATGGACAGCCGTCTCATTGTTTTAGCATGTGGATCCAGCAACACCGAAGAAAATATATTGCAAGGCATTGGAATAATTAATAAATGCTGCCCCCACGGTTATACATATGTTTCGGAGTTGAACAAGTGCTTTTCACGGGAACCCGATTTCAATTTATACTCTCACATTTTCAACAAACCAATGATTTTTGTTGATGACGCATTTGTGTGCCCCAGCAACAAAGTTCTAGTTGAATATGTCGCGACGGCGGAAACAATCAGCTTAAAAGATAGCCAGCTTACTTTAAAAGACACTCGCAAATCATTTACAAAAAGTCAATATTGCATTGAAGCAATCGAAATAAACAAAAACAAAAGTAAACCAAAAAATGAAAATACTCAGAAATTTATAATTCACACATGCCAAAATCTTAAAATATGCAATGCCCTGGCATGCGTCCGTAGGTGTTGCGCCGATGGCGAATTCTATTCGAAAAAAAATATGACAACAGCTTGTCGAAGAGATGAAAACGACTTTAAATTTCGGAGTTTTGAAAGCATGAGTATCAGCGGAAATTTTACAAAGCCCTCTGGTAAGTACGAATCTATACTCATTTTTGTTAGTTTCAATTTGAATTTGATCTTTTATTTAACTTGGAAGAGAAATAAATAAATTCGATACGCATTAAAATATTGAAATATTTATTTACTTTTTGTCAAACAATATAAAGTCATCTTGACCTTAGCAGCTGGTTTTATCAGTTTTTTAAAGAACATTTCCGCTTAAGATTACAAACATTCCCAGACAGAAATCCACCTGTTCATATCTAAATCCAATTATTTATTTATTAAACTGACTGATTGCTTATATAGGAGCTAAATTGATTATTTGCCAAAAGATTTAGAAGAATAATTTGTGAGCAATATGTGTGTTTGGTTAAAATTTTTAAATAACAAAAACGTTCTCATTCAAGAGCCAAAACTTTTCCCGTAGAAAAAGCTTTTCGACCAAGGATTGTTTTTCTGCAATGATATAGATAATTTTTCTGGTATAGAAACTTTCTAGCGAACTTTGAGACAATAAGCCTCCAATCTCAAATTTACATTTTCCAAACGATTTTAGACACTCTATTTCCTTGCTCCTGCGGGCACATAAGATGTTTTGATTTAGTGGTAGATAAGTAGATAATTAGGTAGATAAGTACTATAACGCTCTATTTGAAAGTATTGATCGAAAACGAGCACTTTCTCTAAAGTTAATTTGAACGCTGTAATGTATACCTCTTTATACTCCTTTGTAAACCTTTTTTTTAAGTTCAGTTCCTACAAACCCTATACCATCAGCCCCGAATGAGTGAGTGGTCTCTGATTTTGGTATGCCGATTGTAAATAATTTTTCTGGGCTCTTCCAGAAGGCGTGTCTTTCCTTCAAATATTGTTGTTTCTATTTGATAAAATGTAACTTCTCAGTATTTAGGAAGCGTTAGAAACAATTTAAACAATATTCAATGGCAAACTTGAAAAACCCTAACATTCTTTTATGTTGATGTGTGTACATATGATACATTGGAATAGCTTCGACTAAGGCAGTATACTCTATAGTCAACAAACTGCCACGCGCAAAATCAGGAAATGCCTAATAACATATTAACAAAATTAAAGAAAAAGGTATTTCTTATTGTCAATTTCAGAATTTGGAATATTAACCGGATTAGAATGCCCAAAATTTCGCTTAGACCCGGACTCATTTCCTGACGAATCGCATGTAATAAGTTCAACCAACGGATCGCTGTTTATAACAAGCACGGAAAAAATGTACTCAAATAGCCAATACTGCATCGAAAAAATCAGAAATACATCATACGCTGATCAAAAGGTAAATTTGTACATTTTACTTACCAAGTAAGAGTGCTCTAGTGAGGAGGAGATACTCAGTACCCGACCTAGAATCGGTATTAAATGCATTCGTAATTATGTACAGTCGTACTGAAAAAGACTCGCACAATGCATTTTTGAATATCTTATGAATTTACTGTCCGTTGCCAATGAAAATCGGATGGTCTCTTTGATGCGAAGAATCAAGAAAATTATCGGTTACCATATTAATAAGCATTACAGTCCATATAAAAAGCAACCTTTTTCGTCGTCGTCAACTCTTTTATCAATTTCTCAAGGCAGTAGTTCATCCGCCTGGATGAATGCTAGGAATGCTGTCAATGGACGGACTCTCTCAATATTATCATCCTCAACAATGCCAGTGATGAGACGTGAAAGCTTTTGTCGCGATCCAGATTTGCTTCCTAAGAGGCAGGAACTAGACCGGGTTTGACCAAACTTTAAACTCCTGGCCAAATATTATAACAATCTTGACGCAACCTCGCGAACAATGCCACATTGTTCAATCCTGATATTACTATCAAACCTCTGGGTCTCGTAAGTTTCCTTAACGGGGGTAGTTCATTGTTCATTTTCAAACCAGGACGAACGTACTATTAATTGGTATCAGATTCGATTTGTTTGTGTGGCGACTATTGTAGACAAATCAACGGGGTATCTTCTAATCGAACACACGCGGCTAGAGTACAATTACTTGTTACCAATAATTTTGAAATTATTAAAAATTCATTTCTTTTCAGAACAGTTTTACACATTTGTATGCTTTGATTCTAAAGTTTTGGGCAATGATCGCATACGATTCAAAATGTATCCCGTTGGTCTTCTGATATCATGTTGTTTTTATATAATTACACTTGTGGTGTATACATCAATTGAAAAATTGCGTAATCTTCCGGGAAAAATTCTAATATGTTTGATAAGCAGTCTCCTCTTTGCCTACCTCGGAATCGCATTAGGGCAATTAATGCCAACATCGAACAATGACATATGCTTTATCTCAGGTAAGAGAAATTTCAGTGTGTTTTTTATGAGAAGCACAATTAATAGAATTTAACCTTCATTTTTATAGGTTTTCTTGTTTACTTTTTCCTAATGGCCGCATTTTCTTGGATGAATATTACATGTTTCGACATTTGGAAGACATTTGGGTAAGAAGAAATTTTGTTGACATGACATGACATTTTGACTGACCCATAAGCAACATGGTCAGCATTAATACCAATACTAGTTTTAGTTGATCTGCGGGTGTGCGTAAAAGCCCTTATGCTCATAAAATTACCAAAATTTATTACCTGTGGGTGTGGCATAAGAGGTTCTCCCTAATCTTCATTCTGACCCTTTTAGTGGCGGTGTGAGAGAAGTATAATTATTTATTACTTTTGGGTATCGGGCGACTGGAACTTTAGGTGTGTAGAAGGGGAAACGCAGCTGAATTAACTCTTCTACGTTTTTATACTCTGGAACCGTATGAATCACTTATTGATATTAACGATAAACGAAAATCCATAAAGCAGCTGGAGTCACCAAACTCCTTATTTAAGGAAAAAATAATGAAATATTGTATCTCCTCGCTCAGTCCTGCTTCCAAAATATGCAAAGTCGATAAAGCGTTGCGGGAAATCGAAATCGATTTCCTATCTAAAGTAACACAACTGGAAAGGTAGATTGCTAGATCGGTAAGAATATTTTCGACCACGCTCTTTTCTACACAATTTTATAGCTGTGCCCTATTGATAGGTAGATTCTAATAATCCCAGCCGAAGATTGCTATGTTCGGCTCAGTAAAAATAAATTCGACCACCACAAATCGCAGAAACCTATTGCTTTAAAACTGTTTTAGCTAGAGTCACAAAATATAATATTTACCTAAATAACGCGCTTTTCAATGATCGAGGTACGCCTCATCATTATCAGCGGATATTAAATTGATATCAGAGTATTCGGCAGTCAGTTATGCCCGACTGCAATTATTAGCTTAATTTGATTTTCTTTGGTAATCCAACTATGGCGCAGTTATTTAAAATGTCCAATGATAATATGATTGCCAAGGTTTTGTAGATAAAGTCACCTAAATTGTAAGCTAGATTAATGATTTTATAGGTTGAGCCAAAAATTCCCCAACCACAAACTCTAAAAGCAATCAATTGGAATTCATTTCAAATGCATAAAGTTATTAGAATCTTTTTGTTTTTATTAATTTTGTTTATAATTTGCTTTAACAGATCAACCGAATCATCGAATTTACAAAGGAGGGAACAGCGAAAACGATTCTTGTGGTACTCTCTATATGGCTGGGGAATGCCAACGGTTTTAACAACAATAACTGCATCATTAAGCAAATCCACGATCTTAAGTGATTCTATCCGACCTGTATTTGGAAATGGCCGATGCTGGTTTACCTGTATGTTGAATCGTATATATTTTGTTACTGTCTTATTTATACTCCGTAATTAATATTGCAGATGACACAATTGGGTTTGCCAGTTTAATATTTTTTTCTGGACCGCTGGGAATACTCTTTGTCGTTAACCTTTTGCTGTTCTTGTTAACGTTGAAATACTGCAACAAAGTTAAACGTGAAATATTCAGGATGCAGAGTTCGAATGCTGAAAAACATACATTGAGAAGCCGGTTTTTTATAGACAAAACCAGATTCATCATGAATACAAAATTGTGCTTTGTAATGGGAATCACATGGCTCTTTGAAATTGCCAGCATTTTCTTTTATGATCACAAAAAGAACTTTTTTTGGTCAATTAGCGATTCATTCAATGTTCTGCTGGGCGTATTTGTATTTATTATTTTTGTTTTTAAAAGACGTGTATGGAAGGAGATCATGATCAAATTAGGTAAGTACATTTTGTATATAAAACTAAAACGATTTTTCTGTGTATGTATGTATATGTCTATGTAAGCTATTCCATCAAGTGTTAAGCTATTATTACGGTACTGTGGCTAGCTCTTTATATATCATGCTAGCATCCCCAGTAATTTCCATTTGTTCTGGGAATATTCCCATTAATTGAATTATGTTACATTTTTTATTAGGTTTTCAGTCAAAGAACGACGTGCGAAGAAATGGAAATGCAACACGCCTAACACAATCAACATTCGTAACACAAAGTATACACATGAAGAAGCTTGACGAAGTTGGCGGTAATACTCCCATCCTACGAAGAACCTCTTAGACGCTTAAGAAACCATATTTATAAAAAGAGAAAATAATTATAAATTAATGTTATATTATTTATACAGAATTCAATAAAATGAAACAATGTCAGTCAAAACTTTGTAGTATATTATAAATTATTTATAAATGTTTGATTACTTTTTAGCTCCGCCAAAGCCGGCTCAGATTCTTCTAGCCAAGGACCTACATCCTTAACTTTAGAGAATCTCTATTCCTGTGTCCATCCCTCATTCTTTGATCTAAGATAAAATTATGAAACAAGAATAATAGTTGCTATAAAGATATGCTTTTACGCTTCCCTAAAATACCAACTCCAATTCTTTCTTCACTTTACGACTCGAGTATGCAACCGTGCTCGTTAACCAACGATCATTAAGCAAGATGAACAGCTGATCACGATCGAATACTGAGAATGGAAACAACGAGCAAATCGATCAACTGAGCAATTAGCACTGAGAGCCTCAGTTTTTGATCTGTACTCAAACAATATAGAAATCATAATTTATTTTTTAACTACGCATGAAAATAATTACAAATTAAAATCAACTGTGGAGAGTTGACATGGTTTCTAAACAAAAATATGGGCACACTTTATTCTTATACCAAGGGGGTGGAATGCTGAAAGGTCCTGCGCATAACACATGTACATATCTACACACATACATACATGGATTTATTTTGAACTCGTGAAAATGAAAAGCAAACAAACATCTGTACTAAAATTTACATAAAATCGAGATTGATATTTAACACATAAAAATATCGAACTCGACGATTATCTACTTTAAAAGCTTACAAATATATTCAAAAAGTGTTGCAAAAATGAATTTTCATTGTCAATGCGTCCTGGTTCATTATATCGTGCTTATAGCCTTAAAAGACATTTATGTGTGGTCTCAAAACATGACATATGAAAACAATGGGTATGTGAACAAGAATACATGTGGACATAAATATATTCAAATCGATTCTTCAAATATATTTAATGCAATATCAATCAACGAAATTGTTATAATTTGCCATTTTTGTAACCACATTAGATTGCTTGGTGATAACCTGAATTTCTCTAGTGAAATTCAGTAGAACGTAGAAAATTCATAAGGAAACAAGAGTATTAATTTACGTACATATATACAATGTGTAGATATATTTGCATGTAAATGTAAAGGTTCAATTCATAAAACCGGCCGGTAAAATATTTTGTCTGCTAAGGAAAAAACATTGAAACAATTTTGTTGCGACTGTAAAAAATTAAAAAGAAATTGTTTATTTTTTAGAGGGGAATATGTAAGAAAGTGAAAGCAATTTAATTTTGTAATTAGAAATGTAAATTAAAGCTTTAATCAAAAATATTTATTGTCTACTTTGACAACATCTCGTTATAAGCTTTAAAATTTCTCATCAATATTGGAAATTTCACAATATTCATTCTTAAAGATTTCATCAATCATCTGGAATATGTCAACTGTATACCGGAACGATTTGTCAAGACTTTTTGAAAAATGCTCACGTTTTTATAGATCCAAATGTGACCATTAATGACTTAGAGGAACGATTAAAAGCCGCATATGGAGTGATCAAGGAATCAAAGTAAGTATTTTTAACATTGTCATTAAGAGATGGTCGCTTAAGTTATGATTACATTTTTAGGGATATGAATTCAAATTGTCGAAAATATGCGTTACCGAGCCTATGCTTCAGTGCACTGCCGATTTGTAGAACTCCCGAACGGACTAATTTACTGTATTTTGCCAATGTCGCTATGATAACCAACAAATACAATGGAAATAGTACGCGAAAAAGAAGATTCGTTTCAAAAGACACAAAGACTATGCATCTGTTTCATAAAAAAAAATCAGTTTACTTTAACGATGTATTCACCACGGATGTATCAAGCAAATATCCACCGACCAGAGAGTCTGAAAATTTAAAACGCATTTGTCGTGAAGAATGTGAGCTATTGGAAAATGAGCTTTGCCAAAAGGAATACGCCATTGCGAAAAGGCATCCTGTAATTGGTTTGGTCGGAGTTGAGGATTGCGAAAAAATTCCACAGCACAAGGATTGCTCAACATTAGGCATAACAATTGAGGTAGATGAAACCGAAGACTGTTATTGGGAAGATGGCTCAAGTTACAGAGGAGTTCAGAACGTCAGTTCATCGGGAAAATCATGCTTAAGATGGTCTTGGTTAATGAAGGAAATTTCCGACTTTCCAGAACTTATCGGACAGAATTATTGCAGGTATGTAAGTTAAGTTGTTGATTATTTGTGAGACGTTTACAAAAAATTCCTCGTTAATCAATGATTATATTGTCAAAATTCCAGAAACCCAGGAAGCGCTGAGAAGAGCCCATGGTGTTTTGTTGATGACAGATCATTAGATCGAAACATCGAGCCTTGCGGCATTCCCAAATGTGTAGACAAAATCTGGCTAAGCATTATTTCCATATTAGGATTGACGGCTTTATTTGTCATTGTCATATTTTTGATGGTTCTGTTTAGAAGAAAAAGTTCTCGTGGCATGAAAAATATACAAAATGTATGTGTACTGAGTTGCTTGCGGAAAAAATATGAATTATAAATTCTTTTATTTGAATTTCAGATAAACACACCGAATGCTGGAAATAATATATATGGAAATTCACAATCAAACACAAACCAAGATGCCGGCGGTAGAGTGATATTGAATAGTTCCATGGAACATGTGGGCATGCCATCTAAAAATATTGAAAAAAATGGACTACTAAGAATACCACACTTTACATTACAAGATGTAGAATTCTTTGAAGAATTAGGCGAAGGAGCATTTGGTATGGAAAATTTCTTTACTAATAAGTAACAGAGATATCTTTAAAAAAAAAGTTAATATATAAAAACATATATCATACATAATTCTGTCGCTTTTTAATTTTTCTTTTTTATAGGCAAGGTGTATAAGGGACAACTAACACAAACAAATAAGAAAGTTGTAAATGTCGCCATCAAGGCTTTAAAAGAAAATGCATCTGTGAAAACCCAACAAGATTTCAGACGTGAGATCGAACTAATATCAGACCTCAAGCACCAAAACATTGTTTGCATACTGGGAGTTATTTTAAACAAGGAGCCATTTTGTATGCTTTTCGAATATATGGCTAATGGTGACTTACATGAGTTTCTAATCTCAAACTCGCCGGTTGAGAAGAAATCATTGCTACAATTGGAATTTCTGCAAATAGCAATGCAGATCAGTGAAGGAATGGAGTACTTATCAGGACATCACTATGTTCATCGTGATTTAGCAGCGCGAAACTGTTTGGTCAACGAAGGGTTAATTGTGAAAATTTCCGATTTCGGATTGTCGAGGGATATATACAGTTCCGACTATTATAGGTAAGTGTTGAATAAAATACGTGAGTAGATTTAATTAAAACGTTTCTAATTATTATTTATAGAGTCCAATCGAAATCTTTACTTCCTGTTCGCTGGATGCCCTCCGAGTCCATACTTTATGGAAAATTTACCACTGAAAGTGATATTTGGTCATTTGGAGTTGTCCTTTGGGAAATCTATAGTTATGGCATGCAGGTATATCTGACAATTCTAGTACATAATACTGTCTATATCAATCTATTCACATTTTATGCCTTACAGCCGTACTATGGATACAGCAATCCGGAGGTGATACATCTAATAAGATCCCGCCAATTACTCTCCTGTCCAGAAAATTGTCCAACTGCGGTGTATTCATTAATGATTGAATGTTGGCATGAGCAAGCCGTGAAGCGTCCCACATTTGCAGATATATCACATAGATTAAAGACTTGGTATGAAGGCCATATTAAAATCAGCAATCAAACTCCTAAATAATCATAGAAGCATATATAACACGTACATACTTGTATAAGAAATAAATAATAATTTCAACTATTTTATTAGTTTAAATGGTTTCTGATACCAACTATCTGTAAAAACTGCTTTAAATTCCATATCAAATGATACTTTTGTAATCAACAGATACTGACAATTTTAAGCAAAATATTGGGCATGAGTACTATTAACTTTATACAATATTTTATAAATTCATAGACAATATATTTATTGTCAAACAAAATTAATATAATTTTCGTACACTTGACTCATTAATGGGTAATAAAGTGTTTTTTTTTTTTAAATTAGATATCTGAAAAATTAACAGTAATTTGTTGATTAAACTTAAATGAATTGAGTTTCACATTCTGAAACACAACCCATTTAAGTTTCACTTTCTGAAACACATCCCATTTAAGTTTAAAGAAAAAATTACTGTTAATTAATTAAAGAGATGGCTTAAGTGAATATACTTAAATAACGAAAATGATTGTTATTATAAATAAAAAAGTTTCTCCGACAGATTATTTGCAGTATCACGCTGAACGCTTTGACCAATCAAGTAAGCCATCTTATGAGCGTACTGAAAGAAAAGAAAGAAAATAGAAACTTAGCATAACCAACCAAAAATTGTTTAGTGACTAAAGCCGAATTTATACTTCTATTATTTTAGTTATGTACTAATTCTTTGGACTAATCTATTTACGAGTAACTAGGGAAAAGCAATAAGCTTACCATGCAACATGCAGGGACCCGTATTGTCCCTGGCCAATTGTAATACATATAACATAGTTTATAACTTAGTTTTTGTATGATGTCGGGACCATAATTTGAGTCGTCCCGCAGAACAACGAAATGGGTTGGCGTAACACTGCCTTGGAGAACCATTTGTGAAACCAAGAAGAAATCATACATTTGAGATCTGGTGATGTCCTTATCAACGACTGTTCCCGGCAATGGATTTTCATAATTATTGTTCTTTTCCTATAATTGTTAAATGGAATTATTTAGGTGTCATTTAACATGAATAAAATCCAGATAGAGTGATCGAAAGAACCTCGATAAAACAAAGAGATCACTGAAGAATAAACCATGTTTGATGGATGGTTATGCGATAAGGTATTTACTGAACTACTGAAAAACTTACCAAAAAGTATCGAGTATTGATACGCTTTTGAACTACAATAAACGTTATTTTCACGCTTTTCTGGCTTACTGACTCGAACTGCGGAATTTCATAATGGGCACATAAGTTTAACTGGCCATCGCCAACACCGTCTCTGAAAACAAATGCACAACAATGTTTGTTTAAATAATAAATACTTTTTATTGAACTTTGACTTATACCTGTAAATTATAACACTGTCTGGGAAGTAACCATTGCGTCTCTTATAACACTCTAGGGCGGATTCGAAGGATGAAGTGAGTCCATTCACAAGCTCTTCCTTTTTGGTTTGGATAACAGCTTTACTAAACCAATGGGTGTATGTTGAGTTAAGCGAGGCTACAAATGCTTCAAAAAAACTTAATTTTTAATAGCTTAAAGATCAAAAAACCTTCAACTTACCAGCTACAGAATGGCTCTTTTGAGATGGATCGTGATACGAGTCGATTCCACAGATCATCACATTTTTAAACGGAATTTTAACTGTCCACAGAGATCCGCCCATTTTACAGTTCATTTGCAAAATTATCTTTTGCACAATTGATCGATTTCTAGTTTCATTGGATAAAGTCCTTGAGTTGATCACCTATAAATAATAATTACAATCTTAAAGTATACAACAAAATTTCGCGAATTAAGAATATGCCATACTTAACGTGAAAAACTTGTTTTTCTTGTATTCTATATAGGACTACAGAGTTAGGTGTGATACCAAAAATGTATATGTTTAATTAATTAATTACCTGGGATGCAACCGGTCTTTCTGCGCAGCAAATTTTTTTGATAGCGGAGTATCTGTCATCGCGTCTACTAGAACATATGCAGACGACTATTTGGGTATGTGTAGAAATGTTGCGACGCAGAGCACCCACATAGGCATCGACACGGTCCTGGTCCAAGGATACTATGCTGGGTGTACAATAGCTCATTCCAAATGATTTACAACATCGCTCCATATTATTTAATAAGGCATTAGCAGTTCGTACATCACTTTTTGGATGTATCAAAATCCAGTTCTTGAGATGTACGACTTCAAGCATTTCATTTTTCAAGGCATCGTTGCTAAAATCTGCCCTTTGCCCAGCTGAAATGTTTCTCTTTGCAAAATAGATTTGTTCCGGATCTATATGTCGACCAACTATTTGATCCTGAATTTTTATGAGCGATATGCCCCAGTTTTTCAGGATCTCTTTCGCAGCGGCGTTTTCATTTATATTTCTAAAATACTTATCCAGAGCCAGCATCCGCTGATTTGGCGAGACCCTGGTGAATGTTGCTATCTCACGCATTAGTTTCTTATCCGAGCGAATTTCATCGTGCAGACCGGTGAGGTTGCAAAGTTCTGGAATTAAACAAAACTGAATGCTTTCTGCCTCTGAATTTTCATTTCCCCTTGATTTTTTAAAGCTAATTAATAGGGGTTGTTTGCCATCTCTGATGTTAATGTTGTGGTGATTTTTGTAATATTCCACATAACTGTAAGAACCTGCTCTGGTTTCAAATACCGAATGTGGATTATCGGAGAAACATATATCATCAATTCTGTACGTGCGATTATTATATCGTGTTATAACTATGCTTCCAATTAAATGCTTCTTAGCCATGTCTTGGTAATTGGACTTGTTGTATTGATAGATCTCGATGAGCATATCCAATACAGTTTTTTGGCACAGCAAACGATGAGACACATCGCAGCAGAGCATCAAACCTCCGTCGTATTCATCGACAGCCGTTACGTAACCAGGCCAAACCTCTAACTTTGCCGTGGGAATCATTTTCGGACAAGAGGGATCGAAATGCTTTCGATCGAATTTCACAAAATTTAGGGTTTTCATGACCCGATCAAATAAAATATTGTACAAATGAATACAATTCTTATGGCATTCTTTTTTTTTTAGTAGTACTCGGATCTCAATGTCTTCGTTATTTGAACTTTTGGAAACAAAAGTAGTCAATTTCTCTTTCCATTAAAATCGGCAAGTACAGAGTGGATCCATCAAAAGGTATTAACTCCTCCAAATTTGTCCTTATGCTCATTTAAATACTTCATTCTTAAATGAATAGAGTCAACGGGAGGATTATATCGTACTTCATATAGGTAAACGCCTTTCTTTGGGTCAAATTTTACACCTATATAGTTACAAGCCAAATTCACCGGCGATCCTGTTGAGAGCAATGAATGAATAAGAGAATGAAATACCTTTATCTTCTTAAAGTGACAAAGAGATCAGTTGAATATATTTCTGTCCTCACCTTTTTACTCCATTAACAGTGTTTGGATAGAAATAAGCCACTTGTAACAGTTTTCGACTTATTTATTCGTGATTCGCCACAAACCGCAGGTGTCTTCTCTAATGAAATACATTTGCTGCCATCACTGCTACCTAGACCATCTATGGATGTTGAAGTGGAAGATTGGTTCTTTCCACTGCCCAATTGTTGCAATTCATTTTTGAAAGACTGCAATAAATGTGCGCGTCCTCGCCCAATAGAGACTTTCTCAAGGTTTACTGACAGGTCAATTGCAATATCTCTCGCAGCTCGTTGATATTCTCCGCTCGAAGCAGTTTGGTCACCATCTAAACCGCTGTCTCCGCCATGTTCTCCACTAGACGAAGACATTTCCAAAGCATCATTTTTCTTATGAAATAACGATAACAAGTTGCCTCGACCAGACATGTTCTGAAAAAAATCGTGGTGAACAAATGGAAGATTAAAAACTAAAAACAATAGAGCATAACATAACTTGAAAGTCAAACTTCGCATGGATTGAGTATATAAAAGCGATTGGCATATAAAAACAGGCATACCAAATTAGCACTCTGATATCAGAGACAATAAGGATTAGACTTTAAATTTGAAATATAGGTTCACGTAAACTACTGGCAGATCAAGTTTGCTTCATTGCATTGATAACTGCTTCCGTTTATCGAATATCGATACATTCCCGATAGCAATAAATGCCACAATTTCAAAACAGAAGCTTCATATTATTGATCAACTGGACAAATTTCATCAGATCGGATAAGAAACAAGTTATAGTTGAAAACATCAGCGGCAAAAGCGTTTTCTATATACACATACATATATGCGAACGTGTATGTGAGAAAGGGATGGCATGATAATCGACGCAAACGTCAATGTTTTGGTGTATAAGCTATGCTGCAGAGCCTCGTTAAATTTTCTAAATAGTTTAATTTATTGAGTCATTTTTTATATAATTGCAGGAATTTCGGTAAATTGTAAGAAACCCAGAAAAAATTAAAGTCAATAATGTACCATTTTTGGTCGTGAGAAAAAATTAAATTGTTTCCTTGAAGACGGCTAAAAGACCGAGAACGATGCAAACAACTTGTGCAAATATGTCCGCATCTCTTCGTTGTAGGCATTGCCCATGTGCATATATGGACCCGGCTTTAAACACTATCAAACAGAGACAGAATAAAAATAGCAATGCGCAGTAATAATATACTATTAAATTCACACCTTCAATGTATTGTCGTTATTTGTACGGATGTGCTTGCTTACATACAAAATTGTTTACATCAATAGATCTGGATAGTTGTTTTTTAACTATTTCTAAAAACACCTAAGGAATTATAGAAAAATAAGAAAATATAAAACTCAAGCAAAGCTCTTTGCAAAACATAAGGGGAAAATCAGAATTATTTCAGTGTCCCATTAATTACTTTTCTATACATAAGCATATATACATACATGTATATAAATACATAACAAAACAACGAATTGTATGCAGTTTTGATGTTCTTTACTTTATTTTACTGTGCACTTTACATACCTTAATTCGTGAATTCAAAGTATATGTTCAATATATATTATATATTTTATTAATCACTTTTTCAAAATTACTTTCCGGACGTGCGCGCGAATCTCAGACATGCATTCACATTAAATCACAACTGCATTGGCCTTTTTACAGTTAAACATGCAGGTTCAGTTTTAACGGCATCTATCATCACGGGGTGATCTATGCAAAGGTTTCAATTCCACACAAAAATCCTGAAATTGAAACACATGGTGAAAAATAAATTTTCGAGTTTTAAGACTAAAAATATTTTGTGTTTTTCATTTTATACTCAGATAGGTATTAAATACTTATTCATATGCATTAAATTAGCAGCAAAAAATAAAAATAAATTTTTCAATTCACTGCACGAACTCAATTAGCAGTTAACGATTACCATTTCCATATAATTGAAATAATCCCAAGCGTTCCGCTAGATGCCGCTCTGTCTAATGTTCATTGTTTTAATTTCATACAGTTCTGCTCGATTATTAGCCGATAGCTTTACATTAATCTCAGTCAACGTGATTATCATCCCTACCAAAACATGGACAAAACAATGTTTATGGGTTTGAAATGAGTTTATTCCCAACTGAACAAAGATAGTTTTACAAATTCGGAGTATTCGGTGATAGTTATAATTTGCATTTAAATTAAGTGCAAAGCAATCAGCACGAGTTTTAATATAATTTATAACTTTGATTTTCTGCGCAAGTTATTGCAGGAATTGTGAAAAAAAATACAATAAACAATGTTGATCGTATTTTATATTTATCTGCACATCTGCAATCCTTAGTGTTCATTTAAATTACAAATAAATTTTATATTATAATAATGATATTAGCTCCATCTGTAATGGGCGTAGGCGCGATTGCTCTCGCATTGTCTGTGCAAATCGTCCTTCTTTTTAATGACTCGTCCCTGTCCACAGGCAGCGTCCAAAATTTCCCAAGCCAGTTTCTCGGGCAGTTTCACTTTGCGATCCTTTTCGCGTGCTGCATCCAAAAGCCATTTCATGGCCAGAAAATAGGATTTCTTTTCGGTCAACGGGATGGGAACTTGATACTTAACTCCGCCTCTTTTGATGGCGGATAATTGGAGTAATGGCCGTGAATTTTCAATTGCATTTATTAGCAGTTTTTCCGCATCAATGATAATTTTCTCCCTGTCCGACTTGGAGAGATTATATCGCTCGATCTGCGTGCGTTTGATTATTTCGAATGTTTCGGTTAGAAGCTCATTGGCCAAACTTCGATTACCCTTTTTAGTAATATACTTCACAAGTTTATTCTGAAGCACACCGAAGAATATCGAATCGGAAGAATCGTTTGTGGCCGCCTTAATCGGTATGTGAGCTAGTTCATTTCTGCTTGCCGCTTGGCTGTCCTTTTGTATGACCGGCTCAGCGAAATGTGATGGGTACATTGACATTAAACGGGCACATTTTGGCAACCTTGAAAATGACATTCGTAAGTACGGTTTGTGTTTAAGTTGTTTAATAATACCTTAAAATGCTCTGAGTATAAATACTCGTGCTCCACATTGTTATTTACTTATGTAATGATTCATAGAGATGTACTTCAGATTAGTGATGTGGAAATATTAAATGTAAATTGATCGACTTTTTAACAAATAATCGATATTTCGCACACATTCTGGCAGTGCTGGCAAATAATTGCCAAAAATGGCTAAAACTAGCTAAATAAATAAGATGATACCATATAAGTCTTTTTTGTAAATATATCACACATTATTACAAAATGCAAGTACAATACTGTCTTATTCCCATATAAAAATAAACTCAATACTTAAGCGTTTCGGTTTATATTCTGTTCCTTTATATTTTTTGGTTAACTTGACCAGATACCCGTTGACAAATTTTAATTAATTAATAAATAATTCAAAGTTTTTTTTGTCTAGATAAGCAAAAATACAGCCTTCGAATTTTAACTATTAAAACTATCCAGATATAACATGAAAATTGAAAAATTATTAAAATTTCGGAGAGATCAACAGCGGGACTGTGATGAAATGAAATATCAAATGACGTGATTAGACCCGGGAAAATGCAAGAGGCCAATCTATTTGCGTATAGCTGCTCCAGATTTGTAGCCTTAAAGATTTTCTTGATAAGGAGAACAGTTTGAGGCTTCTCTATTGCCTCCCAGCACCCTTCTCTGCCACTATTCTAAATTACATGCCCAAAAGTAGATCAGAATAAGTGAATTTCATAACCTATTACAATTTGTTGTCGAATTGATCGATTGAAAGCAAGAGGAAATCACAAAAGTTGTTAAGTTATTTTGGTAAGTCCTGGTAAATCAGTACTGTGTACAGTACATTACGTTATTGCAATTAAAGCTTAAGATCGTGCCCAACAAAATCATATATAACTTGTTACTACGGAAGGCAAATGCAAACGAATTAAAGGTGAGCACATTTTAGAGCCACATACAGAAGCTATGTTAATAACCCCCAAAAAAGTTTTTAGCAAATATGCGAACAAATTTATTTGTCTTTACTAACAAATACACATACTCGTACATCAATTTGCAAATACGTAGCCATATATAGATACAGATACAGTTACAGTTACAGTTACAGATACAGATACATAGTTGTACATATTATGCATTGCAAATGTTGCTTGCAATTTAAATGGCAACTACTCGCTCTTCTGACGCGTCTTCTTTATTTCGCGGCCCGACCAAGACTGACTTGGCGTTCGTTTAATGCTCACTGACTATAAGAAAATCGAGAGATTAGTTATCTGAGTGCGAGCGAGACAAGCAGAGTTCGCCCTAGCTAAGCTCAGTCTGCAATTTGCAGAACTTTCAATAAAGAGATGTGCTAAGTGAATACCAGCGTTGAACAATTGTCGGTCTGTTTACCAAAATTGACTTTTTCAATTTACACTGAAAGAATTTTATTACAACTATATAAAACTTCTTCAACGGTACAGAACGTTAAAAAAGTTTTAAATGAATTTTTACGTAAATATTGAAAAAAAAAAAAATTATCGAGTTAAAAGTTAAATCGGTGCAAATCCAACAGAGTCCACAAATTTTCTTTACCAATTTGTGGTATTTTCTTACCAAATAGCCACAAATCAGGTTTGCAGATCATAGTCGGAAATTCTGGTATTGAACATTTATAAGTAGTTTACTTAAATAGAAGAAAGAAGGAAAAGAAGGGATATCTTAGACAAGTCGTACGTTAGATTGTAGATTGAAGATTGCTGACATATACATTTTTGTAAAGTGATTTGTGAAAGATGTGTAGTTTTATTGTATCAGAAACGGTGACATGTCTGTCTTCGCCTATCTCGATCACACAGCAGAAACTCATCTTTCGACCGATAGTTTCTACGATATATGTACGATACGGAGGTCCGAAGAGAATTATAAATTCTCTCCAAATATGAGGAACATATTTGTTGTTTTCTATCTTGGTAAAAAATATTTTTTTTTTTGTTACACTAGAATATAGTTGTCCGATTTGGTTGCCTCCGATGTCTTGAGTAATCTAAGCAAAATTACGGATATATACTTAGTTTTATAAAGCATATATGTATATACTTGGTCTGTAAAGACAGGGAATCAAGTTACAAAATACTTAACATAACAATTTTTATATTTTATATAGCTATAAAGATGCTATGTGGAGTGATATAGATTAAGAAAATATATTTAACTTACGGGGTCAAAGACATCCCTTTCAATGCATTGCAAATTTAGAAACAAAATTATCGATTTGCTTTTAAAATGATCTTAATTTCTTTCATTTTTTTTTTTGGCTTTAGACAATATATGTATTTGCAAATTTACCTCATTGGTGCACTTGGCACGGCTTGCTATTGCCTTGAAAATGGATTAGCGAGGACTCCTCCCATGGGATGGTTGTCTTGGGAGCGATTTCGGTGCAATACCGACTGTGTAAATGATCCCGACAATTGTATTAGGTAAGTTCAAGTTCATGATTTTTTATCTGATTGTTAAATTTTGGTAATATCCAAGTTTTTACAAGGAGCAGTTTCTTTTCTTTGTATATTGATTTATTTACGCTAGTTATAGAAAATAATGGAATAAGCCGATGATAAAATGTGGTACCTACAACTTACATATATTGTTGATTCTGTCTTCCCGTTCCATCAATCATTCAATTGGAGGCAGTGATCGTTAAAATACTTTCAATTTTGAACATGGCTTATAGTGTACCTAACGAACTTATTTTAAAAATATCAATAAAAATTGCTGACTCCAGTTTTTAACAATATATGATTTGGAATTACCAATAATGTAAAAAGCAGGATATCAAACCGGATTAATCAATATGCGTGCAATATCTAGTCTAGGGCTTATAGTAATGAAATCTGTTTTTTTCGGTAAAGATGACAGTTATATTTTAAAAGATATCGATAAAAATACCTCACTCCAGTTTAGAATGAGAAATAAATCGTATATCATTTACGGATCTGAATTTTAATCTATCAATAAGCGTGAAATAGTTGAATCAAGCGTTTATAACAATTGAATCTGTTTTTCTGGGTAAAGGTAATAATTATATTTTATTGAAAACTTATCTATATGATTTTCCAGTGAACGACTATTTCAAGTAATGGCTGATCTTCTTGTCTCGGAGGGATATGCGTCTGTGGGATATGAATATGTTAATATTGATGACTGTTGGCTGGAAAGGCACCGGGCTCCTGACGGCAAACTTTTAGCTGATCACAAGCGATTTCCCCATGGAATTAAATCATTGTCTGACTATGTACGTTTTTATTTTTTTAAGCTATAAGATGATAAGCACAAGTTAAAGAAAGAAATAATAGTTTTGAGTCAGCTGCCAAACAAACCCTCTTATATCACTGAGAGACAATTGACTTGTTCCTGGCCCTATATCGGTTGATTTTAACAGACGTTGTCCTTAAAAGTGGAAAGAAGTAAAACAATTACAATAACAAGCATGGTGGAAAGTAATTTTTAGCCTACAATCAGAGAGAGATTAGACTCTACGAATAAGATAATTTTTTAACCTGTGTGCACAAAAAAAAAAAGACCTGACAAGTGCAAATTGGTCATAATAAAAAGAAAATATAAGATACCTACTTAGACTCTCCCTCTGTGGAAAACAGCCAGTAATAAACTTAATAAGTAAAAGAACATTTGGAAAAGATGGAGAGTGCGGGTATAATCCGCTATCGTTAAACGGCACTGGTCAATGCTATCCTTACCCTTATGGGCTTGATCTCGATCTGGTAGAATGCGGCTGACACCAAATCTCGCACAATATGACAGTAACTGAGAAACGAAGAAAAACATATGCTGCAATTGAGCTGGACAGAGGAACCAGGTCTCAGAAAAGCCAAATGTTTTTTCGGCACCTATAACGAAAAACGATTTAAGCAAGTAATATTCAAGGGAAGAGTAGACCTCGAATATTTACCGGTCTCTCTTCACATTACATTGCAGACCAAGAAGTCATCTAGCTTAACCAAGTAAAGTCAGTAGCAAACTCCACTGATCTTGTGACAATGAGGAGGAGTGCTCAAGACACATCAAAGCAAAAAAGAAGAATACGAAATGGGACAATTGAAGGTCAGAACTATAATGGACTATTGAGTTAGCAATTATCCTATGCATTTTGTCCGTACCTCGGGGAGAGTACAACCAAAAGCTCTCTGTCACTTGACCATTTATTATTTCCTGGCGACAGGCCCTACAAATCTCGAGGCAACTTGAGCAAAATACAATACATTAACTTGCCTAAAAAATTACATATGTACATTTTTTATTTTAGATTCACTCACGAGGATTGAAGTTCGGAATTTATGAAGACTATGGCAATTTCACATGCGCTGGCTATCCTGGTATCATAGGGTTTGAAAAATTAGATGCACATCAGTTTGCAGAATGGAATGTTGACTATGTAAAATTAGATGGCTGCTACGCATTACCATATGATATGGATCGAGGCTATTCCGAGTTTGGAAGACATCTCAATAGCACTGGAAAACCAATGGTTTATTCTTGCAGTTGGCCTGTTTACCAAATATACGCCGGAATTCAACCAAATTTTTCAGCCATTCAAAGTCATTGCAATCTGTGGAGAAATTTCGACGATATCCAAGATTCATGGGCGTCTGTTGAAAATATTATTGATTATTATGGTAATAATCAAGATGTGATAGCTCCTAATGCTGGCCCCGGACATTGGAATGATCCTGACATGGTATTTATAATAAATATAATATTATTAAAATTTACGATAGTTAAGTAAAACGGATGATGGTTACATTTTGCAGTATAATTAATATAACTTTATGAAACTTCTCTATTTCAGTTAATCATTGGAAACTTTGGGCTTAGCTATGAACAAGCAAAGACTCAATTTGCTGTATGGGCAATTCTGGCTGCTCCTCTTTTAATGTCTGTTGATTTACGAACAATACGGCCTGAATTTAAGGAAATTTTACTCAATCGCAAGATTATTTCTGTAGATCAAGATCCATTGGGGATACAAGGTCGAAGAATATATAAGCATAAGGGAATTGAAATTTGGTCAAAACCAATTAGTCCGGTTTATCAAAGCTTTTATTCTTATGCTCTTGCATTTATAAATAGACGGTCTGATGGTACACCCTCTGATATTTCCGTAACATTGAAGGAATTGGGGCTTACCAATAATTATGGATATAGAGTTGAGGTAAGTTTGTTTGATCACACATAATAAGTAGTTAGTCGGGAAAAGGTGTCTATTTCTACACTTCATTCATTATACGAATATGATGAAAAAGTAGTCGCAAATGCTCGACTAGAAGATACCCTGCACTCAGTTGCTAACAAAACATTCGTTGTCCGATCGTTATAATATTTTTCCATGTCACAATGATGACAATAAAATGTGTGAATATAGCAATACACAGCTTAATCTCCAAGAAGAATCAAGATGGCGGCGGTCTTCTAGGCAAGACCCTCAGGTCTTCGCTTTGGTGCCACTAGATGCCACAGTGGATGCCTCATGGTGAACCTCCATCGGGCCAAAAAGCGGAAGCTGTATTCTAGCAGGGATTCATACTAAAGACAGCATCTGCCTCGGAACAATTATGTCATCAGGGACATGTACACAAACAATTCGAAGGTAAAATGGAGACAGACGCTTATCTAAGAAATATGATTTTTGGTAGGAAAATACATTTAATTTATTGTCCTTTCAGAATTTCTTAAGAGAGACCTTGCAACTGCAACAATGGTTGTGCCCACTTTGCAGAAGAAAAAGCCTATGCACTCCCCGAAGTCGTGAGCCTGGTTAAACACTGAACACGAGAGCAGCTTCCTATAATCATTGGCAGCAGCGACATCAACTTAAGTGCCTGATTGTTTTTATTATAAATAATAACTTAGAAAATGTCGGAAGTATACTGCCATTCGATACTAGAGTCAGGGAAAATTGTAGGACATAGCCTTGCTTAGCCCATCCACCAACTGGTATGTGTTTTTATAATATTCCACGTCCGATCCCAGAGAAATCAAAACAAATACAATTAGCCCGTATTCCAAAAAAAAAACAAGCTACGATTTTTACCTCAGGTATGTATATCATTTACCATTTTGCAATGACCATGGCGACCAATAGACTTATTATTATTTATTGGGCATCATATTTTAAAAAGTCAATTAAAAAACTAGACATATATAATATAGCAAGGAGCCTTAGGTGGAAGATCATGTAGATAAAACTAATTATTGAGTTACAAGTTCAGAGAGGAGTTAATTGTGATAGATTTGCTAAAGAAAGATTTTTCCTTTCTTGTTATGCTCTGTACCCATAAAATAAAAGATTATAAATTGTATGATAAATTTCGACAGATATTTCGAAATTTCAAGACGGTAAGATGAGACTGTCTGACTGTCTTTCCATCTGCCTTTGATAGTACCAGACAGGCTTATAATTGTACGCTAAGTATTTAAAAACAATTTTTTTTTAAAAACACCTCAGGTTAGATTTAAGGACGTATTCCTTAAATGAAAAATACAGCATGTATCCTAGTCGGGCGCTCTCGACTAGATCATTTTTGCTTTTATTTTTGCAGTAACAAACTTAAATGCTTCATTCCTCCTTCAAATTATTTGCCGAATATCATTCAAACATTATCAAAAAAACTAGTTTTTAAACACGATTTTAATTATAATTCTATTACAAAGAATGAACTTATCTGCTTATATCTAAGGGTCGTCATAAAACTGTTTTTATCTCAGCATGTATGTACAAATATCTTTTGAAAATCACTTATATCTTTCTTAAGACACATTTAGTATCATCATAGCCTAATCACGGTAATACTAACGCAATTGAAGTATTGTAAGTCTAATGTAATTTAGGACATTAATCCAATAGACGTTAATCTGTTAAGGACATCAATAATGACTTCTATATTATTCTTTCGGCCATACAAATTTTGTTGTTTTTGTATTTTCAGGACCTTTATGAGAATGTTGACTATGGAATATTGTTCCCAAACACTAAAATCAAGGTTAAGGTAAATCCGTCTGGAGTTGTTATGTTAAAGGGAGAAACACAATATTTAAGTAATTTTTAAAGCATATTAACATTGTATGAATTATTGTTTTTAAAAATAAAAGGTTATTAAAAATTTTAATTACAATAATTGCAAAATTACAATGGATGATCTTTTTGAATTGGGTGTAATTTAGTTGCTAATCAAAATTCGATATTCTCGAGAAGCTCGAAAGTTATCAATAGCTGTACTTCTTACTACTTGTAATATCTATGTAGATCGACAAGCGAGATGTCTTTTGGGTGGCTATAATCATAAACGATTTAAGCAAGTAATAACCATAGGGAAGAACAGGCTTAGGATACTCACTGGTCTACTGACAGTACATGGTAGACTTAGAAGTCACCTAACTAAACTAGGTATTTATAGTAGCGAACTATGCAGGTTTTGTGAAAGCGAGGAGGAATGCACAATGCACATCCTAACAAAGTGTGTTGCCTTAACTAGGAAAAGATGCAGCATCCTAGGTATGCATATTATCAGCTTCAAAGACATAGAAGCTCTCAGCCCACCAAAGATTCTAGTATTTGTGCTGGAGCTGGGGTTGGTTTAGACTCAGGGGGAACAATAGATCTAATGGGTGCAGGTACCCCAATTACAATATTAATAATAATAATATCTATGTACGATAGAAATTCGTTGCAAATGAATAACGTTCTCTTTGAAGAAGTTTACCTAGGCGTTTACGTTCATCTATATTATTTCTAAATTTATGTTTATTTTTGTTTTAGCTGCAGAGTGTAGTCAGCTGTGGCAATCCGAAATGTTGTTGTTACCAGTGCTAAATGCCAAACACTTAAAATCGAAATTAAAATATAAGGTGTGGATATCTAATATTGCAAGTGTTGTCATTTAATTGCCGTTTTCGTTGTCAGTAAAAGTATTTAATTTATAACAATATTTTTTTTTCTATTATTGTTCGATTTTATTTATAGTATTTAATTACTAATATAATCGACTTTCTTTATAAAATGATATTTAATGCTTAAACATTTAATGTGTGGCTTAAACATTTTTTGAAAATGATTCGTCAACTTGGATTGAAATGTAGTTATATATGATCTTAAGAAAAAAGTTGCAGTTAGCTTTTGTAAAACTAAAGAAGAAATTTCAAAAATTTGTTTTTAATTGAAATCAATTAGAGACACTTTAGCCGTTTCTTCGATCTTCAATTCTTAGCTGGTATAATCGGAATCACGTTTTCTATCCTCTTGATTTAGGCATATACGATGGTCTTGTTGTCCTGATTAGGATGTATTGATAGAAATAAATTCGAAGTAGTAATCATAATTTTGTGCGGTCCTGCTCCACGCGACACATCCAATCGCAGCAGTTCCAACTATAATCCATATTTTATTATCAAGGTTCAATTTTCTGATAAACTGAGATTCATTAAGATATCAAAATAGATTAATTGGAATTTCTCATGATATTTCAGATAATTTCATATAGTTTTCATAAATATGTTCAGCATAAAAATAAGATTACAACTGGAATTAACAAGCTGCGAACTTTTTCAAATTTCTTCTTTGGCAACCAGCAATCTACATTTTAATTTTGGATACGGTAGCTTTAAATTTGTTCTTTCGGTATCAGAATATAACAAACCAAAATCAAACCAAGCCTTTTTTCGTTATTTCCTTAATTTATTTTAGTTGCTATCATATAAATTGTTTTTATTGTGCAATTATCATTTTTTTATATTCTTTAAAACACATAGGTGATACGCATTCAAGAAACAAAATTACGAATTGTTAAACGTGCACCTTCAACTAAAAATTTACATTTAAAATTCCAACTTCAACTTAATATTTAGATTTAGATTTTGATTAGCTCATATTTTTCAAATAAATTGAAACTGTTGAATTTTTTGATTTAATTTTAATTGCTAACGTAGGTATCATTAATAGCCAAATTCACTAGAAGATTGGTCAGGATAATGGTCATAAGGATGAAGAACAGCAATACCGCCGAACTCGTGTAGTTATTGAAATCATCATATTCATATTGGGAAGTAAACATATCTAAGGTTTGCATTACCATTCGACCCGGCTGTTCTGAAGTTAGCAACGTCCTTCACCTCCGTCACTTCGAATTGTACATAAGAGATGAGGAGAAAGGGCAACAAGATTATCGAGTAGAGACCCAAGCCGCAGAGAAAGGTAAGCGTGACCTTTTGCAACATGAGCGTATGCACCGTTATGACCGGTACGGGCAATTGTGTATCAAGGTGACCGGTTCGCAACCTTGGCTACACACGTTAAAATAACAAACATATTCTGTAGAACATTTAATAAATTGGGCGCAACTTTAACCACCAGATGAACAGATCTGCAAGGAAAACGGAGCAGAAGAAGGTACGCCTCAGCTTGATACCATAAATCCTTGCAATTCAATGGGCGGAATATCGAATTCTCTCCTTGAACTCACAAGCTTAACGTAGTTTATTTTCACATCCATATACTCAATTATTAATTTCGCTTTTGCATTCGGCGAACCCAAAATAGGGCCATGACTCAGAAGCGCGGGAGTCCCGAACTAATTTTTATTTCGGACAGTGTAAGACCTTTTGCATCCGTCGCATGGATGAATCTTTCCGAATCTATGAGAATGAGTTGCTTCACACACTCTTGGTAATCCTTTCGATCTTTGTGCAGCACTTGTCGGATTAGAAAAGTCGGCAGATTGTGATCATCCGGCAATTAGAAGCTGTTGCTCTGCGATAGCTTTAGTACATTTTGGTGATCCACGGGTGACTTTAACATTATTAATGCATACAGATTACTGGACCTTATTAAGCAGTGGGTGACTGTGAAGGGAATATTCTTCATTTGTGTAGATATTTTGTTTATGGTAAGTTTTTGGAATTGTAATTGCGCTAATAATGACAGAAGTGCTCCTTTCAAAATTTCATTCCGCACATTTAAAGTCCTGTAGCATATCAATAGAATACCCTAAATATGATAAAGTTCCATCTAAGGTGTTAAACCGAAATCGCAATCACAATATTGTTATAAATACGAACTGATATTGTTTGATCCGAAAAGACAGAATCGGAACCAAACCTCATATGTGTCTGCATTCAAGCTGGTATACGAGAACTTATATTTTGATTTTTAATTATATAGGCTCTGACATATATTTGCTCATACAGACGCGCAGACCCATTTTAATGGGTTAAGGGTATAATTATTCTACCCTGTATTAGACAATCAACTACAGTTTTCAGACATTAACCCAAAACCCAAACTTTTTTCTGAATCTTCTGTATATAATAAACCAACTGGGTTATCAAACAATGTAATTTTTCATCGCATTACTTTCACATTACAAAATATCATCAATATCGGATAATATAATATAGCTGTCATTAGAAGTTGTGTCATTAAGCTATTCATAGACATAAATGTCAGCCCTTCTGATACAATATATCTACGCGAATGAAAATATTAAGCTTACAGTCAAATCTCGAAATCCGGACAAAAATTTATATGCTTATGGAGTTTCAGTTGGCGTGTTTTTGTTGAGGGTACCAAATATTAATTCAGAATAACCCGATATGGATATCGGCTTCTCATAAATGATGATCTAATTGTCATTGTCGTCCTTGGGTATGAGTTTGGGCTGGTCGCCAATTTCGAAGGTGGCACTAATGTGATCACATCACCAGCCTCAAACGCTTCAATGTGTTAAGCTGAAACACACTATACGCTAAGCCGAAACTTTATTATACACACGTATTTATATGTATGTAGTTCTACATACCCAAAAATATAATACTGTAATATACTAAATATATAAATTTGTGCTGAAAACAAGAATTAAAATTGTAAAAGTTAAAAGCACGAATTAATATGAAAATATTAATTAACACGATCTTAGAACGTATACGATTTTGGTTTACAAAAGAGATAACTATACCCAGAGCACAGATGTTAAATGTATTAAATTTGTAAATATTAAATGAATTAAATTGAACCACTTCTTCTAATTATATTGTCAAATTTCTCTTTAATATATACTGCAATAAATGCATGTTATTGCTTTATGCTTTCTAGAGTGTTTCAAGTTCTGAGAGGCTGGGTGCGAGAGTTGCTTCAGTCGAGTGTGTAGCAATGTTATTATTACCCAGCAGCGAAAAATCATAATACGAACTAAATTCGTAAGCTGTACTTTGTAGGCGTTGTAGCTTCTAGACCACACCACAACCCATACTTCTTTTATTTTTTTGTAATGCAGAAAGTATGCATTGCCGTGCCCTTTTTTATGCATTTTACATAAATATAGCCGAACGAGACTGGGAGCTCTTGCAACAAAATTTGCTGGCACGTTTTCGTTATATGAAGTGAGGTATCAATTTGGGTGTATGGTTCGTGAAAATGCTAAAAATGGTTTGCTGAGTTGTCACAAACACGTAAAAAGATAACAATAGGAATGCCGTAGCAGCGAGCAATTAGGCGCACGATTCATGCCACACAAATGTTAATAGATTCGAAACTCAAAATTTAAATATAAATTGAAGAAATACGTTATTAATTGTTATACACCATAGATAAGACAATTAAATGGATATCCTTTATATTACAAGTGTTTCCACTTAGTCAAAAATGATGTGTCACTTATGCCGCTTTTCGTTGTCACTAACAATATTTTAATTGTTTAATGTCTCGATATCAGGCGTTCTTTTTACATTTATTCAGTTGCTTCTTATATTGTTTGCATTTAATTGCAATTACCTGTCAGATTAATGGAGAACTCCAGGCACGACGCGCCTCTTCATTGTATGCAATGGGCGTCACCAGCCGCCTACCACAGCCATAACACACTTGAATTGCTTCATTACCACTTAGAGCGCTCCCTGCTCGCACTTACTCGCGCTCTCATTTTAACGAATT